GGTATTAATGTCACTTGTACTTATTCTATTGACACTCGATCAATAATTAAATTAGAGTCAGAATCATTATACAGACATTCATTATTTTCACAGTAACACACAATTTAGTTTTTTTAAACAATAGAAGTATACAGTTCACACAATATGGATATTAGACTAGATTTTTTTTCCTAACATACATTTAGATTTTAGTAGTAATATTATAATTAAACTTGTCTTTTGAATTTAGTTATTATTCTTTGATTGGCTAGCATTGTAAATAATTGCTCTAATCCCACTTTAGACCTTGTGATTTGTAGTAATACATTTTTACTGTTGAAAAATTGCATGAACCGATTGTACCTATTGATTCAAATCAACCAGCATTAAATATATCCCTACCTTTACTGTGACCCATGGCTCATTGTATCGAGACCATTCGTTTTTCAATTTGCTCAAAGTCAATTATGATAATCTCCGTTCATTTATTGCTTCTTTTGAATGGTGTCCCACATGGTTCAGCTACTACCTGTAACCTAGTTTTCAGCAATTATGTTTGCGATTCCTTTGAAAATCAATCCCAGGTTGATGTTATTTATGCAGACCTTAGCGATCAATTCTGTTAATCGTAATGCTCTGATTGGTGTTCTTAATGAGTCCGGTATAAGCTAATTAAACAAATAATGTCTTTCGCTGTTTATAATTGTTAACATTTTATTGAGAGTATTAGTTATTGGTTAAACTTCTTATTTGTTATATTAACTTTAGAAAAAGAAGAAAACGAAGACAATGGAAAAGGTAAATATTTAGTAGAAAATTACTCATATATAAGTTATATATAGTCATGTATAAATTGGCCAAAGATTTTCGAATAGGAATTTCTATTAAATCTATGGGTATTTCACGCATAAAATGGAGTCTTTAAAGTAATAAAGTTGATTCTTCCGTCCTTGTCTTCCAGGTCTTCTGCGCTTCGTATTATGTTTATCATTCCACCACTTAAGTACTTAACAATCTAATTAGACGAATGATGTCTTCCGCTGTTTTTAACTCATAAATGTTAAAATTGTATTACGAGTATTTATTGGTTAAATTTCTCATTTGTTGTTTTAATTTTAGGAAAAAAAGAAAACAAAGGCAAGGGAAAAGGTAAATATTTAGTAGAAAATTACTCATACATATATTGGCCAAAGATTTTCGACTAGTAATTTCTATTAAATCACTTTTTTGTGCGCTCGTTGGCTCGATTCTTGAGTATAGTGCGGTTGGTTAGGATCCCTATACCACTGTTGATTCTATGCAGCTTTAAAGGGTTCAGTGAAAGTTCTTACGGCTTGCAAGTCGTTTGTTGCACTTTCCAATTGAATCGCAAAATTATAGCCGGTAGTAGAAGTGCTTAACCTGTTTGTTTGGCTTAGTAATAATGTTGATTCCTCCGACCTAGTCTATCTTTTATTTATGTTCCTCATTCCATCACTTACATGCTTAACGAACCTATTAGACGAATGATGTCTTCCGCTGTTTTTAACTCAATAATGTTTGTATTGTGAATATTTTTTGGTCAAACTTTTCATTTGTTATTTTTATTTCAGTAAAAGAAGAAAACGTAGACAATGAAGAAGGTAAATATTTAGTAGGAAATTCCTGCAATCAATCGCAAAAGCGATGCCCGTGTAAATTAAAATAAATAAATATTGCATAATCAACTAAATAAGTATTACAAAGTTATTGGAAACAGGGTAAAAGGTAAAACTTTATTACAAGTTAATGTTTTTTTTTTACATATAAAAGCTTCTAATAAGATATACGATAAAACAAACTACGGGTTTTTATTTTTACTGCATTTTTACAGTTTTGTTTAATGATAGGTATGATATACAAGAGGTTTGGCCTTGTTCTCACAATTAAAAAAAAAATTATCTCAGAGTTACACATCATTGTGTATTATTATTTTGATTTTTTTATACGCATGTATAAGTTGTGACTTTTCTATAAGGAAAAGTAGAATCCAATGAGCTAATTTTGGGTATTTTTTTTAAGGTGAAGACACCACTAAGAGTGTGCGTTTCTCAGTAGACTTGTGTCGTTTAATAGGATTGCACAGAAGCACAAAACATCTGTACCCGAAACATTCACTTATAAAATCTGCTGAAGTCCATGGTGACACTTGTTCGCTAAAAACTCAAAACGGCAGATTAGAAATCAATTACAAAAAAATTGATGGCCGTATTTGTGAACTTTACGATGACGGTACTCCCAAACGTCTACTTTCTACTCAAGTACAGCCAACTGAAGAGCCTGACTTAAGTTTTTTATTATAATGCACTATTATACATTGCCCAAATCGTGTATTTTTTTAACCAGTATTATTAATTATGTCAATAAAAAATGAATTTAAAAATCATTTTCCACTTTTGTTGTTTATTGATTTCGGACAGGATCGAGGGTCATATAAATTATTTCTTTAGGGGATATGGTTATAATGAATATTTTGACGGGTCGAATAAGAAATTTGTAATAATGTGAAACAACTTACAACAAATAAACTAGCTGACTTCTTCGCTTCACGGGAAAACATTGAATCACGGATATTTTTTAGTCTAACGTCACTGACATTATTTACCATGATCTCTTATCCTCTCCCCTTATTTCTTCTATCCTCCTTCAATTTCCATTGCCGCTCTATTCTTCTCCTCTCTACTAACCCTTCCCCTTTCCTCTCCCCTCTCTTCTAGTAAAAAAAGTGCATGTGTCTGTTGAAGTTACACTGCTGTCTGTGCTCGTCTGTCCATCCATTATCAAAGTAGATACTTCTTTCCTATGGTAATAATATGTATGTTTAAAAATATTAAGTTTTAGCGAAAAATTGCCTATACAATGTACCGTAATAAATGCTAGTGTAGAGGCCCTTTTAAGTAATAAACAGTAGAAAATTATATAAAATTATTGTGTTGCTAATGGTTTTTTTTAGCTTGTTCTGGTTTGTCCTTGACAATAAAAGGTTCGAAAACAGAGTAGTTTATGAAAAAGATTTACGTTATAGGTACGCACTATGGATATCCCTTTTGGCTTGTTTACAGACCTTCAGTCCAAATACCCGAAAAAACACCATTCAAATTTGGAACTTGTTTAAAAATGTACAAGTAAATGAGAAAAGGCATATTAAGCCATCGAGACACTATTCATAGTAGCCAACCAGTTACTAAAAAAAACTCGACTATAAAAATACTCCGATTTAACTTTTAAATAAATTTGAGATCTGGTACATTTCCTTTGTGAAAACCGAACTCTACTAGGATAACACTGTTGTTCAAAATTAAGTTAATTCAAATTTAAAATTATGTAAAAGTGTAGAAATTACATATTTTATAATGAATAATTGATACTATAATTACTATTTATTTTTGTTTTAGAGACTTGCTGTATGGTCACAGTCAGATTCAGGTTTGAAGTACAATACATTTTTATTATAGTTAGTATACACAGAAATGAGCTCTGTCCTGAAAATAATTAGTTTGGCTGAAGCTGCTGGTGAACTTGAAGAATAAGTACAACATAAGCACAGGAGGTATTGGATTCATCCTATACACAGTAGCAGAGAACACGACATGCAATTTCATATAATTGATGACAGTTTGGAGAACACATGACATTTTGATTGGGAAATCAAATCAAAATGAATGTTTAATCGTGTAGGTACGGCAAACTACAATTATTAAATGTTTTTTAAGGAGATCTAAAACCTCCTTCTTTAGTCGCTATAAAAATGTTGAATTAGTTTGCTGAAATTATGAGAGACTTGAAGTATTCTTAGCATTGAGCAAAATTATTTGTTAGAAGGGGCGGAAATAAGAGTGTAAAGTAATAATGTAAAATGTATATATTATTTATTATTAATGTATAATATTCTTTTATAATTATTTTATAGCAACAATGTATAATGTATAAATTATGGGGAAACGTCTTCGTACAAAAATTTGTACCTAAATATTTGCCTGTACCTTTCCAATGTACAACGTTTATCTAATTCAACATATTGCAATGAGGTGCATCTATATTGTGTTGGAGTACAATAGGCTATTTACCTTTACCAGAGTCGTGGACATGAAAACGTCCCGGTGAAGGTCACTCTCCCCGTAGCTGAAATACACCAGGGGTAGGCAAACGGTCCTGTACGGCTGTCACGTCTTGGGATTTTTAAAAAAAAATCGGCTGATACATCTTCCATTGTCGACAATTTCTTAAAGACATGAAAAATGGTCTGTTTTGTTCGGCTATGAATTTCGTGTGATTTAAAAGTAGCCATGATATTAAATAAGCGCAAAAAAAAAGAAGCAAATTATATCGGTTTGAAAAAAAACGATTCGCGATTGCATTTAAATATTATTGTGGGGCATTGTAACTTATGTTGTTTAAACATCACAATTATTGCGGTATTGTTATATTATTTCATACAGCGTGTTAAAAGTTAATGGTATCGCCTGATTTTTTTTTTATGATATTCTACCAATTTACATTTTTAATCGAACAATAATAATTTAAAATTTGTGTATTCGTTTTTTCAGAAATAAGCTAGATTTAGGAGGTGTAACTATTGAAACTTGAAATATTATTGTGTACGTTCAATTAGTTTTTTCAATTAAAAATAATTTGCGCGACATTTTGACAAATCCTTTAAATTGCTATTGTTTGATACAATTTTTAATCGTTTTACATATTAAGTTACTTTTTCAAAAGTTTAGTATATCATCAAAAAATTAGATGTTAAATACTGTATAAAATATTTTATACAACCGGCAACGGCAATACAATGTACACATAGTACACACACAACTAGGAGTGCTGCGGTCACACATGTTCATCCCCATTCCTCCCTCGCATTCCTTTAGGTGGTATCTTTAGTGTTAGTTTTACACATTGTTGTTGTTGGTGATGATGTCGTTTGACTCTTTCTCGTTTTCCAAATTACCGCGTCGTGTCTACAGTTCTGCATAAATCTTATTATTGTTTTAATTACAAATATGAGTTTCGACGCTGTTAAATTAATTAACGAAGTTAAACGTCGCCGTTCGTTATGGGATACATCGCACTGCGATTATGCCAACAAAATCATTACACAAGACAGCTGGAACGGTGTTTGTCGAAATTTCAAGGAAGGATTTGACTCAATGGAGACAAAGGAGAATGATAAATATTGTAAGTACTTATTTATTTTAATATACCAATCTAATCACTATAAATATTGAAATCTGTCTTAGGTTTGTCTGATATTCGTGCTTACTATATATGTGTTACCGTTAAAGTATTTACATTAATAACTAGTTAAAGTGGATAAACGAATAATTATCATTATTACGTCCCTTTTTTGTATAAAAAAAACGTATTTAATACAAGATTGGCTTTGATACCATAGATCTTAAACCCTAATGAAAATGTATACATTTTTCTTTGAAAAAATTGACATAATTCAAAAACAACATTATTAATACTTTAACGCTAACATTTATACTTATTAGGGTGTTTTTTTTTTTGCGACTATTTTTTTTTTAGCTCCCGGCCTAAAATTTTGTTGGAAATTCCAAAAAAAAAATTCCCTGAAAATATGAGCCCTTAATATTAATATTAAGTACTCTCCCTTAATGTAAGAGATTTCCCATTCAAATAACATGTAAATTTAGATTTTTTTTCCAATTTCTTTAACTCAGCGTCATTTAGTGCTATCATATCGTTCAAGGTCACAAATTACTCTATTGAGTATTGAGTATGAAATTTTAATGAATTATTGGGCCAAATTTTCATACTTCAAAAAAGTTCAAAGCTCAATATCTTACGAAATATCTCTCTTAGAGATTTAGCTTAAAGAAAATTTTTTTTTAAGATATTAAATTTCCTAAAAATATTTACATTTTTTCTGTAAGCTTAGCCATTGGTGAAATAAAAACAAAAACAAATTTATACAAAAATAATTGACTTAAGTCATCAGTGTAAGATACAGTTACGTCGCAATGGGCACTTTTGTAGAATGCCGCTGAGTTATAGAAATTTGAAGAAAAAAAATCTAAATTTACATGTTATTTAAATAGAGAATCTTCTCACATTAAGGGAGAGTACTAGTACTAATATTAAAAGCTCATATTTTTAGGAATTATTCTTTACGGCTTTCCAACCAAATTTTAGGACGGGAGCAAAAAAAAATAGTCCCAAAAAAAAGCTCTCTAATATTTATTTATATAAATTAAACATATAAATGTATGGAACATAATTCCTCATTATTCACAGTTATTTAAATTAATATGGCTTTACACATTTGTTGAATAATTGAACTTAAAGTAGAAACACCAATTCTAAAACTGTAATGCAATTCTGTTAAAATGCATCCTGTAGCGAGGTACGACCTAAGAAAAATATTAGTAATTTAAATAATTTTAGTAAGGGATTGATAGATTTTCTAAATATATCAACTCCCCCCCCCCCTATAAATTAATAATAAAATTATGTTACATTGGTTTAAAAAAAAAAATAAAAGTACTTATAATTTATTTTTATTAGTAAGTTACTTCGATTTTTCTAAATCACTCGATAGTTTTGAGTAGATTTTTTTACAAGTAAAATATTTCATTTAATTGGTTTTTATGTTTTAAAAAAGTTTTATAATTATTTCGAATATTTTATTTTCTCCTAGTGCAATATCTTCAACGAAAATGGAAAAACCTTAAAATATCATATGCCCGTGAACAGTCTAAAAGAATGACATTGAAATCAGGATCAGGCAGTAAACCATGGACAACTTATATGTATTACAATCAATTGTCATTTCTTTCAACTTGTGTTAGAAATAAACAAACTACATCAAACTTAAATGACAATGATGCCGAACCAACCATAAAAAATGAAGATAACGATAGTATGAATGATTCAGGCGAAGAACACAGTTATAAAGAAACGATCACGCGATCAAGATCATCTAAAAAGCAAAAAACACAACCTAAAGATACAGAAGGTCAACTGTTTCTACCTTTACAAAAAAGCGTAGAAGAAGATCCTGACCGTTTGTTTTTGTTATCCCTTATCGATGATTTTAAACAAGTACCCGAGGATAAGAAATTGGACGTGAAACTTAGCATCATGCGAATCATTTCTAATGCAAAACAATCTCTACAACCAAATAACAGCCAGAATTTGACACAACAGAAAACGCCATTTTCAGTTGTTTCAAATGTTGATACTCAGTGTCAATTAGATCCTTCATATAATGTCCATTCACCGACACGTGATCAAAATCCCTGTTCTGGCGTTTATCAATCACAAAATCATCAAAAAAACGATCAACCTAAACGTTTTCAAACTCCAACCTCTACTCCGAGTGAAAATATTCCTATTCATTCAGATTTGGATGCATCTCAATCACGCTCTTCAAGTTTGGCAAGTCTTTATTTATATTGAATCCTAAATTATTAGGTATTTATCATAAATATCACTGATTATACATACCTACATCAAAGTTACTGCAAGGTGTTCTTCGGTTAAAATGGATTTTCGCATATTTGTGTTTTCTTTTTTTGTTCAAAAAATTTGCATTTCAATGTCAATGTTTAAAGGAATATAATATCAGTAGCAAATTCTGAGTGCACAGTTACATTTTTCAATCTACTGATGTGCTCAAATAGTATCCATGGTAAAATGTGCCTTTTCGACACTAAATCTAATTCTAGGAGCTGTACTGATAAATCTAAGACAATGGAATACCGAATACAATAAAATGTAAATATCGAATGGACTATTCTTGTAACTGAGATGATTCACTTCTTACCTAAGTGGTGATTATCTACAATTTTTTTATGCGTTTCTTAACAAAATTTTCCCTATTTGATTACTTTTTTGGTTATTAATTAAAGTATTTGGTTTATTCTTTATTGCATTTTGTTGATATATGGGCACGACTAACTAAGGGGTAGTTACCATATACATGCAAATAGTTTGTAAAATAGATAGCCGGCTGTAATATTAATGCCAGAATTCAGCACATTTATATGAACAACTGGAAATATCTAGTTTTAGTTTCCGGTGACTTGTGTGCATAACTCGGATGGGTAAGAAAGACTCATAAAATATATTAGCATTGAACGTGTTAAGTAGTTTGTTGGCTACAATTCAACACATACCGAATCTTTTTTAAATCTTAGACTCCCAAGAATATGTTCAATTATTTACTTAAATTACTGTGAATAAATGCTGTATGAATTTATCAATGATTTTTATCTAAGAAATAATGTAATATATTATTTTAGAATGCTCCTGAACTTATTTACCTAAAAGTACTGGGACAAGATAACACTGTTGTTCAATTTAAAATTAAGAAACGCTCTCCTTTAACGAAATTGATGAATGCTTATTGCGAAAGAACTGTAAGTATTTTAACTACTACTAAAATGTTGTAGTTTTATAGAAAATCTAGTAGAAAAATTAGATCAGAATTAAAATAATTAGTTCAACAATTGCAATATGTAAAATATAAATCATTCATATTTTTTAAAGTAGAATTTTTTGAGGTGATGTTAGTAATTTGTGATGTTAGTTATGTACATAATTTTTTTTGTTATTCATGACAAAATATTGAATTCCTTAATAATTATTTATTCCTATTTTTATACAACTATATTTAATATAAACAATGAATAAGGAGTTATAAAATAAAATTTACTTTAAAATCGGTAAATATGCTTATTTAACAACAGTCTGTCGTTATCTCTGAAAATGAAAACATACCTAGTTATGAAAATTTGCATTATCGCTACTTTAGAAGTGAATTTTATTGTCAATATGATGTTTAGTTTTAATATATCTTACAAATGACTAGTTTTTTACAAACTATTTGTAGGATTTACATATATAACTTGTAATAATACTATTTACTTTTGTTTTAGGGACTTGCTATAGCCACAGTCATATTCAAGTTTGGTGATAAAGTTATTAGTGAATCAGATACTCCTTTGTCGTTAGAGATGGAAGAAGGACAAACAATAGAGCAATTCATTAAACAATAAGGTTGATAGTTATACTCTTATTGCAAAGTCGTTGCTTTACGCTATGGATGAAACAATCATTATTCGATTTATTTGTTTGTGCTAAATTAAAATTAGCCCTCTCAATTGATCCAGTATCCGAGAAAAAATGTTAAAGTGTGGAAAATTCTAAAAAATCTGAGACTTATGAATTTACAAGTCCATGTAATATATGAAAATATTATATAAATAATTTGTTTTTAGCTATTCATAACAAGGACTTCTTGGCTTGATTCTTATAAAACAACAAAATTCTACTTCTTTATTCACGAACCATTTATTATAACAATTAATCTTAAAGTATATACTTATATTTTCTCGATAGATAATTACAATTTCATAATTTAAAATGTCAAAATCTGTAACTGTTTTAGTATTTTTTAGGCATTAAAAATCTATCAAGTTTCGTTGTGAGTTATAGAAAATAATAAAATCTTACCTGATATTTTCCATTGTATTAATATTAAATATTAAACTGCCAATCGTAATTATTTAAGTAAGTAGTAACTAAAACTTGGAAGTTATAAATATAAATGACAAATGAGTAAAAAAAAAGTATCTATAACGAAATATTTGTAAATGTTGATTGATGACCGTGATAAAAAACATAGGCCATAGCATAGATGGTATAGGAAATTATCTATATTATATTATTTATACTACTCTATGGCATAAATCCCGCAGCTGGTATTTTTGTGGGAGGTGGTTAAGTAGGCATCCATTTATATAAAACAATTATTACCCACCCAGATATTACTTTACACTATTTTAATATTAAAATAAAAATAATATAGTTTGTAATAATTGTAAAAATAGAGGTTATAACCTTCGTTACTTATTTTTTACTCGCACAGTTTGACTAGAACAATAGTACTATTGAATATAGAGTTATTTTATACTTCATGTAAGATTATTGGAGTTCCCCGGCATTATAGAGTAATATTCATAGATAAATATAGTACCCATTAGATCCATAGATCCGATGCATCAGTTTTGTCATGATAGTATGTAAATATTAACGACAAAAAATCAAAAATGGTATTAATAGCAACCTAGGTCGAACCAATTTTGATTACAGGCGCGGTCATATTTGATAAGCATATATGTAAAATTTCAATTTTCAGTGTGGACATCGTTTCAGAATAATGCTATTTTGATTTCTCGATTTGGGAAACACTGTTGTTGGCGGGAAAATTCTGAGTCAACGTTGAATTTTCGATATTATCATTTATTATCACACTAGCCTCTTAACAGTTTGTGTACCGAAAAAATCGCAACTATAATTATTAAAAAAAGGCGTGGAACACGTAACATCGGAAATGTGGACGAATTTTGTTGGGCACGTCGTAAAGGAGGAGGAGAAATTTTGGAACATCGACAGCATAACCGACTAAGTTATGGACGCAGAACCTGAAGAAGGAGCACGTCATATCCTAACGATAGGAACAGGTGATACAGACACCTCAGGTGACTCAGGTTCAGACTCGGATTGATTACTTGGTACTATTTAAATGTTGGGTAAAAGTCTAGTTTAGTCTAATTTAATTTTAAAATAATCTTAGTAAATAATGTATTCTCGTTGAGTGAGCATAGCTCATGAGAGATAAACAAAAGAAAGGATCAGTTGCGCACTGAAAAGTTACCCGGCTACAGCCGGGTCGACTGCCTGCTACCGCTTGGTCGGGGTCCTTTTTTTACACGCGCTTTACCTATACGATTACAATATCAGGTAAAATTTAATTTTAAAATAATGTATTCTCAAAATTAAGGGAAAATAAGGGTGCCCGCTAAACTACTTATACCAAATTTTGTATTGTATTTTAATTTGTTTTTCGGTATTATTTAAACACATTTATGTTGGAAAGAATGAATAAATAAATATATTACATACATACAGGGTTGCCAACTATCAAATTTAAAATAACCGGCTTTAAATAAATTTTATATATTAAATATAAAATATTTTGAACTTACATTGGTTATAACATTTAGAAATAACAAAATTATTATCATACAAATAAAATGTATACCTAATCATCATTATTTTGTCATTATCAAATATTATTTATGAATAATGGACATGTACGTCTGGAATCAGCTGCTGTCAGTCGGCAGCTCGGCACTGGGCAGTCGTGCAGTCCTACCATATGACAACAAAAAAGGTTATTGCATTAACAACTTGGTAGAAAAGAATAATAAAGTATAATGATAAATCATTGACAACATACATTTATTTATGAAAAATAAAATAACCGGCCTTTTTATATGGCCGGTTTGATGCAAAACCGGCAGCCGACCTAGGTATTAAAAAACCGGTTAGGCCGGCCAAAAACCGGTCGGTTGGCAACCCTGCATACATATTATATTTTGTTTTTATTGTATGCCTACCATGTGCGAAAGTCGCCAGGAATTATTATTTTCGATGTGTGTTATTTGAGCCGCTGTATACAACTTCTCGGTGGCGGCGGCGGCCGTGGAATAGCCGACGGTCGCCGCGTAGTGAGTAGGGGAATTTACGGCGGCGAGTAGGTAGTAGAGTAGGGGAAATATAGGCTCGAAACCGCGGAGCGCGTTCATTTGGATGCGCCAAGGAGTAGCGTCTCTCAGTGACGTTAGTATAGAAATTTAATGCTACAAGTGTTCAATATAAATATTGAAAACTGCCTTAGGTTTGTCTGATATTCGTGCTTACTATATGAGAATAACACGTGTTACCGTTAAAATATTGAATCAGTTATTTTATAATTTAGAGTAACATTCTAGTTAAAGTGAGTAAACGAATAATTATTATCATTATTACGTCTTATTTTTGTATAAAAAAAATGTATTTATTACAAGATTAGCTTTGGTACCGTAGATCTTAAACCCTAATGAAAATGTATACATTTTTGTTTAAAAAAATTGTCATAATTCAAAACGCCATTATTAATTCTTTAACGCTAACATATTATATAATTATTAATATAGGTATACTATAATTATAAATATATATTTTATTTATAAATAAATTTGTATATTTTTTACCATGTTATGATATGACCTTCACACAAACCACACAACTACACTAAGCATAATATTACTCATATTATAATGATGGCACTCTGAGTCATGCATTAGCATACTTATACGAAAGCTGACTCATGGTCGTTATAGAGCGCACCTGCATGATTATCTGGCGTAGTGATTAACTTATATTACAAATATATATATATATCAAAACTACTTAGAGTCCGTTCCGCTCAGATAAGCTATTTGGGAAACACATGTTATTGCCATTTTATAATATTATATTGCCAAAATAATACCAATTAAAAAAATCATACGATGTGCGTCCGCTGTAGCGTCCGCCCATCAATTCAACACAACTTACACAATAACACATTACACAGATTACCATATCCATATAAATAGGAGTAGAATCTAAGGCTATTCCAGACGAATTACTATACTCAAGCAAAATACATCTCTGTAGCAGTTTGTCTACCTATATTTTACATGTACAATAAATTTAAACTTATAATTTTAAAAGTCTTAAATTATTTACAATATCCATCTTCCTGAATTGGTTTCAACTTGAACAACTACAAATTTCTTAATACTTTTTGATATTCGTATCGAGAAGCATTACAACTATTTTTTTTACAGAGGTAATAGACGCCTATATAAATTGCAAAAAAATGCATCGGTAGATTAATTTTCTTAAGTTTATTTATTTATTATCCCTTTATTAAATAATTAGTACTGGAAATTTTTAAATACAATATTATGAGCATAGGTATCCTATTTTTTTTAGTTACCTACCTATTTACACACGCATAATACAATATATAAATATTCCTAATATTTAATATAATTGTATACTCCTAAACAAAAGTAACTAATAAAAAATTAAATACACAAATGATTCAGGCGAAGAACACAAATATGAAGACACGATCACACAAGACCAATTAAAAATCTATTATTTCTATCTAATCAAAATATAAGAGAAGATCAAAATCAATGGATAATCCTGACCGTTTGTTTTTGTTATCCCTTATCAATGACTTTCAACAAGTGCCCGAGGACAAAAAAATGGACGTGAAACTTAGCATAATGCAAATAATTTCTAATGCAAAACAATCTCCACGACAAAATAACAGCCAGAATTTGACACAAAATCATCAAGAAGACGATCAACATCAACGTTTTCAAACTCCAACCTCTACTCCAAATGAAAATATTCCTATTCATTCATTGGATGCATCTCAATCACGCTCTTCAAGTTCGGCAAGTCTTTATTTATATTGAATCCTAAATTATTAGGTATTTACCATAAAGATCACTGATTATACATACATCAAAGTTACTGCAAGTCGTTCTTCGGTTAATACTGTGAATAAATGCTTGATGAATATGTCAATGATTTTGATTTATGAAATAATGTAATATATGTTTTCAGGGTGCTCCTGAATGTATTATCCTAAAAGTACTGGGACAAGATAACGCTGTTGTTCAATTTAGAATAAATAAAGACAGTACATTTAGGAGATTGATGAGTACTTATTGTGAAAGAACTGTAAGTATTTTAACTATTACTAAATTTTGTAGTTGTATAGAAAGTCTTTGAAAAAACTTTTATTATTTATTAGTGATGTACAACATTTTTTTTGTTATTCATGACATTTATTCATATTTTTGTACAGCTTTATTTAATAAAAACAATGAATAAGGAGTTAAAAAATAAATTTACTTTTAAAACGGTGAATATGCTTATCTAACAACAGTCTGTCGTTATCTCTGAAAATGAAAACATACCTAGTTATGAAAATTTACATTATCGCTACTTTACAAGTGAATTTTGTTGTCAATATGATGTTTAGTTTTAATATATCTGACAAATGACTAGTTTTTTACAAACTATTTATTTGTATTGTATTATTTGTTATTTACTTGTAATGATATTATTTATTTTTGTGTTAGGGTTTTGTTATGGCCACAGTCAGATTTAGATTTGATGGTCAACGTATTAGCGAAGATGATACTCCTTTGTCTTTAGAGATGGAAGAAGGACATACAATAGATGTATATCAAGAACAATTTGGTTGATCAGTTTACTTAACTACTATTAACTATATTTTATGTAAATTTTTTTTTTTTTTTTGGTGACTGTTTCGGTGGGGTTGTTAGAACTATAAGCTTTATATTATGATGAAAAATTCATAGTTTCAAAATGTACATTTGTAAAATTACAGTATTCAATAAAGTTTGGTTGACTTTGAATTAAGAATTGAAAAAACCATTATTCGATTGATTTGTTTGTGCTAAATTTAAATTAGCCCTCTCAATTGATCCAGCATGTCTAGTTCCCGTGAAAAATGTTAAAGTGTAGAAAATTCTCCAAAACCTGAGAATTATTGAATAAATATATATTTAAACTCAGCCCAGCGCTTTTTCACTTAGTCCATTAAAAAATCTTAACTTTTAAAGTGCTAATAACTATTAACGTACACATTCACATAAATGACTAGTTTAAAAATTTGCAAGATGATGATTTAACTAGTACCTATAATAGTCCAAAAAATCAGTAGCAATCTTTACTAAAATGCCCTAAAGTCCATCTAATTCATACTACAAAATAAACTGCTAATAATTGTATTGAATAAATTTCCATATACTATATTATGTATTTACAAGTGCACATTGGCGCAACTAGAGGGGGTGCTGAGAAAGGTCAAATCCTTCTCAACTCGTTCAGACTCTAAAATAATGTCAGCGACCAAACAGACACATCCCCCAAGTAAGGTTTATAATTTTTAATGAAATTCTGAGGGAGCTTTCAGAGTTTTAAAAACGTCTGAACTTCCTCAGCACCCCCTCTAGTTGCGCCAATGCAAGTGCATGTTATATATAAATAATTAGTTATTACTAAGGACCATAACAAGTTTTGTTAAGGATTTTAATGAAATTAGAATGATAAAATAGTACATAACAATAAATTTATTGGCCGTCGAAAAAACGCTACACTGATAAAAATTGTTTCTACTGTGTTGTATTAATACATTTTCAAATATAAATACAATTTGAAGTAGCATAATGTCTCAAATGATTTAACACGAGCATAAAGCCATTACGTTTTTCTAATTATTTTGTTTAAACAATATATTTTCTACAATTATTAGAATTATATAAAACTAATATTTTGCAAGATTTGACGAAAATCTTTTCGATTTTTGCTAATATTTTTTTTAGGTGACTTCTTTGAATTTTTAACCAGAAAAAAGTATAAAATATATCCTCGGTAAATATTTAAGGCAGACCACCAGAAAATTGTATGTAGGTAAAAAATGACGTTCGTAGTAGTTATCAAGACGCGAATCATTTTAATTTTCCGACCAAGCCACAACTGCCCAAAGAAGTCCATCAGATTACATAATATTTACGCTTACTTACATTGTAAAGACTATTGCCGGTATAGACACGGGACAAGTATCGTTTTTCTGTAGTATTGAATTTTTGTTGTTTTTTTTTTAATAAAATAAATAAAATAGTACTCTGCGTGGTCACTAAGGTAGACGTTTTGTTATACATATAAATGTATTGGGCATCGGCGGTCTATCAGTGAACGCCGGTAATCTTATCAATCTTGTTGTCCGACAACAATATTGATAACGGCATTAATTCGGTTAGAAAATCGTGTTCCGCGGTTATAACCGCATGGTAACCACAACTACACACGGTTACAGACGCGGACCGCGGTGTTGCCAACCGTGCCGGTCGCCGGTGGTCATTGAACGGCAACGTACGCTCCCGGTTGCAGTCGCGTTGAGCATAATACCGTGTTCAGTGTAGCTTGCTACCATTTGTTTATTGTCGTGACCCGTGAGCGGCGAGCCGTTTATTGCTGTTTGTATCTTTCCCGCCGGCAAACCCCACGTTTTTCCGTTCCATTGTTGCTGGGCTTTGCCGTCGTCGTCGTCTTGAACTCGACAAATTCGACTTGGTCGTTTCAAAAGGTTGTTCCAACACCAGACTCGACGAAAATGGCCGTGGACAAAGGAGTGAGTATTCTTTTTTAATCGAAACTCGCCGTTAACCGTCTCCACAATGGCGTCGCTTGTCTATTTTGTTTCTTGCAAAATTTTGTTGCCGTACATAGGAGTCGACCACCGCTATATTATAATTGTTTCAATGTTCTCTGCACCCGTTTTTCGTTGGTACCAATAATAATAAATAATAATATTGTGTTGCATCTCGATTGCCGCGTTTTTAAAAACGACCACGTACCTATAATAATAATAATATGTAACAACAACGGCCTAATTTTCTACACCCAACAAACGGCATGTGAAAATCAGGCGACAAACATAACCGTTTGTGTATTGATTCAAATAATCTCGGCACTGTGATACTGATTTATCTACCGTTTTCTCACCAACAATGCGATTGTGGTCTGTTTGGTCAGCAGAAACAGTACTACAACACTACTGATCTATAACGGTCTTCTATGAGACCATTAATCGCCATGGTTGCTTTATCTAATCCTCACACACACACATTGTTTACTTTCACTTACCTTTTTCAAAATACAGTTATAACTCGTAGCAACTATCCGCTGGCCGGGTGCATTGATAAGATTGTATAAATCTGGCACTGGGAGGATCGTGTTGAATTTTTTTTTTTTTTCATCAATGATTGATATTATCCACTTTTATTAACATCAATCATTTATTGAAGTGAAACTTCTTTAGGTACGGTATAGTTGTTGTGTTGACATATAGGAGCGTTACGTAAAATAAACAAAATAAAATATTGATTGCTCGACACACTTCCTACGCAGCCACCAGCATTGAAGCGATTACAGCTCGTTTTAGCTTTTGTTACGATAATCTAAGAAGACGTGAGTTGTCTTTAGAAATAGGCAAAGGTTGAAAAATGAAACATACAACTGAAAAGAATTACCAGTTGATTGCCGCCACGCGTTAATCACAATTTTTTGATAGTCTAATTGGATTCAAGTGTGGCGTTTTCAATCGTCTATCTTTTAATTATTTGCTTTAAAATACTTTGAATAAATGCTGTACGAATATGTCAATGATTTTGATCTAAGAAATAATGTAATGAATGTTTTTAGGATGCTCCTGAACATATTAACCTTAAAGTACTGGGACAAGATAACGCTGTTGTTCAATTTAAAATTAAGAAACACACTCCTTTAAAGAAATTGATGAATGCTTATTGTGAAAGAACTGTAAGTATTTTAACTATTACTAAATTATTTATTAGTTACATATTTTTTTTTTTTTTGTTATTCATGACATTTATTCCTATTTTTATACAACTATATTTATTGTAAACAATGAATAAGGAGTTATAAAATAAAATTTACTTTTAAATCGGCGAATATGCTTATTTAACAACAGTCTGGCGTTATCTCTGAATATGAAAACATACCTAGTTATGAAAATTTGCATTATCGCTACTTTAGAAGTGAATTTTGTTGTCAATATGATGTTAAGATATTTTAATATATCTTACAAATGACTAGTTTTTTACAAACTATTTATTTGTACTGTATTATTTGTTATTTACTTGTAATGACGCAATTTATTTTGGTTTCAGGGACTTGCTATGGCCACAGTGAGATTCAGATTTGATGGTCAAGCTATTAGTGAAGCAGATACTCCTTCGTCTTTAGAGATGGAAGAAGGTGATACGATAGAAGTATATCAACAACAAACTGGTGGATCATTTTACTTTAACTATTATTAATTATACTTTATGTATATTTATTATTTTCTACTCGGAGGGGTGTATTACGGTCAACTGACATTTTGTAAATAAATCTGCCAATTCATTGCGATACACCCTATTTATATATTTAATACACATGTACATCCTAGTTGTAAACGATATTTCATGTTTTTTTTTTTTTTTTTTTGTCCAGTTTTTTTCTACTATCTTGGTGGTATACAAGTAATTTTTTAATAAACGAGTAAGACTAAAGTACATTTTTTGAAAATTTAATAACTATCAAATTAATGACAATGTCATAGGAGTTTTTTTGTAATTTTATTTATTATTGGAGGTTTATAAAATTGTATAAAAGCCACCATTGTTACTGTACTTATGATGATAACATATTCCGCACGATTTTCAAAGGCTGTACCGCATATTGTATATATTTTACTGAATGCAGGAATTTCTTTAACGCAGTGGAAATCAAAATCCTCATTGTAATCTTGAATGCATAAATATTTGCGTTTTGTCATATCCTGTAATTTATTAAATAAATTGTACCATTTTCTCAGTTTATCAAGCTATTGATATTGATTATTATGTTTAATGTTTTTATTTAACACTTACGGTTCCATAAGCTGCAACGGTAATATTGCAAGGTCCGATTTCTTCGTGTATTCCATTTGAAATTTCATCCTCTGGTTTTCCCACGAGCGCCAGAAGCAGAAATATAGTGTAATATATTATTAAGTATACATGGATTATTAGTAATTTATCATTTTTCTTTGGTTTTTTTCCATACTTGAAACTGTCTGTAATTTTTATCGTTATACCGTACAATGCTAACAGAAGTAACACTATGGATTGACTAGACACATGAAAACTATCGTGTAGAGGATGATATAATACGGAAAAACATAGAACTCCGCTTGGAAAACTTAAGAATGTCGATTTCAAAAACGTTTTAGTTTCTTTTGTAATTGTTGTGGGTTCGTCCAGGTCGGCTTCTTTGTTGAAAAACCAAAACACGAAAGAAGCCGAAAACGTCAAATGAAAGTAATAAGAGGTCCACGGCACCCAAAACGTACGATCACGTATGTTGGGGTCGGTGTCGTGCCAAGTCCAATGAATAAATTTAATGCCCATAATATCGTATGGCAAATCTATTGCCAACACATTAAGCCCTACCGACAACATGAGTCCTATTTTCGTTGTGTTTCTCCTACAAGCAATCGCTATCGCTGTGTAATAAAAAACTGGATCTGCAACGGTTACAATATTTTTTTAAGAAAACAAATAGGGTTTCGGTTTACATTGTGTTTATATACCTACACACTAATATAATATGAACGGGTAATCTTTGGTTTAAGAACATTATCGGCGCTTGGCTGTGCCAAAAGTTGTCGATTTCCGGTACACCGTACGATACGCATTCGATGACCAAACCGTGACATAGAATGCAAACCCAAAGTATTGGTCGCCTTCCTTTGTGAATAAACGCTGTAAAAATATGTATTACCTGATTGAATTTGTTGTTTAGTGTACTTGAAAGAAATATACACTTGCCATGTGTGAGAGAAACTATTGCTCCGACAAAGAACAATATTTGTACGACAAAGTACGTGGGCTGATTTTCCCATATTGTATCGATCGAGTTGAACGAAACGAATGGCTCCCAAAACCGAGGTGAATTCATTTTTGCCTCTATAACGTTATTAATGTTGATGGTAATTATTTTCTGAATATTATGGTTTTGTAATTTTTATTTATATAGTTACATATTATTATGCACTGAACAAAATCTCAAGTGGCAACTTCAACTGATAGTTTCGTTGGGTATAGATAATTATTGTTTTCATGTCCTTTGCATAGATTAATTATTATAATACAACTGTGTTCAACGCTATTTAATTTATATGCATATAATAAAAATAGTCAATTCATAATTTAAAAAAAAAAATCATTGTAATGTGCTTGAAATGTATTTCTAGTATATTAGGAAAACTTACCTTGGGCAAGAAAGTAGTAATAATTATATGAAATATTATAGTACATTCTTAGGGTATTTTTCTATATTTTGAAGGGAATGGGGTAAAAAAATTTTATTTTTGGCCCAATCCAGTATCTTTTTTAGTTTTATTCCTCTGAGCAACCTTTGCCTATCCATTGAGTGTAAAACTATACAGCCAAAATAACATGAAAGCAGAAGGGAAAATGTCATTGACCCTTTGACCTTTCTGCTCTACAAAGGGGCGGAAAGCTTTTATTCGTTTATCGCCCTTTATTAGGTACAAGTTTTGACTCGAGATTGATACAGTTTTTTGTACCTCTTAAACATTTATTCTTCTGGCAAAACTATATTATACTTAATTTTTCTAGAAAATTCATATCATGTGAATATGTATCTTTTGTAATAGTGTTGGCCGCTGACTGAAATTTTAAGATGGATGTAGTATTTGTTTGTAAAAGGGCTCTTATTAACAAATGTTGATAATTAATATTGGCAAGCAAAGGCCTATACACTGATTTGGAGTTTTAATCAATAAAAAAACTTGTTATTGTAATGACACATTTGGTTGTCAAATGTCAAATGTTTTTTCAAAAATTTTGTAGTCATACAATCGACAGTTTGGCTTGTTTTAAGACTACCTACTTAATGGGTTGATTTAATTTAAAAAAAAAAATTAATTTTTATTTTAATTTAGCCTAAAGAATTTTTTAAAAGTTGTAAAATTGGGCCTTTGTTCCAATCAAAACTTATCAAATTGAAAGTTTATATTTATTTAATAAAAAAAAAACACTCGTTCTTTGTATGAAATGAAACATTTTTATTAAATACCATGGACATGTCATTTAGAAAACAATATATTAGCTTTGAGAATATTACAACACTTAAAAGTAGTTATCACAATATATTTTACATTGTATGACTTTTTTAATCACAGTTGTCCTACTTTGGTTTTAAAATAACACGTCTTAATTAGGCTCTTTTTCTAGTAAAATAAAATCATGTTTCCTTATTATAATGCAATCTGGGCCAATATTTTACCACGATATCAAAAAAAATTATATGGAAATATTGAGTTTTTTTAATAACCAAATCAGTTTTTTAAGCACTCATTTTGGTTTTAATAACTGATGGCGACTCAGATAAAGTTCTTAACTTTCATATGATTTAAGTAAAACTCTCCTGTCAGATAATTTTTGGAAGATCTGTACCAAGAAAGCGAAGATAGTTTTTCTTAAATTTTTTAATTTAGGGTTAAGATTTTGAAAATAATTGCCTATACCCAATTTCTTAATAAACGGAGTCCTCTTAATTACCTACGAATTATGGATAACTATGGCAATCAATTTGTATAAACACACGTTCAGCCAATATTTTGTAGAAATATATTATCTATATAATGTATGTATACATTTATATTGTGTATAAAATATGTCATATTTCCTTGAATTTTTTGTTTTGCAAGTTAGTAAAAGTAGTATTAACCCAGAGTGAGGACTAAACCTAATATTATTTTAACTCCATTAGGTACTCATTTCATAAGAAGTCTTTGAAAACGATAACATATTTTAAATAAATAAAAAATTATGATAAAACCAATACACTCCTAACTTTGCAATAGGCAACTAAAAGGTAGTTAATATTATTACTGTAATATTATCATATGTTTTTAAACAGTTTGTTCATTTTCCTAGCTTTACTGGCTTTTTCTTCTAACTTGAACGAACATTATGTTAGCTATTATTAATCAATTATCGGCGAGTTACGCCTCTAAGCAAGTTTTGAAAATAAAGTTCTATCGAAAATTCGGTCCTAAGTATACATATTTTTTTTATATTTTGACATCGGGGTGTGCCTGTGCTGTGTACACTGACACACCTGGCCGCGGTAGAGTTATATCATTGATTATTATAGAAAATGAAAAAAAATACATGCCAGTTGGCTAACGGCTGTATTATAATATTTTACAGTCAATGTGCTTATATCAATAATATTATACTTACAATGCATAAGGTCTATGCACCGACCGGCACACCCAATACTCCTGTTATCAGTTCACGGTGTCCTTATCAAAAATATACCGTGTAGTGTGTACAGTACACTTTATTGAATATCGATACACCTACCTAGAAATAATTTAGGACTTGCCAGGTATATATTCAATGCGTTTCTGTTGAAATTATTCGATTTTCAATCGCTCAATAATTTTATACATATTATTTAGTTTCATCAACAACCGTCGGACCTTGTACAGCGTTTAGAATTTATATTAATTTTGTAATCTTTGTCACCTTTTATTGTTTTGTCGACTGATTTTCGACATTCGAAGAGAAAGCCTGCGCTTGGGTATTTGGGTTGAACTGTAGAGTTTGAAATTTTTGTCATTTTTCGTTTGCATTATGTCAACCGCACAAGGATCAAAGTCCAAAAAACCGGCCGGTATGATTTTTGTTTTTTTTTTTTCCAGAGACGACTGTCATTCGTTAAATATGTTAAAAAAAATATTACAGATACGGCGTTCAAACAACAGCGTTTACCAGCTTGGCAACCTATTCTTACGGCTCGCAATGTAATGCCGGTTTTTTTTGCGCTCGCCGCGGCATTCATACCGATAGGTCTTGGGTTATTGTACCTGTCCAATATTGTAAGTAAATCTTGTAGTGGTCGTAGGCCCACTGTATTTAGCCGGTATTACCGATTACAAATGTGTACGATTTTTGGTTATATTACAAAACAAAAAAAACCCTCTACCTATTTTAGGTACAAGAGTATAGTGTAGATTATACTCGCTGTTACTCATCGAGTAACCCTACACAAACTTGTGCCGACTACATTAACAACAATAGAAGTTTGTCTTGTCATTGTACAGTGCCATTTACGTTGACAGAAGATTTCTCCGTAAGTTTACTACGATATATTTTATATTATCTATAACGACCCGTCGGTCTAGAATCGGAAAATCCCTCAAATTCTAGACCGCCAAATTGTATTTGGTATTAATTCATATTTTTAAAAATTGTTGTCAGCCTAATGTATATATATATTATGGCTTAACAAACTACTATCAAAATCATAGACGTTACGTTAAATCTAGAGATGACTTCCAACTCCTAGGGAAACTAAGTAATCCTCCATCGAGTGATTGTTTCCCTTATGACTTTAACGGAAACAAACCCATTGCGCCATGTGGAGCAATTGCGAACTCACTGTTTAATGGTAAGATTGAAAAAAGTACATTTTTTGATATATATAAAAATGTAGTTTTTTTTTCTCATAAATCTAGTTATTATGGAAATCATTTTATATCGTTAACTGTATTTTTGTTGTTTAGATTCTTTGACATTACAGTATAGTGATGCAAATGTTCCGTTGCTTCGTACAGGAATTGCTTGGCCGTCGGATAAAAATATTAAATACCAAAACCCGGCGGGAGAATTAAAAAATGGTATTTGTTTGCACATTTCTAAACTAATACTATGCTAAGTGAGGTCATCGTATCGACGATGGCACTGCGATGAAGGGACATAACCGACGTTTATGTAATTTCATGGGAGAGTTAAGAGAATGTTTTTAAAAATAATACTTGTAAAAATTCTTGTATTCGATTTTGGCAACTGTTGTTGTGTTAATATTGAAAATGTTTGACTAATTTTACAAAAGTTAATTGTTTCATAGGTTTTATGATGATGATAATAATTATAATTTGTTTAATCATTATTTATAGCATTTAAAGACTTTGCAAAACCAATCAATTGGCAAAAGAATGTATGGGAGTTGGATTTAGAAAATCCGTCGAACAACGGTTTTGAAAACGAAGACTTGATTGTTTGGATGCGTACAGCTGCGCTTCCTGACTTTCGTAAACTTTACCGGCGTGTCGATCATTCTGTTGATATGTTTTCAAACGGCTTGCCCAAAGGAAATTACACGTTGTCCATAGAATATAGTAATTGAAAGAAATCGGTGTTGAATCGAAAAACTCATTCAGTGTTTAAAAAAAAAAAGAAAATAAATAATTTTAACACTAATAAATTGTGTTTAGACTACCCCGTGGCCGGATTTGGAGGTACCAAGAGCCTTATATTATCCAACACATCGTTTACCGGAGGAAAAAATCATTTCCTCGGATACGCTTACATAGTGGTTGGATGTATTTCCTTCTTCTTAGGACTGTTGTTCATGTTGATTCATATTAAGCACAAACCTAGGTACGTGTTACTGTAGCAATGTAAAATCATTATTTGTATTCAATTATACACGGTTGCGTTTATCGTTAATTATCATAAATTAGTTCGCGAACAATACGACACGATTCGTTCATTGAGCTTTTACACATAGTATAACATGTTTAACTGATTTGTTTCATTAATTCAGCTCTTATTGGCCTTATCTAAATTTTTTTATCAACTTACAATTTAAAAAAAAAACAATATTTTTGATTTTAACTGTTCTTGTTTGAAACACCGATTGATTATTGAATTTGTATTAAACTTAACTGAATATTTTTTCGTTGTTTGATTTCAGTGGTATTTCAGAAAACGTCGTTGTAGTCGATCCGTCTACTTCGTACCATTAACTCGACTCGGAAAATTAATTAGAGTTAAGTATATTCACATAATTATTTCTACACACTGTCACGTTTATTGTGCTATGTTAGAAACAATAACCAATGAGCTTTACGGAACACAATGTGATATGCATTTTTATAAATCATATATATTCTAATAGATCACATTCTTATTTTCACTGTTGCAATAATATGGCTTTGTAAATCGAACAGTTTTAATACTGTGTGTAAGATTTACAGCGTTAGAGAATATAGTTTTAAACATTTTGTAATTTTATAATAATTATTTATTTTTTTTAATGATGCTTACTTACAAACTTATAATACCAACGTTAACTATTGCTAACCACGTAAACTAAATAATTTGTACGCTCATCCTATGTTATCAATGGTTATTATATGTTTGTAAAAATTTAGTATAATGTTATATTATTGGGCTAAAAGATAGTATGGTATAGTATATATATTTTTTTTATATCACCGACGCCACGTTAACCCGCCCGGGGATCTCATATTGTACTTACAACACAATTGTAGATTATTTTTTTTATTAAATTATGCACGACTGTTATTTTATACAATACGTCCTAATATTGTTAAGTTAAACACACACCAAAAAAAAAAAAAAAATACAATTTTCAGCAAACAAAACTGCCGGATTTCTTGACAAATTTATATTTTGACTAGTACTAGCTTATTAACTGTATATTTATAAAGTATTACAATATAATTATGTATAATTATGTTTGCTAACTAAACAATTAAATTGCTGTGCCTTTATGACTAGTCATATGATTAATAATATGTTTATTAGAGTTAGCGATAAATGTTATCTATTATATTAGTATGTTTAAACTGTAGATCAATATTTTTACTATGATTATTATTGTTAATTTAACAGTATGAATTATTTACACCAAATATATTATTTATTGAAAATGTGATTGCTCGGCATTTTACAAATTGTTGTTTCCTGTTAACGCCGATCGAACAATACATTTAAATGAAAATCTTTAAGTTTATCAACCACAAAATAACTAAATTTTAATTTTTTATCTACTTACACCGATGTGAAAATTGTACAAGAGTGCAATTTTGAGCTCGTTTGTGCCGATTAAAATTAAATTAATTTTTATTATTGTATAACTACTAAAATACATTTCGATTGACATTTTTACCAAAACAATTTTTACATTTCCTAAAATCAAACCTAGCAAGTTAACTTGTTTTTGTAAAGAAAGAATAAACATTGCTGTTGTGTTGATTTCATATTATGGAATGACCCAAATTCCAATTATTGTGATGCAATTTCATGGCATCGCCGCCGTTACATCATCTTGCTTCAAAATCATTTTACAACAGAAAAATCTGAACGATGACCCAAAGTCGATGGATCAAGTTAAATTGAATCTTATTATAATTTATCAACAAGGAAAGATAGTTGTTTTTGTGTTGAGGTCGGCGACAAGGCTAACCAGCCAAATAAATAAATTTGTTTTTCTAAAAAAAATTTTCCAGAGACAATAACGGGACGGCACCAACCGTACCATAATCCACAGTATCGAATACACCATGGGACAGTTGTCGTAATTCACATTATTGGGAGTGATGGTTTTTTTTTTTTTTTAATAAAATAATATTTTATTGTCTATAATAAAATATAAATTTACTATTATTTCAGCGCCTCCTGTAAAATTGCATTATTGAGGATTACATCAGTTGGCCTATTAACCGACGGTATAGTAAATAAAACCATTCTAAAATAATTATTTGCCGGATTACCCGTGTGATAAAAATAATAGGGGGTTTTTCAAATTATTACCTTATAATAATATAAGATGACCTTGTGTGCCATTTTTTCAACGGTTTTTTTTAGCAAAACAAACTATTCAAAGAAAAACAAATTATATATCATAAATATATGAAATTCGTTTTTTCTTAAACGATGGTTCTGTTCTGTTCAATCAAATTCAAGTATGAAAATTTGATCAAATGTATACACATAATAAATAACCTCAAAACAAATTTGTCATAGATATTATATTTTATTATAGCAGTTTATGTAAATTATCTCTGGAAAAAATGCATATTATGTGAATCGATGGGGTTTTTTTTTGGTTAATTTTTCGGAGAACGCCTCAAATGTAAATTAATATGACGTCTGATAAAACGAATAAAAACACTAATGGTGATTTTTAAGTTACCCACATATTTAATTTTACAATTTTCTAAAACGGTCACTTGGAAAAAATGTACATTGCATTATACAATTATTATTATTAATGTAAAAAATATTTCCTCCGGATAGTTTTTTAAAACGTCCACTTTTTCCAATCGCCATGTAGGACAAATGTCTGTTGGTAAAAGTGGAGGTCGGTAAACGTTGTAGCGACCCGACTTTATCAGTGAGAACAGCTGCAGCACGTCCACATACTGACTGATAGATAAAAAAATATATAATATTAAATAACACTAATTGAGAATTATTATTATTATTGTCAATTTATAGGCATATTCTATGATTATTTAGAAGCCGAGTACGCCGGAGTCGTTAAAAATGGAATGAACATAACATTTAAAATCAAAATTTAGCCATCGAACAAAATTGAACAAATCCAAGCTCTCTACAAAATAGGTAAACTCATTTAATTTAATCGTTTATTTTGAAAATTCCGATTGCTATGTGCTCCTAGTGTGCGTTTATAAAGGTAAACCGTTCAACATTGTGTATTTTTAAAATTTTTTCTTATATAGGTATTACTATTTTATATCTTTTTTAATTTTCGTTTTACGACAATCCTGTTGTAAAATTTTACAGCGTTAACCACAAGAGCGATACGGTAATAAAATATCCATTAAATTTTAACGTTAATTAGATTTGGCGATCTCAGTTTAATCATTAGGTATCAGCTCAATGTCTAATTTCGTCGGCATAACCTAAAAGAGCACACCTTTTTCGATTAAAGTAATTGATACTTTACGCTAAATTTACTATTAATCAAACACTACAACTGTAACTTGGGACTTTTTTTTTTGTAATTTACTTTTCGAACGCTGTTGGTTGTAGTGGAACAATCATTTTATTTTCCAGATAAATAATCATGGCATTAACTTTATGCAAGTGCTTAGCGCTATTGTTTTTGATCGAAAACGTAGTTTGTGCACCGCCGTCGTATGTTACTAGCACTAGACCGTCAGTTCGGTTGTCCGATCAAGAATTCGAACATCTCGTTAAGGAAGAACAAGAACAAAATCCTAAAACTCATCAAGAACCTCCAAACGAGAAAACATTGGTAAATAAAAACTACCAATAATATTAGCTATTGTCAAATAACGGTTTGGTTATTATTTTTCTAATCCAAAACACAAAAGTGTTGAGACGTATGTAATGATATTCTAATAGTAGATTATATTACAGGACGACTTGGGTATTGAATACAACCGTTATTTACGTGAAGTCGTAGAAGCATTAGAGAAGGATGAAGATTTCAAGAAAAAACTTGAAACCGCCGATGAAGCTGATATTAGAGTGTGTAGTTTTTTTTCGTTTTATTTAATTGCTGCAGCTTAGTAAGTTGGGGCAAAGCACAAGGTTGCATGTATAATATTATTATTATTGTCATTCAACAGACCGGTAAAATAGCCGATGAACTAGACTACGTACATCATCATATACGATCAAAGTTGGACGAACTAAAACGACAAGAACTAATGAGACTGCGTTCTTTAACCAAAAACGGCTATAGCGACATGGTGAACGAACCGGGCCACGTCGATCACCAGAATCCACATAGTTTCGAAAAAAAAGATTTACTTAAACTTATTAAACAGGTAACAAAAAGGGATCAAATTTATCCCATTTGTTTTTTTGTTTTTATTTTAATTAAAATAATAATAAATTTTAGGTGGCTCAAGATCTAGAAGAAGCAGATGAAAAACGCAAACAAATGTTTAAAGAATACGAAATGCAAAAACATTTCGAACGGGAACAAAAATTGAAACAAATGACCGATGCTGAACGAGAAAAATTTCTAATTGAAGAAAAAGCAGCCGAAGCGCAGAGGGAAAATAAACATAAAAGCGACCCTGTAAGGCGATCATAATGATAATAAAAACTACTTACTATTTAAAAATAAAACGAAAATTGTTTTAGATTCATAGTCCCGGAAGTAAAAAACAGCTTGAAGAAGTATGGGAGAAACAAGATCAAATGGAAGGAGAAGAATTCAATCCGAGAGCGTTCTTTGCAATGCACGGTACGCTGGCGAAAATATAATCATAATTTTAACTTAATTGCTGCGTACACGTGTTTTGGCGAAATGTTTAAATTATGATTTTCGTTAGATATCGATGGCAATAGTTTTTGGGACGAAGACGAAGTAAAGACGTTGTTCTTGAGAGAGTTGGATAAACTTTACAACCAGGGTATGAGCAAAGTGGACTTGATGGAGAAAGCAGAAGAGATGGAGCGCATGCGCGAACACGTATTCAACGAAATGGACGTGAACCGAGACAGACTTATCAGCTGGGACGAGTTCAAGCGCGTGTCCGAACAGCCGGCCTTTGAAAAGGACGAAGGGTGGAAAACTATCGATCAGAACGAGATATACACCAACGACGAGCTTAAGAAATTCGAACAACACAGACAGCAACAAGTCGACCAAATGATACAAAACGGACGGGTAAGTAAAAAACTACTGAACACACTCTGTATTATATATTATTACCTTTGTGATTGAAAATTATTATTAACTCTTCATTGTAAAATCTTTTTTTTTTTCTCAGATTCCTCAGTACCCTCCTGAATATTATCAGCATCATCCAGTGAGTAACAATTGAAATTGATCGAATGAAAATATTATATTTTATCGTGTCAACAAATTGAATTGCTTTACTCTTTTCACAGGAAATCCCAAATCCTTCGTTACATCACGGTCCTAATTATCAAGTAAATTCTAATCAGTACCATCCTCAATACATGGGACATCCGCAACAAGCCCAACAACCGTACGTCCATCCGCAACAAGCCCAGCAACCGTACGTCCATCCGCAACAAGCCCAGCAACCGTACGTCCATCAGCAACAAGCTCAGCAACCGTACGTCCATCCTCAACAAGCCCAGCAACAAAACGACTACTTACAGCAACAGCAGCAGTTTGCCCAACCCGTACGGCAAGTACCGCAAAATCAACAACCTGCGGCTGCGCAACAGGCGCAAAGCCAACAGCAACAACAACCTGCTAACCAACAGCTACCTCAAGCGCAACCACAACAGCAGCAAAATGTTCCTCCTGTTCAACAATATGCACCGCAGCAACAACAGTACCAAGCTGGTGGTGGTGATACATTGAAAAATCAAAAGATCAAAATCAACGACGTTGAATCTAATAATAAAATCATTAAGAACTCGAAAGAAAATTATGGAAAAACCGGACACGTGGCGGGAACTCGTTAAGGTTACGTTAACAAGGCGATCAAATATTTGAGCTTTTACTCTTTATTATTCTATTAAAAAAAAAAAAAATTTACTCCATAATATTATTTTGTTATTTATATTATATACAAAACAATTATACTTAATTAATCTTTTATAAATCATTTATTAGTTATTATTGTTCTCTCGTTGCTGACGGTTTAAATGATTTTACCATAGTGATAGATATACAAATATAAGTACTGAACATGCTAATATGTTTATAAAAAAAAGGTAGCTATGTCGGAAACCGCCATTGCCGTAGTTTTATCTGCAATAAGAATAGTAATTCTTACGTCCGATGATCCTGCCCTATGACGTAACGTCTAAGTAACAAAAAGTTTAGTGCGGGAAATCCAAAGAGGGTCTTTTTAGAGCCAAAGGGCGGTCATTTAAGTGGTAGACAGGAGCGTGGCCTTATCTTAGACCTCCACAATTCGGTGGGAGACCAATGACAGTTTACAAGAGACGGGATATACATGCCGTGTACCCTAAGTTTAAGTCGTCTCTGAGTAACGTATAAGATTGACAAGCTCTCGGACTCTGGTTCAGTGCAAGTAGAACTGCATCCGATTCCAACACGTTTGCGACACAAGGATTTGGCTATCTGTGTTGCAAGATGCACTGCACATGATTAAGTAGTTATTTATATGTATATATATTTTTTTTTAATTAAATTTCCGAATATATTTTATTAGTAGGTACCACTCGAACTGAAATAATTATGAATTTTGATTTATTTATAGGTAATCTGTGCCCTGAAGGTAACTAACTAACAACGTGAGCAGTTTGCTGTGGTTTGGTTTTTTTTTTGATGCAAGTTGTGAATTTGAAATAATACAAATTTCAATTTTTCAAAACAAGTAACAACTAATATCACATGTTTTTACTTTTTGTATAAAAAAAAAAAAATTGCTAATGAAAAAACAGCTGATATAAATATGTGTCATTGCTGATAAGGTCGGGTTTTTTTTTAATTGATAACGTTTTGTAGTTGTTCCGGGTTTACCGTCAAGGACGACTAATGATTAATTTTCAAGTTATTTAATAACAATATTATTGATATTAGTTTTACTACAAACTACAAAGTACAATATTATATTGACATCCAGTACCATTTAAAAATAATATGCCAAAAATACCCGAACAATTGTGAATTATTAATTTTAATATTATGTCTCTTAGACATAAAGCATAATAATATGATGAAATTTCAAAATCAAATGTGTATACGGACGTTTTTTTATTGCTATTTATTAGTTCAGTTATTGTAGTTTGGCGGTTATTTTGATTTCAGAGAATTATATTTTTAAAATAGATGATTTACTGAAAATTAGTTATTCATCGTTTTTAACGAAAACTATAAGATATTTTACATGTTTAATTATTATTAATATTAATATTATTGTATTGATTAGATTTGTGTGGGTTTTATCGACGTTCAACAATCGATATTTTACTATCGATATATTGTGCGTGTGTTCTCGATAATCGATAATAGTGTTATGGAAAACCAGGTGAAAGGTCGTGTACCTGTAACAAATAATTGTAGCAATCGAGTGTTAACATTACTGTTATGCAATATTTGTTAATAAAATACAACGTGTAACAAAGTTAAAAAAAAATAACATACTTGTCCTATGTGCACTTCATAATTAAACTTCAAGGTATTGCATTGCACAGATTGTATTTATTTTGATTGAGTATTCAAGGCCAACGTCTGAAACAACTTGGCAAGAACAATAATTATTATTATTAAGTTGTCCTTTTATTACTCTTTTAGAAGTCGACACAGTTGTTCATTTATTTTTATTAGATTAAACTAGGAATTTATTTTATCCTGTGTTGGGCGAGCGTTCGAAATGATTACTATCAATCGAGTAAGATTGCTTCATTTTAATGAATTTAGTTGTTATGTGTATTTCATTAATTTGATTATATATTTATATAATTTCAGTCATTGCGCAACGTGTGTCGTAAGTCGAGATGTATCGTTGCTCACAGAAAGTACAGCGAACAAGCTCAAGACACTCCTTTTTCTCTCGGTCAGTATTAGTTTGCGTGTAGTATTTATTGGACTATATGAGGCGACAAATAGAATAAACGTTTGCTGCTGTTTTTAGAATTATCCGAGACCCAAAAGGAATTTCGGGATCTCGCTAGGAAATTTGCCCGTGAAGAAATCATACCCGTGGCCGCTGAACACGATAGGACGGGAGAATATCCATGGGAAATTATAAAAAAAGCACACGCCGTCGGTCTTCTCAATGGACATGTCCCAGAACATTGCGGTAAGCAGTCGTTGAAAGAATAATAATATATTTAATATAAACCTTTTGGAAAAAACTAAACTATTATTACGTTGCACCACCAGTCGATGTGTACAGAGGGATAGATAAACCAATTATGAACATTTAATCTTTAAAACTCATACCGCAAAGGCAAATTAATATAAATATCAATTGACGTCTAGTGAGGCAGCGTTCAGTTGATAATGAAAATCGTGTACTCGCGAATAGAGTACACACACGTTTAGTTACGAGTACACGCAAACATAAAAAGTTGGACAACTTTGTTATTACGCGGTAAATTGGATTTTACATGGCCCGATTATTTTTCGGTCGTGTAAATTGTAATAACATATTAAAATGTTAATTATTTCTACAATATACGTCTTAACTCAGAGGTTCACTTAGTATTTAAAAAATATAAGTAATACTAAAGGCAAATTATATATTTTTTTTTTAAGGTCTAACGAGTTGTGTATTATAAAAATGAAAATTTTATTTGATAAACAATAGTAATATTTTGTATTTCACCAGTTGATTATATGTCACATAGATAATAGCGGTATATAATTTCTCAATTATCGTTTATGAATAAATAAACAAAAATAAACAGATTAAAAAACAACATTTTTTATTAGGCGTGTTAAACAAGTTTACTATAACCAATACCAACGCCCGTAACTAGAATTTTAGAATCGTAACCTTGACGTAATTCTTCGTCTTCTTTATTATCACTGTAAGGTTCTAGCTTGAACGAAATACCGAAAAATTCTTTCAAGTGCCTCAAAAACTGTATCCTGTGAGAAAAAATGTAAAATGTATTATTAATTAAACAAAAACGATGTAAATTTTGTACTTACGTGTACGGTGATAACGGCCCTAAGACCACGTGGGACACGTCCTTCTGACGAAGTGTCATATAAATTAGTACTAACGATTGAAATGACGAATCGACGCATCCTCCTCGCCATATTTCCTCTAGCGTGGCAGAGGAGACGTTTTCTGCAATTTCTTCTGCGGTCGTTCTTTGACCACTGAACGGTAATGAAACGCTGTCCGCACACAATGTTACACCAGTTGTCGTCAACGCTACTATATTGGCACCAAAACCCGGTGACTTGCCGCAGAGTTTCCCTTTGGGATGATCTACAGTGAAATATACGTCTGGGATATATTTGATCATGTTCGCTTTGGCTTTTTCCACCATTCGGTTGGCGATCGTCGGCGACACTCTTAATGAAAAAAAAGTCCCGCGAATTTTTTTGATTTTTCCAAAGTCGGTTAACTGTAAAAATGTATAATGAACAAATTTCTTTTAAAACCGTTTACAATTACCAAACCATGTTTCAAAAGCTGTAAAAGTTTTTAAGTCAAATTTATGGTATTACTTGAATTGGCTTGGTGTATTTAACGGGTTCACACGAAAAATATATTTCACCACCTCCTTCGGGCTCCATTCCACGTTTTTTGATTTCCATACTGGCATCGGTCGCCGCCAACAATATTCTTTGTAAAATAGGTAACGCTGCCGCTTTAAAAGAATCGACAGACGGATCTTTCTGCAAATAGAAATATGAATTGAAACTTTTTTTCCAATAGCGCGACACCTTTACTTATTAACAATACCTCGTTATTAGTCACCCCTTTGAGTGTAATTTGAATTCCTTTCTTACAATAAGGAGCAACCATAATGATTAATTCCAAATAATATCCTATTCCACGTAATTTACAACACTCGTGACTAATTGAACCGCCGATTAATAGGCCCGGTTGAAAGTACAAATCTGTACCGGTTTCGTTAACGTCCAACGAGGTGCCGTTAGTGATTTTGTCGACCAAACGGAGAAAGTTGACTTCGAATTCTGAAATTATTTGTTTACAAAAACACAGTTATATTATTACGTGCCACTATATGAATGATGTTACACAACACAATGTGTTTTACCTTTAAGACCCGGTTCATTGTCTCGTGAACGAATGTTCCGAATTTTTACTGGTTTGCCACTTAGGAGTGATAAAATTATTCTGGTACGAAAACTACTACAGCCTTCAAAAATCATAGTAATTTTTTTGTTTTATCTTTGGTAAAAATACAAAAACAATATCATGCACTTATTAAGTGCATAGTAAATTAAAAGAAATTCCTCTTTTTTAAGCACTTAAATACTTTTTTTTTTTCGTGAGTACTTGTTAAGCAAAACATTAGCAGGGGAAAACTTCACAGTTCACGCACCACGTGACGGTGAAACGATAAACATAATAAAAATTAAAAACATACATGATATTGTTATCAGTCGACCGTCACGTTATCACCTATTTTTCTTATCATTTTTGGATTACAGTGGTGCCATTCCTCACATTCAAAATATTGTACCATTATTAATAATAAAAAAAGTACAATTTCGACTAATCAAGTTAATTTCATATAAAATTATAAATTTATTATACCCGATTTATGTACAGAATATTGATGTACATTTTATATTCTACTCAAGTAACTGAAATTACTATAATACTATTCGATAGCTGTAGGTATACTCGATATTTGAGTAGCACAAAAAAATATATATATATATAATATATTCAATTACTCATCATGATGTGCTTAACAAATTCTAATTAATATAATACTAAATAAATAATGATTAATTATTTTTAATAATGAATTATTGAATGGTTAAGGGATTTTAGACAGTTAGAATTTTTTTCCTACTAAAATTAATATTTATAAAAAATGGTTTCTACAATTTTATAAATTAAGTGAAAATTAAAAAAATCATCAATAAACAATATGTGCTAATCGAATTCTTATATTATTATAATTAGGTGGGTTGCATATGTCTGTCACCGACGGTTGTTTGGTAGCCGAAGAATTGGCTTATGGCTGTACAGGTGTGATGACAGCTCTTGAAGCAAGCGGTTTAGGGGTAAGAAATCGAATAAACGTCGACAGAGGTCACTGCCACTTTTGTCAGTTGTGTGATTAATTTTTTTTTCTCTCTAGCAAATGCCCGTTATACTCTCTGGAAACGAAGAACAACAAAAGAAATATTTGGGGCGGCTCATCGACGAACCATTAGTGGCTGTAAGTGGTGCGCGTTAATGTCAATTGAAAAACATAATCTTATAGCGGCTTAAACATTTTCCCTAGGCTTATGGCGTGACCGAACCGGGTGCAGGTTCCGATGTGAGCGGCATCAAAACAAAAGCCGAAAAAAAAGGTGACGAATATATTTTGAACGGCCAAAAGATGTGGATAACAAATGGCGGTGTTGCCAATTGGTATTTCGTATTGGCTCGTACCGATCCCGACCCGAAAACCCCAGCCGGCAAAGCGTTCACAGGTTTCATTGTTGACGGCGATAGTCCAGGACTTACGCCGGGACGAAAGGTACGACAAAAACAGATTGTTCGATGAAACTGAGCGATTACATTTAGGAATATTATTCTGTTATGTTTTTTAGGAGTTAAATATGGGACAAAGGGCTTCCGACACTAGAGGAATTACATTTGAAGATGTTCGAGTGCCCAAAGAAAACGTTTTAGTTGCCGAAGGACAAGGATTTAAAATTGCAATGTCTACGTTCGATAAAACGAGACCGCCAGTAGCCGCTGGATCTGTAGGCTTAGCTCAGAGAGCCATGGATGAAGCGGCCAAGTATTCTTTAGAACGTAAAGCCTTTGGAGTGCCGATTGCAGCGCATCAAGCAAGTGCCCGTTTAGTTAATTTGCTTATGTTTTTGTTTTTGAACTCTCTTCGTCCTGGCCTAAGCGCTTCTCTACACTAGCACTAGCCGTGACTCTAATTTTGGACGTTTTATTTTTAGGCTGTAGCTTTTATGTTGGCCGATATGGCTATTGGCATCGAAGCCGCTCGGTTGACTTACTTGAAAGCCGCTTACGAGGTTGATCAAGGCCGGCGAAACTCGTACTATGCGTCCATATCGAAAGCATTTGCGGCCGACGTGGCCAACAAGTGTGCTACGGACGCAGTACAAGTATGCTCTTACATATTTTACGTGGAAAAAAATATCTCTATATATATGTTACAACTTGAACGTTAATTTCTAGATTTTCGGCGGCAACGGTTTCAACACTGAATATCCGGTCGAAAAACTGATGAGGGATGCGAAAATTTACCAAATCTACGAGGGAACCGCACAAATACAGCGTTTAATTATCTCTCGTGAAATAATAGAAAAGGCGAAACAAAGAATGTAAGGTTTTCATGTGTTCCAATAGGCAAATGCAGTATATTATTAATAATTGAGAAAGACTTAAAGAAGTAAATATATTGGTATACAAAACTATGGTTTATAATTGTAATTTTACACAAATATTATTTTTATTATATTTTAAGGCAGTCTTCGATGGATTGCAATTTTAGTAATTATTATATAAATATATATTAATATTAAAACAATGGTAACAAATAATAAAATAATAATATATTTTTTTCTACACCACTCGTTATTAATTATCATTATTTTTATATTTGTTCCCACCATTTGTTCCTCTTATTTTATTAATAAATAAATAAACAAACAAATAGGAATATATACAAATCAAAACAACTTTAAATGCAGCATTATAGAAATTCTTACGACTAGAACAAAACAGAGTTGCAAGTTTATATTTCTACAGACGTGTTAATTCGTACAAAAGGCTTAAAATGTAAAATTTGTTAAATACAAAACTACGTGAACATGAATGGTAAAATATTATTATATTTTATACATTTTTTTTTTTTTTTATGAACGATTATAATAAAAAAATATAAAAACGCTTTAATTTTAATATTGATATTTATGTATCAAATAGATTCTTTATCTGAATCTATTGAAAAAAATACTATTAATTGTTGAAGTGAAATTTTAATGTATATATCTAAATAATAAATATTTAAATGTAAAAGATTAAGCAAGAGAAAAAGCTTAGTACAAAAAAGGTACAATGTTTATTTGTAAAGGGTAAAAATGGCTATGAGTAGTAAAATCTCATGGGTACCCTGTGTATAAATATTTGATGATATATATATATATAGGTGGTTGTTATACATACAAAAAGAAAGCTAATAAACAAAACAAATAATAGTAATTATTATTTTATGCTACACTGTATGTACACACAATGTTTAACTCAAAAAAAAAAAAGAAAAAATGATGACAATCAAATTCACAACATGTATAAACTTTTTTTTTTAAGGTTAACTGTAAGGGTTTAAAAAGCTCATAATCAGTTTACGGAATTTCATCTTGAATCCGTTCAAGCGCGTGCACTTGTGTCAAACGTGCCTGGTGCCGTATTGTGTGTTGTTTTTAATCAGCGAAGAGGTCTGCGCAATTTCCTCGACGGTCGCTTTTCTCATTATCGGCTGACGGATTCGCCAACCAAACTGACTGCGGGACATGTCGACGTCGCGAAACGAGTTCAACATGAATATGGCCGTTACCGTGATTAGAAATCCGCAAATTATTCCGATAATATCCTGGAAAAATAGCAACAACAATTACATAAGAAAACTACTCTCGATGTTTGCATTTCGGTCGTACGTTCAGATACAAATTGTCCCACTCCTTGAAAAGTATGGCCGAAGCCGTGATTACGAGCGACGTAAACATGACATAGTACACCGGGGTGACCACTCCGGTGTTGAACGTGTCCAAAGCTTTGTTCAAGTAATTCATTTGGATGCTCACGAAAGCGACCAGTAAAACAATAAACACGTACGTTAGCCAATTGCTAAATTCGCTCTGTCCTGAAATATTATTAACACGAGACGAAAATATTTAATATTATAACAAGAAATAAGTTAAATTCAATCAATGCATACCAGTAATTGTTTCTCGTATGGCCAACCCAAGTCCTTTGACCCACATGACAGTCAACGAACCGGCAGCGGAGCACATTGTAACGTAGACGATTACGTTTGACGATCCGTAACGTGGCCCGAAGTAAAAGAATATCGACGCTATTATCAGTAGCATAATGCTGGTGTAAATGATGAAACCTTGAAACAAATTAAAAAACGTATGTAAAATTGCTGTTACCGCCAACGGAGAGCGACAGAGGAGGAGTTTGATAAGAAAAATGTCCAACCGGGTTCAGTGAGTTTTTCCAATAATACTGCCATGTTGTCGATTGATTCTTCTTTGGGAGAATGGATTACCATTACGGTCGAGCCGATTATACACATAAAGCAGCCAATCTGAAAAAAATACAATTTAATAAAAACGTTTTTTTAAATAAAGAAATAATTTTAATTGAACTCGACTTATTATCTAAATAAATTATTTGGTTTAAAGTAGAAACTAAAAGTTATATTGAATAATTAATCGAGTGTCATGATTTGAAATTTTATAAGTGGGTTTTTTTTAAAAATTTTTGTCGCCCTAATTAAAACACACCTTTGCTAGTAAATTGAGTTGCTCGTTTAAGTACTTGGATGATAGTATTGCCGAAACTATAACGCTGATAGCTCCAAGAGGCGTCACCACTGAAGCCGGAGCAAAAGCGTAGGCGGCAAAATTGAATATTTCGCCGACCGCCACTAAAGAAAAGAAATTAATCATTAATGATACATAAAAATGTAATAAAACTTGCACAATATTAAATCAAATTTGTTGATTACTCATTGATAATCCGCACCACCATAGCCAATTTGTCAAATAGCCGTAACCACCATTTGCTGCTCTTCGACCACTCCCTAACGATAAGTGAATGAGAGCTTTTTTCTTTATGATAAAACTAGCACCTAAAAAACAAAAAAAATATATAAGTATTCAAATAATAAATCAAATAATTCAAATAATTCAAATAATTAGTTGGTAATACAAAGTGTATTAGTCACACTATCTACACACTCAAATAAAAAGCATCTTCTTCAAACTAATCACATTCTGTTATGACGCGAATGCTATTTTAAAACTATTAAGTTATATTACTTATTTGGTAATTTATACCAAATGAAAATGTACAAATTAAAAAAAACAGCTAATCCTGAATTATGCATTTTTTAAGACCAGTCGATTTATGTATTAACCGTCGAACACGATACTGTGAGCAATGTCACGCTGACAGCCCTTTGGCCCTTTGTCGGGGAGCTTACTCGACGGGATAGAAAATTATTAATATTATAAAATGTTGTGTAAGACGTAGATAACGCATTTTTTTATACCCCGTCAAATAAAATATGTACTGGAAATTACTTTAAACTTTTATCTTTAGAACAACTATCCACTAACGATCGACTGAACAACAAAATGTTAGTTCAACAACGTGCGTCGACCACACGATGTAGCGCTCGAACGGAAACCAGTAGAGGGCACTTTGAAATGAAATATTTTTATTATTAACAACATCGGTAATTGCTGCTGGGTTTTAATTGCACACACACGGGGTTAATAAAATCATAGTTTAGTAGGTACATACCGATGAAGCCGCTGGACGACAACGCTAGGCCCAGACCGATGTAGTAATCGGTCATGCTGTAGTTGACGTTTCCTTGATCTTTGTCCGGCATGTTGAAAAACCGACTAAAAACGACTCTGGCAAATTGTTTTTAGTATGAAAACGGTAAAAAAAAAAAAAAAAAATATAACACCAATTTTAGGTCATTTGTACGCAGATATAGCTGTATCTCGGTATCGCACTAATAACAAACAAAAGAGTTTTTTTTATTATTACTATTATCTTAGAACCGACATCAAACTGGTATGTTTCAAGAGGTGAGGTTTTCGGCCGAATACAATAACAAATAATAACCGACGACGATGAACCGCGACCTCGAGACAAACAAATTACAAATAAGTTATGAATATAGGTATGTATATAATAATAATAATATAATAATAAAAAGGAATGTAAGTATATTGCTAATCGTCGATAAACACCATAATAATTTAATAATAGGTAATATATAATAATATTGAAATAGGTACTCTGTTAATCACTCCTAGCTGTGGCTGTTGATAACATTATGTAACGTCATAACGCGAATATTGTGCAAAGGCACGGCCGTGACTGCAGCGCAAAGAACAACCAGAAGGGAAACTCGTGAAAAAAATTCCATCCGTTAACCTTGGTTCAAAAAAAGGCCGGCCGCCATATTGTTTTATCTATTATCAGCTATTACAATGATAATTGGCACGCGGTAAAACAGAGAAGCGAAAAACAAACTTCTTTTGCTATTTTGGTTTAAAAATCCGTTTCCCATATAACCAAGAATAAAGTTGCCAATAAATGTTTTTACAGAATTTTAAATCGGACCATTCTAAGTAGTCGAAATTTTGTCTGGCTTTTTGGTCAGAAACGTCAAAAAAAAAAAGACCGCATGCAATCACGTTAATATATAAATGTAAAAATAATTACATACAAATAATATATTATAAAATGATTTGATTGGAAATGGATTTTGAAATTCGAGACAGCATTTTTTATTGTTATTAATTTTTAAAATCTATTAATAATAGTATTTTTAACTTTACTGTTGTACATTATTGTTATTTATTTTTAACAAATTCAAAGACTTAATGATATTTATCTAGTTTGTTACTACTATTTTTTTTGTAAATAAATATGGAATATGGGTGTATCGTACATGGGTTTCATATTATATTTTATTTTTTAAATACTAAAACTAACTTTAATATATTGTTACATTTTTAATTTTGTTTTTTATCGCACAAAAGACATAAAATGTATTATATAGTTTTACTACAATACATACAATTTGTATCAAAAAAAAATTAAAAGCAACCGTCCCACATTTTTACGTTTATCAATAATACAGTCAATCTATGTACCAATTATTAATGTCATAGTAATTTTATGATACAAATATTATTAGTAAATTATTTAAAATATGCATCAAGGTTATGGCAAATTATTGTATAGGGAATTTCTTGTGTAAAATTGTTTTCAATAACTTTCTTATTATAATACAAGGCCATTAAATTTATTGTGCGTGAATGCGCAAAAACAAAATGTCGGCGGCCATTCAATTCAGGCCAGAGTTTCCGTTCTGGTTTTTTCTGTGGCTGCTGCAGCAGCGACTGTTATCAGTTGTACATTCCAACGTGCAGCCGTGCAGCTGCGTTAGGTTATAGATAACGCGATAAGGTCACGTGACACTTCCCTTTTTAGCTGGCCACTGCGGTAACGAGACCCGCCTATTATTGTATCATTAATAATAATTTTGTTGAAATAATGGGTTTTTTTTCGATTTATAAAATGTACACGTTTAGCTATAATATTATGTTGAAATTTATTAGAAAAGAAAAACAATAACTATTAAAATTTATCGATATTGTGTTCCGTCTCGAGTGTTATGTGCTAATGAGTAATAATGCTCTTATAATAAAATATGGGTGAATTTTAATCATTTGCATAATTTTTTTTACCCAATTAAAATATATTAATGTGTATATTTTAGAAATGATTAAAACAAAAATTATTAGTGGTATAATCATGGACGGACAGTTATGTTCATAGAGAATGTCCTGGGAAAAGTTTTATTTCCCTGAAACTTTCACCAAAATTGTATTATTATTTGACATACCTATTATTATCAAATTAGACCAAATTAAATGTCTCGAATAATTAGAAACATGCGTATTAATGTTCAAGTACCAGTCACTTTTATCTTATCTAAGAAAAACATGTTTAAGTAATGCCAAAATTTTTTTTTGAAATTTAAAAAAAATACTTGTTAAATTGTTAATGTTAAATTTTGGTTTACTATCGTGCTTAAAAATAAAGAAAAGATTCGTTTTGTATTGTCAAACGAATTTTATAACAACAAAATCGCCATTATTAAAAAGCGATTTTCCAGCTGGTTTTTCCCCGTTTGATGATAATTGAAAATATATTATTTAAATTGAAAAAAATCTGGCACTTTCTTGTCGATTTTTTTTTTGGTCAATATTTTTCTTTTTGGAACTCATAGGTTGTTATACAAGAAGTGGTACTTTAATACAAGATATTTTATTTAATTGTCAATTCACTCAAGAGTAGCGGTACAGATATATTTTTTTTTTGTTTGAAAATTTGTATTTTAAGCTATTGTGCGGTAAGGATAATAGTTTAATATCGAAGAAATATGTTAGGATATAATATATTGTATATTGATAAATATAATAATGTTTTTAGCTAAAGCGTATTAATTTTATCATATTATAAATAATAAGGCAGCAAATATTTTTAGAGCTTTTTTGAGGTTATAACAATCTAAACAATTATATAAATTATTATAATACGCACTAATTATTTCAATGGAACCAGATTACAAAATGCAGAATTTAAAAGACGCTTAAGTCACAAAAATATTATATACTTAGATATTTACTAGATATTCAAAGTGCCAAAACATACATACATACAATTTCAAGAAAGTTTCAGGAAAAACCTAAAAAAATTGATTATTTTCTTTATTCAATTTTTTTTTTTAAATAAAATTTCGTAAATTGAATAAATTGCATAACAAAACTCGAATTATTCGTCTTTTTGAAAAATTAATTTTCTTTATTAAAATAAATAGCCGTATTTTTGAATTGAGTTGAACAAGTCGATTTGAAGTTGAAGTTTGAAGGAAGCAAGAAAGTGAGTGTATATTTTATATTTATACTTATTTTATGTCAATGTCCACTGAGAATAATAATAATGTGTCATCAAGTTATAATAGCGCATAATTGCATGTATAAAATATTGAAATTAAAATTTTTGAAAAATAAAGACGTATGAATCATCAGCAACATTTTGCGATAGCGATAATAGGTTTTGGAAATGTGTATAAATAAAAATAATATACTAAGATAGTACATAATATAATAGTATTGTAATTGCATTATATATTTTCTAATCTTTCGAGTATGGACTATTGCGTCACAACAAAAGTATTATTATAATATTATCCCACCGATAATTAAAACGCCATTAAATATTTTAAGTAAAACTCATAAAAATTAATCAATATTATTTACAGAGGAAAAAAAAACTATAATACTTTAAATTGTGTATCTGAGATAAGGGTAATTATTCCACGAAGACAAGTTTTGCCAATTGAAGAAATATAACATAATTTTGTTGACAAGATAGGGTTTTTTTTTTATAGAATTGTTTGTACACCAAATATGTTATAGAATTAACCACTTTGTATAGAGACTAGGTATTTTTTTTTTTTAACATCTTCAAATTTGCACTTTATTAGATTTATATAAAACACAATTTTTTGTTTAAAGGAAAATTGTTTGAAAAATATGTTTCCCTTATCTCATTGGCTCGATGACAGTCGATGACGTCATTCATACCCTCTTCATTTGAGTGGTGTTATCACAATAATATCTTAGAAACAATATTTAACGATTAAATTAATTTAGATAATAAGTTATTCAAAATTAAACTATGAAACTTATTATAATGCATTTGAAAACTGGAAACAACCATCATCTCCATATTATATACTCTATACAAAATTCTGACCAAAATATTTTTATTTTGCAATCAATATAGCGAACATGGATCAATCGAGAGCGACCGGGGGCAGATCTAGAGATCTAGGAATAAAAATATAGTGGAGGGGGCTAGAAAAAATAATAATAAACATTTACAAATTACAAAGGTATGTTCCTGCTTAAAGTGAGACATAGGTAAACTCTAAGGTAGAGAAATATTTAGTGCTGGACGATATGGATCAATAGGCACAGTAGGTTCATGTGATTTTTCAACAGTTAACAATTTATTACTTCAAAAAACAAGATCTAACAAGTGGAGTGAGAGTAGTTACTTACATTGTTTATTTGAAAAAAAGTTGCAGAGAAATAGCTGTTATATATAAGGTCACTATCATCATTATCCAAAGATACCTTGGTAATACTATATAGTCACCACAGATAGTATTGTTGTTTTAGAGTAAAAAAAAAACCTATTATGAAATTTGTAGGTGAGAACTATACTTCTATGTTTTGTTGTTAAACCAATTTTCGCATAATGAAAGGGCATTTTTTTTTATTATTCAAAATATGTACATAATATCTTAAAAATAAAAATGTAATTTTTTAAAATCTAATTCCGACAAACTATTAATGTTTTGTTCGACTATTTATTTAGTTAATCCAACGAGAACTGTATTGTGTTTTTTTACTATTTCACTGGTACCAACAAAACATTTATTTACATAAATGTTAATAGGTATTTAAAGCTTTTGCAAAACTAGTTTTTTTTATCAAAACGCACAATTATCGACATTTTATAGATCACTGAAAATGTTACATATTTATTAGTCTGTTGACCTTTCAAATTTTGATTAATATGCACTGCTAATCTGACATCCATATTATATTATTTTAGCAACACGTGTCCAAAGTCTGACCAAAAGAATTTTATCAGATTTTTTATATTATCAAAACTGAACTATTGAACTGCGATTTATGCTACTGATTTTGAAATTTTTCAATAAAATATCGATTGACTACTGCAAAATGTAAATTTTAACAAAAATTAATTTATCAAACCGTCGAATTTTCAGTGTGTTTTAAATAAAACATACTACAAATAATAATTATAATATTATGCGAAATTCTCCATCTAATATATTATCATTATATTAACATCTGCAATTATTGCAAAATATGCTTGGAACGAATAATCATTCTCATAGACAATAGCTCCAATTGTTTTTTTTTCTTAGGTATTGTCTGCCTAAAATACACGTTGTTGTTAATTATTGTCAGCATAATATTTTGTCAGCAGCAGCAGCTGAACACAAAGATAGATTAAATACCATTATGTTAATCATTATTAGTGTACGCGGTATGTGAAGACAAAAAAAAAAAAATAAACGTTTGTTGGTTATCTACCATTGTGTGTAGCTGCTGTTTGTACTTGTTTAGATTTTGGAACGCCTTATCGTTGAATCGAAACACCTTATCAACAATCCACCTTAACTTTTCAATTTAAGCAGCCTGCACAGCCTACAGCAGCTGGAATCGCGGCGGCCCACAGTTGTAGATAATAATAATATGTATAGGATTACAATATTATTTTCATTATTACCATTATTATATTGTCCACAACCGTGTCCAGACCTTTCTCTCTCTCTCTCTCTCTCTCTCACTCGGGGAGTTAAAGCTCAATCTGCTTAATCATCTCTAGATGTTGTGTATCATGTCCTAGTCAAAACGTAATTACTTATTAGGTGATATTAAATTTTTAAGAATGAATACCTTTACCGATAGACTGATATGGTTCCTGCAGGTAAACTGAACTTTTAACTTTTAATAAAATATATATACCTATATATAATGTTGTATCGTCTCAAATTTTCACACCCCTGCGACGACGACGTGGGTCCGTGCGTTATTTGGTCGTACGTTGCTTTTAAACCTTACATCGACTCAAAGGAACGCTTGTTTTCTTGCGTAGTATACTTTTTATTTTATTAGTCCGATTGTATTTTTGGAAATAGTTTCTGTCGTGTTTCAACACAATCGGGCTCACGATCAATCCACTGTGTCAACAAATCGTACCAAGTTGTGTATAAACTGTTTTGTAAATATATGTGGTTTTGCTTGTCGTTTCAGATTTCAGACTTGCATCTCAGTATATTTCACGATTGGGGTAGAGTCACTGAGCTGAAAGAATTTTGTGATTTGACGATTGATACTATCAAGCCATTCGCCGTACTAGCTAGTGGTACGTACAGTTATTATTGTAATTATTTTTAAACATAAACTAGGTTTTATTTGATGTTTTTGAAATTATTCTTCATTGAAAAACTATTTTCTTCAAATACTAGTTTATAAATAATAATAATCCTTACTCTTTACTTGTAGGTGATTTGACTGATGCTAAAAATCGAAACGGCATAGGTTCAACACAATACGAAGAAGAATGGTTAGCGTATCAAGAAGTGTTAACAACTAGTAAAGTGACTGAGAAAACTAAATGGTTAGATATTCGAGGAAATCACGGTTGGTAATAAAATATATTTTGCCATGTTCTTTGAAGTATCATATTATTATGAAAATGAAAAATGATTAATTTTGTATTTTGCAGACAGTTTTGACGTGTCCAGTGAACAGTCGGTTAAAAACTTTTATCAAAAATATTCGCCTCAAGGCAAATTGCATCCACGATCGTATAACTACACAGTTACCAATCAAGCGGGCATGAGTCTCAAGTTTATTGGCGTGGACGCTTGCCTGGATCCGGGCCCCAAAAGGCCTTTTAATTTCATCGGCAACTTGGACGACGACGAAGTCGATCGTTTGAAAGCAATGGCAGCTAATACAAAGGATCCAATCGTTTGGTTTGGTCACTATCCGACGTCTTGTATACTGACCGAAGGACAACAAACTGTACGACGAAAATAGTTTATTACCCTATTGACGGTGAAACTATATTTTTTTTTTTATCATTCGTTATTTATCTTTTAGATACGATCAATTATCGGTGAAAACCCTTCATCGGTTGTATACTTATGTGGCCATTTACACACGTTGGCTGGATTAGTACCTGAAATGTACACCATACAAAATGAAGGTTTTGCCGAATTAGAATTAGCCGATTGGAAGGATTCAAGAATGTGAGTAAAACAGTAATCGTTTAAAAGTTGCAAAAACATAACGTATTATATTTGCGCAAACCGCGTTCCGAGGAAATGTATTCGATTTTTGTTCGTCATTCAACGTAAATTGTGTTGTTGATGCAGGTTTAGGTTATTGGCTTTCGACAGAGGATCTCTTACGTTTACCGATATTCGACACGGAAAATGGCCAGTTATATTAGTTACAAATCCAAAACTACCGTGGCTTCGTGTCAACGGCATGGAAACGGACGAAGATCGCATTGCCAACAATAACTATATAAGGTTTAAAAAAAAAAAAATTCAACAATACTTTTTCGCAATCGAGAAACACGAACAACGTTTTCTTTATTTTTGTATTAGAATTTTAGCGTTTTCGCTCGATCCGATTGAAAACGTTTTGGTGAAAATAGACAAAGAACTAGAATGGAAACAATGTATCGGTGTTGGAAACGCTAGTTCTATGTACGTGACCGAATGGAATGCTAACGATTACTCACGCGGAATTCATAATATACACGTGGGTCAAATTTGTTATATTTCATATTGACATATTGTATATAACTATATTTTTGTTAATTTTCCTAAAGGTCAGAGTTGAGGATATTCAAGGCAGAGTGCATGAAATCAGTCAGATGTTTACGTTGGACGATACCGTACCAGTAATAAAACATTTCACACAGTGGCCGCTCAATTTATATTTTCCTAACGTGGTACGTGGGTTTTTTTTCTATTTTAATAGTTTATCAATAACACGAATGTTAAAAAAAAAGCATATTAAATAAGGTATTTTTACAGCTATTTATGATGTTTCTGGTAGCGTCTTTGGCTAACGTTTTACCACTTTTATTTTTTCGATTTGTTTGCAAATGCACCAAATGTAAGTGTATTCTGTTTTATTAATACTTAGCTAAGTTAAATTATTATCGTTAAGTAAACCACTTGGTTACGCATTACTAAACGATTGTTTTATTTTATATTAACAATATTATAATTTTAATCGGTTTGACAAATTACTCTTGTGTTGTGTACGTACAAACAGTTTTAAATTATTTCTTTAAAACTAAATTAACAATGTGTCAAATTCATTACTTTGACGCAAACATATGTTTACGAGTACATTTTTGTGGCTTAGCTAATATATTTTATTTAAACCATTTATTGGCTTTGAGTACTTGGGGTTTTTTTTTTTCCATTGTATTCAAACTAATTTCATAAAAATGATAGGGCTACTAATAATTGGTAATATTGTCAAATAAAAGTTTTTGTTTTTGTTCATTTAAATTAGTCGAGACACGGATTTGTCACTTAAAGTCGAACGACTTATGGACATTTCTCTAAAGTTTAAGTTAAAGGTTAGACGTATGTTTTATGGTTTTATGAAAAAAATTTTCTCGGTTAATAGATCGCATCAGCTATAATGGAAAAATGAAGTTGATCAACAGGTATTCGAGAAAAATGGTTTTGTTATCAAGTTTAAATTGTATATTTTACCCGTTGACAATTTATTCGATCTTTCTGTGTACAGGTAAGCAATACGTTATTTTATAATAACAATTGAACTTGATAATTTTGTTTGTTATAGTATAGTATTATTTTTTAGGACCTTGGGCCGTCGGTGATCTGTTAACAGATTGTATCGGATGGGTTTTTCCATGGGGTATCTACGTCAAGGGAAAATTCATAAAGGATTCTTTTACTTACGCTTACGGATTCGGCCAGGTAAGTCTTAGTGTAAATTACAATGAAACGATAACCGTTGTTTTTTTACTTGTCGGTATATATATATATATATGTGTATTTTTTTTTTTTAGATAGTTACGTTCCAACTTCCTCTGAACTACATACTTAGTCTGCGCCTCGATATTAAGTGAGTGTATCTTTCTGTAAACGCAAAGCATTATATTTATGTTGAAATTAAAAGTCGCAATCACACGTGGAAAATGGTATCTGTTATATTAAAATGTTTCGATTTAGGATGCAATCGTTCGCCAACGTGCACTACACGTTTCTTAACTCTCCGTACATTTGCGTGGACGTCATGTTCTTTTCACTGCTAGCTTGGCAAGGTTTGTGTTGCCTTTGGTTTTGGGGAGCCTACGGTTTGGTCGCTACCGTCTTTGGTCCGCTGAAAACATGGTCGATATTTCTCGCACTATGGCTTTGGTACCAAACTAAAAAAATATCAGTAAACGACATACGATTTGCAATAGGTAATAATAGAATAACACTTTTGACGCACGAATAAAATTTTAAAGGTTTTTTTTTTTGCATGCAAATTTGTTATGATTTTATTGAAAAAAAAAAAAAAAAAATTACTCTGATGTGTTTTGGTTGTTTTTTTTTTATAGGAAACGTGGAAAAACTGAACAGCAGTTAAACAGTAGTCTTACTATTATTAGTTAACCTTATTTATATAATTTACTAAGACAAAAATGATAAATTAATTATTCGGTTCGTATTAACCTATGTTGTTGTATAATATTAACTTATTATGAAAGTACGTCCGTTCACATTACTTCATCGACTATTTAGATATTTATTTTATTTCATTATCAAAACGTTATTGTATATTAATTTTAATACAATTTTTTTTTTTGTACACCTTTACTTTATAATACCTGCGGTATTGCTCGATAACTTATTTAGTTATTTAATTGATGACGATCTATAAAATTATGAACCCTATCGTTTGTTAGTTTTAAGTGGTTGTTATTTTACCATTTAGTACCAACATTTATTTTTTTTTACTCCTTAGTCAATTAAAATAATAATTGTATAACTATTGTACCACCTACCAAACTAGACGCGAAGAAAGATTTATCTATTTTGTGTTCTTATTACTATTTAAGTATTTTTTAATTTGTATTATTTATTTTTAGGTATTCTCTCAATCTCTAGTGATTTTTAAGTGATACTATTTATTATTTATTTGTAAATATAAATATACTACTATGATACTATAACACTTATATTATAATAATATATTAGTTTCGTATAGATCACACTGTGATGAAACCTCTTCTCAGAAGAATTATTCTTTGTGTCTTTTTTTACCTATTAATTTTGTCTAAGCAGTACTGTGTGGGTATGGATACGTATAAAAAAATAAGAACATTATTAAAAAAAAAAAACAATCTCAGCTACTGGGACAGTCGCTAGGCACAGGTGAATCGGTTTTAATAAGTAACGGCTGTTGTGCGGTGGGATAGCTGGCTGAAGGACGTGATTGTTGATTGTATATTATTTCTGCGGACAACACGGAATTGCTTAATGCAAGTTTAATTTGAGCCTGCTCGACTGTTGGCAACCGTTTGGTCATTTTCGCCATGCTCAGAAAGAACATGTCGGTGTCGTCTAGATTTTCATACTGGCTATTTGTTTTGGGTACTTCCTGGCGGACGCACTTTCCATCGTATTGACGTTTCCTAAGATTCAAATTTTCTTTTAGAATCAGTTCGACTACTTGTTGCGCTTGACCATCGGTACGCGGTTTTTGCTTTTTGTGACGTGCCGTGTGTTCACGTCTTTCGACAGCTGGTTCTACGTCGCTAAAAGTCGCTTCATCGTTTACAGCTTGGTCATCTTGAATACTCTGTTCGTTTTGGGTTTCTTCTTCGGACCCCTCCGACGTATCTTCTGGCTCGCTGATCAGATTGGCCGACGTCTGAGACTCAATTAAGTTACCACGTATCCTTGAATTGAAGGAAAAAAAAACAACAACATTTAGAATAAAATCTAAACATAATTAAATTTATCTAACTTCCTGCTTTCCAAAAAAGGTAGAACAAATGACATTTGTGGTTCGTACTTCCATAATGACTTCTTCTTAGAAGACATACCACTTTTTGTTCCATCGTCGCGACGTCGGTTCCTGGCGTTGCAAAAACATCTTCTTAATTGCTCCCATTTTTGTTTGGCCACACTCCCTGAAACGGAAACAAATAACATTGAACATTTTGTACTTGGTTTTTCTTGTTTTAGATTTTTTTGGCGACCCGAAACGCTATTTAGAAGTATCGGTTTCAAATACGACAGGCATTTTTAAAGATTATTTTAATAATTCTGACGTTGAACTTTTTTTTTTTAAATCAAATTGTAGTATAGGTGTATAAATAATGGAATTATATTGTAAAATAAAATATCTTAACATTTGACATTAGCTGTTAACAGTACCTACCTGGTAATTTCAACTCTTTTCCGATTTCTTCCCACGCTGCTTGCCGTATTTGTTGGTCCCGATAATTGACGGAGCCGACGTTATACAGAACCTCGTGTTGCCGGACCTTTTCGATTAAAAGCTCATACATTATGGTTACAAAAAAAAACAAGTACAAGTATATAAGTTTATAATCAAAGTTTGGTGCAAGTAGTTTTAGTGGAACTCGTGAGGTCACCCGAGGTAGGGTGACATCAGTGCCGTGCTGGTATATTAAAAATTAAGTACATATAATATCAGCGCCACAAATAAAACTAAACAATATGCAAATGTAAAGTCTAAATGGTATTTTTCAATTTTGTTATACTATTTAAAATCCGTACATCCGACATAATAATAATATGTAATACACTTTGTTTACCGTGACGTGATAACACAGTATGATAACGCGTGAGCTCACGTGACGTGACAATTGTCCGTTTCCAGCTCAAGGGGGGGGGAGGTAGGGGTAAACGGCGGGTTTTTCCAGAATTTTTACCCGAAGATGTTAAAAATGAAATAAACGATCACGTCGTGGAATTTTAAAGTTTAAAATATTTGGTTTAAAAAATGTTCATATTATCGAAAAAAACTAAAAAATGGCGGCATTGCGGTTGTTTGAATCTGGCCTTTTTGTTTTTAAATGGGTACCTATTTTTTTTCTTATTAAAAATGTCTAAAAAGCACGATTCGTTATCAATTTTTAAATAGTAATATAACTAATAAACTTTTAGGTTCACAAACCTCATGTCAATCAGATTAAAAATTGATTGAGCTTCATTGATAGGCTCAATTTGAATAAAAAAAAATGTAGGGTTTCTAAGAAGTGCTGCATTTCCCAGGTATTTAAATTTACATAATGTTTTTTTTTTGTTTTGACCAAGGAATAATTCCTATTATTATTATTAAATTATTTGTATATTTATTTAACATATTTTAACACCAAATGTTTTCCATTAACGCTGCCGTTTAGTGTCAAAATATCAAAACAACAATAGAATATTTGCCTATGATGGAATAACTAAATAAATAGTTGACCGCCCAACTAAATATTTATAGTTTGTTGGAATTCGGTTTTAAAAATTACATTTTATTTTCAAGATTATGTAAATTTAAATAGTTAAAAATATATCCTTTCTTTATGCCTTATTGTTCCATATCCAAACCGACTATCGAAAATTGGTTTAACAACATAACATAGAAACTATAGTTCTCACCTACAACTTTTATAATAGGGTATTTTTTACTCTAAAACCATACCTAAGTAAAGCCTTGTTTTCGGCATAAGAAAACTATGTTAAGATGATACAAATATTTAAAATCGCTGACAAACATGCTGCGAAAAATAAATCAACTGCCTAAAAACAGTTCTTATCACTAATTTAATAATTATAATAATTAATAATAATCTAATAATAATAATCATAGACATTACAATAATTTAAGCGTTAAGGAATGATTCGGCAAAAAATTGCCTATACCCAACTCCTTAATAAATAGGGGTATCGCGTCCCCGACGCCCATTTTTAAGGAGTAAAGTATAGGCAATTTTTTACAAAATCTTAATTTAAAGGTTAAATCGTGATGTGTAATTATTAGTTCAATAACTAAGACTCTATTTTGGTAGTTAATTTATTTTTTGGACTATCACAACATCCTTGAAAGCGATTTAAAAATGTTTTTTCATCTCAACTGAAAATAACTCGCTTAATTTTGGATTTAGAGTAAAAGCACTCATTAAAAATTAAAATTAAAACAATAAAAATTAATTAAAAGCAATATTTCGGAGGGCAAGACGGTGCGTTTTTTTCATTATTCTAAGTATTATTTAAGTATAACGCTCAATACGTAGTTTAGAAATAATGACTATTTTAACATTTTTAAATGACTGTAACTTTCCAAAAAATTAATTTGTTTAAAAAAACGCACCGTCTTGCCCTCCGGAATATTGTTTTCTTTTAATTTTATAATCGGTGCTTTTACTCTAAAACCAAAATTAAGCAAGTTAGTTTCAGTCTGTTTCAGTCGACGGCCTCTTAAGACTACTTTTTACATTTTTTGCCCTACATTGTACTTTTCAGGTACGATTTATGATTTTATAGTCTATTGTTACACGAAGATTTGACACGAATATGTTTGAAAAAAATTAAATTAAACACACTCGTGAAAACAGTAGCTTCTCAGCAGCTTCGCACCGAATCCAGCTAATAAGTTCTGTCAGAAAATAGATAGTCAGCCGGACTAAATGCATAATAATTGATTTAACTAATAATTTAGTTGGCCCATCTATTTACATAGTCACCTATTCCAGTTAAAAATGTATTGTGTCCCTATATTAATTTAATAATTTAGTTGGCCCATCTATGTATATTTTTTGTCTGTGTAGGATAACAGCTATATTTTTTTTTATAACATATTACATTAGATAATGTTTTTTTTTTTTTACTATGTAAACTCTCGCTTATAATTTTTACTATAGGTATGTATTTGAAGTAGCTTTTTCTAGCTTTTCCATTTCTACCTTTATTTGTTCATTCCTAGATCCGCCCTGGCACCACTGGTAATTATTTTTATGTTATTGTGATAACATGTTAAATGGTGATAAAATCATTAATGAGGTCATGTCGTGACTCATTTCAGTGCAAAACAGACAACAAGGCAAAGCAGGAATACAATATTATTATTATATGCACAACAAAAGGGTCAAACGAATCACGAAAAGACTTTAAACAGAAATTAGATAAGTACGGGTCGTTTTTTAATTTATAATTATTAGTACTATTATTATATTATAACTACTAAATAATGATGATTAGTTTAACGGTAGTGTGGTTCAATCATACAGCTAATGAGGTGTAGATAACATCTATAAACGGATGTAACATTACACGTTTAATAGTTTCTTAAGTAGTGTAATTAATTAAGTCGTATTAAGTTATAGTAAATAATCTAGAAATAAGAGTGTACACATACATACCGAGTGTTCGTTTTTTTTTTTTTGTTACTTATATATTATTCCATCTCAAAGTTAGTGTTAAAAAAAAAAAAAAAAAATGGAAATCACTACAAAAGACTTGCATATTGTGCCGCTCAATGAATTAAGTAATTTTGTTTTGTTTATGATAGTTTTATTTGTTTCGTAGAAATATTTTGTATTTTCAACACATTTCCATAGTTATAGTTGTCGTCGTATTACACTGCGGCACCTACTACGGCTATTAATTTCAAAAACGATTCTGTGAACAAAAAAATTACAAATTATATTTCTGAACGCCCTTTTTTTTTTTTTATTGAATATAATTGTTTTTATAATAAATTTCTACTTGAAAAATATTACCGCTACAAACAATCCGAAGCTTTCCGAACTAGTGTCAAACTAAATGTATCAATTGATTATTCGAAAAACTACCGTTGACCATTATTGTCTGACCATTGATCTTCTATTTTAAATTCTAATTCTAATGTTGGGTTGCACTAGACGTGTATACAACATTTAATGGACCAGTTGTTGGTCAAAATAATAGATTAAAAATTCAATAATTTCAATTGTTAAACAGTTGGTTATAATTGTTTTTTTTATTCTACAGGTACCGAAGATCAGTTGTTAGTAGAAGCAAGCGTATCGGCTAGAGAAAAAGCGTATTGCCCTTACAGTAAATTCAAAGTCGGAGCGGCATTGAGATGCGATGACGGCACTATATTTACTGGATGTAACGTCGAAAATGTATCGTACGGCTTGGGAATATGTGCAGAACGCACGGCCATGGTGAAAGCCGTGAGTGAAGGAAAACAATCGTTCACCTCGATTGTCGTGTCCGGTGTGAACAATAACCATTTCGTGCCGCCGTGCGGCGGATGTCGACAGTTCTTAAGCGAATTTGTCACGCCCGAATCTGACATAACAGTTTTATTGTATCAACCAGAAGGCCCGAATGTGTTTGTGACTAGTGTCAATGAATTGCTTCCTTTCCAATTCTGTTTTCAATAATACTGCTAATATTTGAAATCGGTTAGATTTGTATTAAAAAAATTGACAACGACATAATTGACTAATAAATTGATTTTAACAAAATATGTGCACAATTTATATACAATAGTTTTTACTGGATTATGTGATTTTTTTTAATGTTTTGTTTACTTTTTATAAATTACGACTGAATTAACTACAGCTTATTTTTGCTTTCGATATTTGTTTTTCTTGTCAATAAACTTACAAGTCTTCTAATTTTGTGTTAATTTTTAAATATACTTATGAAGGGTGTCATAACTGTCTCAACTTCACCCATGGCTATTCTCAGCCGGTTTTACACTTAACATTTAAGCATAGCATTATGTCGACGAGTTCACCAAGTCTTGGGTATTTTTTAGTAGCGTTAAACTATACTTAGTTTTCAACTCGATTGGCAAGAACGGCAATATTAAAATTTCAACTCTGGTATAAAATTCGTTTTAATTAATTTTATTTTAAAACTGACTTGTAAATTGTTTTGTCGTTATTAAAAATAAAAAAAATAATTCAAGTATTAACTTTAAAAGTGTACAGCTGAAATGTCAAGTGTTTTGAAGTAGCGGTGGACTTTTTGCGATTACAGTGCACGCAGTGACAAATTAAATGCGACGCATATTTTATTCTGATGTAGTACATGTGGCCACACTGTATACGCCGAGTGGGCAACAACAGCAGCTGACGTTATCAGTGTTTACAAAACGGTGGCGGCCATTTGTTTTTGCGGTTATCACAAATTGCCGACGTACCTGCTGTCTCTGGTTAGACTTCCGGTCGGATTGTATTATTATACATTATTTTTTTTTCTATAGTCGATAAAACACTAATCTAGTCGCTGGTGAGCTCGCGCAAGTGATAACTCGGGTAGACGGTAACGAGTGGAAAAAAAAAAAAGAAAACATAGCAATGGAAACGGATAGTAAATGAATACACTATTGTTACCACTATTGTAGTATTATCAAAAAATTATGGCGATCGTCGATTGATGAACCGTCGTCGGTCGTAGTCGGCAATTTCCGTACGTGGGTATGTCGTGTGTTTTTATTTTGAAAAATTAAAAAAATAATAATAACACAACGTCGAACGATAAGAAAAATCGGTTTTTTTTGATAAATAAAATATAATACATAGTATGTCGGTGACCGAAGACGGACGACGCGCTCAGCCGTCGTTGTCGGGTTACTCGGAAGACGATCAACAACAACAACAACAACTCGGACTTCAACAACAACAGCAACTGCAGCAGCAGCAGGTGGCGGCGACGGCGGACGATCGCCGGCCGCTGCAGCCGCACCGTCATTCGGAAAATGTCGCCGACCAGACGGACATGGCCGAGACCGACACGAGGGCCGCCGACGGCGACGTCGCCGCCGTGAAAGAAAGCCCGGCCGACGACGAAGCGGACGGGTCGGTCGTCTCCGTGTCCGCCGCTGCCGCGTACACGACCGCCGCCGAACATGCGGCCGCCTCCGCCGCCGTCGCCTCCACGTCCCAAGTGCAAGTGTCCTCCATACCGGTTGGCCAGCTCATTAACGTGTCGGCCGCGGGCACGTTCAACGTGATATCGGCCGAGTCGCTGCAGGTAACTACTAACGTGTCTCAACGCCCGGCCGCCGCGTTCAACAAAGTGGCCAAAAGTATGTTGAAGTTTTCTCAACAACCACTGACAGGGTGGTCAGAATTTCATGTTAACACCAAAAAACGGGTTCACCCATTTGGAAATTTTCAAAATTACAATTTTCGGTTGTCTAGTTCACCCCTCCCCCCCCTCAAAATATAAATATAAACAGCAAAAAAAAAAAAAGGAAAACGCTAGCCCTAGTCGGTGTCGTCGCGTAGACTCATTTAAAATAATAATAATATATCATAATATGGCATTTGTTTAGCGGGTGACCTACCTGGTTTTTGTTCAATTTCAGGTATATGTAAAAACAAAAAACGTATTACAAGTATCGATGAGTGTCGTTTTATAGTATATGACGTGTTTACTGTTTCCTTATCGGCCGATCCGTAAACCGTTGTAGATGTATTGTGTTCAACAATTGAATGCATGCGGCCAGTGTTGAAAATTAATCATTTATCTAAGATTTGCTTGGCTGAAGAAATAAGTGACAATTTACTTGATTCATATTTTGTATTTTCTTGATAAGCTTTGAATCGACTTTCTATCATTCTCTTATAGTAAAAAATTTTTTTGAATATGAACCTTTTATAAGATGTAACACACACTGAGACTTTTTTCAAATTCAAATAATTATGCCGCATTGTTATGAAATCTGTAAGTTATCTTATAATAAAGCTTAGACAGATGTCTAACTTCACACTATTGGTGTGTAGCATTTGGGTGTTTTTTCTATTCACAACAAGCTGTTATCAACGTAACATTTTTTTCATTTCAATTACCATGGACCTGGGCGGCTGGGCCAGGTCTAACTTTGCCTTTTATTAAATTCACCGATTTATTGTCGTCATCTGTTCCCCGTGTTTAATTGAGAAACCATATTTTCAACTTTATTTCAGCTCTCCGAGTCGGGAGACTTCAAGCCTCTCTTGTGTGTAGACAACAGCTATTTAAACTGTAATTCTCGGACACAAGCAGACAGCGATACTTGGCGTACAGTTGTTCGAGCCGAGGTAAATAATTCAAATAGTATACTATCCATCAGTCGTACACCACTGTCGTCTAACGAATTGTTTTTACAACATTTGTCACAGGACGGTACTCTTAAGACTGCTCATATTGTCATTAGACAAGACAGTTCCACTAGCAATAACGTTCACGAGGAAGACGCCGAACAAAATGTGTCTTCTCCACTTAGAACGGTTCCATGTTATTCGTACACCGAAGCTGCCAGATTACCAGTATTACCTATTCGATGCAAAGTAATTAAAACCGAAATATTATATTCAACCGATAAAGCCGTTAATTATGTAAAAATTGTGTTATTCTTAGACGACCAATGCCGAGTTGCATAAGAAGAAATTCGGTTCCGGTTGTCGTGGCAAATGCATCAGGTACACAAACCAGTGGTATACACCAAGCGAATTCGAAGCGTTGTGCGGTCGAGCGTCCAGCAAGGATTGGAAAAGAAGTATTAGATTCGGCGGCCGCAGTTTGCAAACACTTATTTACGACGGCGTCTTGTTACCACACGCCATGAGCTGTACGTGTGCAGCGTGCTGTGACGACGAATCTGCGGTAAATGACTAGACTAGAGATTTCAAGGTATAATATAATGATTATATTACTAATTTATTTGTATGATATTTCAACACAAACCAGACCGGTCCAGTTCGACTGTTCACACCGTACAAAAGAATACGCAGTAAAAAAGCGTCCGGTGGCGGCTGCAATTCTAAAAAGAAAAAGCTCGACGACGGCACGTGCTTGAGTAACGACGAAGACAGTTGCGACAGCAGTCCTGGTGTTTCGCTGGACAACGGGGACATTGGCAAAGAGGACGATCATTCGAGCATGCTAATTCACGCTGCCGACGTACCCCAGATGGACATCGTGCAGCCGAACGATTCGTTTGAAGACATTTTTAAAAAACTAGAAAACGTAAGTCTTTTTTTTTTTTGGCGTGACGGCAAATTTCAGTAACGTAATGTGACAATGTATATTATGTTTTGCTGCAGATGTCGTCGAGAATGATGAAGATGGTCAATCATTTTCATAATTCCATGCGAGTGGCCAAGTACAAATGGAATACGGAAAAACAACAGTTGTTGGACGAACTCAAAAGAGCCAAAGACAACTGTATAGACAACAGGAATGATTTCGACGTGGAAACAATTTCTAGCGTAACGGCCGGCCTTCAACCGAGTAGCGACGACTTGCCGGACGTTAAAAAAGTAACTCACCACCTGGTATATACCACCACCGTTTATCGTTATTCAATATTTCCATATTATCGTTGCAGTGCGCCAATTGTAACAGAGACGCGTTTGCCGAGTGTTCGCTTTGTCGCCGCACGCCGTACTGTTCTACGTTTTGCCAAAGCAAAGACTGGAACAATCACCAAGTGGAATGCGACAGTTCGCAAGGAAGCATAATGCTCATCGTACAAACCCAAGAATGAATAACATATAGCTTGTGCGTGGCCGTTGTGTTCGTAAACACAATTTATTCCTAATTATTTGTTTCTCGATTCTCATAATATTATAACCTCTTTTTCTTTGTTGAATATTTGTATGAAAATAATTGTTAAAACCGACCAAGTCTGCATTGTAACGTCGATCGTTGTCTTCTTCTTTTATTTATTTATTATTATTATTATTATTATTAAGTTAAAATTACTCATTGTTTATTGTTTTAATATCGCGCCGCTTTGGACGTGTAACGTATGAAACATCATTTTACCGATTAATCGTTTCATTTTTTAAACCAATCACAATTTTTAATTTTCAGATTGAAAATTTAACGATAAGATATCGTAGTCGGATAAATTTTATTCGTTTATCATGTTCAATCGAGTCGATACTATTCTGGTAATTTTAAACTATTTTTAATGTATAAAAGAACTGTCTGTACATTTTAATACACAATTTGCAGTGTTGAGATGACGATAAATATTGTAAAAACAAAATAACAATAAACTATGGTAATAAAAACATTTTGTTTGGACATTTTTCAACACCTATTTTCATAATACGAGTACGACCGATGGACATTTTTATTACATTCTAAAACAAACTTTAAATACTTCATTTTAATTGTAAACTATTAAGTTTATATTAAAGATTGAAGTTTAGCTGGCCTACCGTAGCTGTGTCGGTAGCGTTATCTTTGTGTACACTTATGGACGTTGGACAGGCAACAATGTCGACAAGAATGTGTTGCACAAGACGACTTCACACACATAGTACGGCGGCGTTCACAGAGTTTCGAGTAAAGTGAGACGAAACGCGTTCGGCTAATAGTTGTTTTCATCAATTCGTCCAGCCGGTACAACGTACGAATGCTAACGCATCGATTAAACCTTAAAGGCAATTACAACTTAGAGAGAAAAAAAAAAGAAAGAAAAAGGGATATCGTAAACATAAAAAGTAAATTTGGGTTTATAATAAATATAGAAGATGAAATAATAATAAAATGATTTCGAAGCAGCTCTAGTATTTTTTTTTTTTTTTTTTATGATATTCAATTGATATAATATATAAGAATAATAATTAATAATAAATGTATTAATAATAAATGTTTGGCAAATTTTTTATTTTCTTGAATCGTAAACAATTCATTTAATTAACATTAAAATATTGCGCGGAATTTTTGTTAGGGTTATCATAATCTGTAAAAATAAGTAGACAAAAATGTCATTTAAAATTTTCAAATAATGTCAACTAACATAAAACAATATTTTATAAATATCTAAATAAATATAAATGAATTAAAAAAATTTTTTTTTTATATATACATATTTATATATATATATAAATAAATAAATAAATAATATATATATATATATATGTATATAAATAATATAATATATGTATGTTCTGCTACTAACCAATGTTGAAACAAAAGTGTATGCCAATTACTATTTATTTATTATTATTTTTTTTTTGCGCAAGTATCACATGTAGGATGTAGGTAGAAGCACATTTCATATGAGGTTGTTGAACAACCATAGATTGGAGTCGAACGCTTGTCTCATGTTGAAACCCGGAGGAGGCGGCGGCGTCGTGAACAGGTTACAGTGAGGCGCCGCTGTGACTATCGCCGGGTCGATTGACGACCAATCCAAATCTGAAGTACACCACCACACACGTTGTTGTATTATTATATTATATATTAACATACGATAACGATAATAATTCTCCGTTTACTCACTGTGTGAAGACGACTGACGTATCTGTTGTTGTAATCCAAATTGATTATTTTGTGGCAATTTACTAGTGTTACCTGATAATAAATAAAAAGAGTAACGTACAATATACAGTCGAATAAATAAACTAAATTAATTATTCAAATGAAATACTAAAAAAAAAACACCACCTCATATCGTTATAAAATAGAAAAACTTTAGCGGTATTTCGGCCTTAGTGTTTACGCCTAGGCTCTCGTTATTTGTCGTGGCAAAGGTTATTTTTAAATAATAATAATAATGATAATGTTATGCTTTAGTCAACAAGAAAACATGATTGCAACGATTGTTAACAGTTTTAATATGTTAAAACATGTACTAGAAAAATAAACATCATTACCTGTGTTTCGAGGAATACTGATACCATAGGAATTTACTTGATTTGGAGCCGAAGAAAATCCAGGTGGCGGTAAACATGTTCGAGTGGGAGCTGTATTGTTTATGTGAAGATTGTCCATTAATTTCGTGCAATAAGGGAAACTTTAAATAATAAAACACAAACATATTAATATAAAAAAAAAAATATATTAGATAGTCAAAAATTAAAGGGGGGAATAACCCAGAAAGAAATATACTAATAGTATTATAATATATATTTTATTGTATAAAAATATATATTACTACAATTTTTTAAAACATATATGTTACGACCCCGAGCACACCCCTTTTGTTTTAATATTACGCAAGCCCGATAGCAAACAAGAACAAACGCATTCAACGTAAAACCAGTTAATGATTGATTTATGTTATTATCGTAGCAAATATATTAACTCCAGGCTTTTCCCCCCGGGCCGGGGGGTTGTTTAAGAGGATTTTTTTTTACTTACCCGGAATTTTGAAGCCTAGATTCGTACATATTAAGATGATTTTGCTGCTCCATATATTCCGATAGAGCTCGCTGTGTGGCCGACACTGAATCGAATATATCATCATCTGTTGGTAAATTTAACTGCAACAGAATAACACACAGTACGTGAAATACTACGACTGTAATAATAACCATCGTCATATTGTCGCAAACGGATCAATTAAAAATATCACAAACGTACCATTGTTCTATTTATGTCCGAGGACTGATTATACGTATTATTTCGAGAACTATTACTATTATTTGAAAAACCGAACGCCGCTTGCCAATCTTCGGACGTCTGCACTTGAGGTAACACGTCAGGAATTGGCGGTAAAATTGCACTAACCGGCGGACTCCAATCAGGTTCACTGTTAACTACTGGACAAAAATTCACATAATATACAATATAATCTATCTGGTAGGCATGCAAATTCTCTATCGAACCGATTCTAAGTAAAATACGTACCAGGGCTGACTTTGCCGTTTGTTAATTTAGAGAAATTAGAAGAGAAGAATGAATTATTGTTGTCTTGTTCAAATATCGAAGGTGGTTTTTGGGAATTTTCAAATAGAGTTTCTAAAAAAAAAAATACAATTTGTTTACGTTGTAATTTAAATTGCAATATTCACCGACGCCAGTGTGTTTAACACAGTTAGAGCGAGTAGGTCGTTAACCGTCGGCGATTAAAAGCAAAATGTTTATCGTGCACTGCTTAAATTCATGACGTGTACTCACCACTTTGGGTATCGTTTTCCAATTGGTTATTACCACCAGCTGGTTCGGTATTCCATATTTCTTTTATTAAATTTCTTTTGTTTTCCGTACATTCTCCTTCTAACGTGCTTAACTGTTCTTCCTCAGCCGAGGGTATCGAACTAGGAGTTTTCACTTTACCTTTCCTAAATAACATTTATAATACTGTTAATAAACAAATACAAAAATAGTTCTTTTAAAATGTTTGCGTCGTACGTACCTATTTTCAGGGGAACTAGATTTCTTTTTGTTTTTGTGTCCATTGATTTTGGTACTCTGAGATTCTCCTTTATCTAAATTTTTTTCCGTGTGATTCGATAATGTAATTTCTACTTCATATAATCTGTCGTCTTCAACTAAAAATATAATTTTGCAGTTTTAGGTATTTTCTAAAAACAACATGTGGTATAAGAATTTCAAACAATTTGCTTAATAGTAAAATGTTTACCAAGTCCGACCGATTTGAAAATTAAAAAATAATATTATTTTTTAACTATTAAACGGGTTTTCATTATTAAATAATTGATCTATCATAATACATTCTCGGACAACAAATTTTACTTGATTTTATTATTTGAAAAAAAAAAAAATCCCACCGATAAATATATATATATATATTTTTTTAAATTTTACCTGGAGAATGATTTCTTGAAGTACCGTTATTGAGAGAAGGCCATGATTCTTTATTGTTTTGGGTTAAATTTTCAATAACACTATTGTTGACCGTCGAATTTTGAATCGGAGGCGAATTATCTGGTCTTCTAATATTGTATAAATACAAAAAAAAAAAAAAATGACAATCAAGAGATAAAAATATATTTGTTTATCGAATATTGTCGTCGAACTAATTGATTACCTTAACACCACATTGTATTGCTCATATAATTTTTTTTCATATTCCTGGTGTTTACCCTGCTGCATTTCGTCTTTTGTAAAACTGGCTTCTGGTTCTCCTGTTGGGGAAAAAAAAATAAAAAAATACATATAATATATTAAGATCGTCGTCTCCAATTAAGAGATTCGCAATACGATTGAGAATTAAATAAACAAATTTTACCCATTTCGTGTAGATACATGCAATCTGTTTTTGGACAAGGTTGATTTTTCATAAAATTTGAACAATATTTCGTTGTACCCAAAGACGCTTTTAATACTCTATTATCTATTATGACATTGTTGACAGCTAAAATGGCCCTAAGCGCGTCTTCACACCTCGAGTACGTTACATAAGCACTTGCACTTGGACCCTTAAAATACAATAGCAATTAAAAATGGATTTCTGTAAATAAGAAATCATAATTACGCCATTAATGCAATGTAAAACAAACATTTATTTGCTCTGAAAATGTTTACGATACTTTTGTTTTTGGAAAACATGGAAATTTAAACGATAATAGACCTAAGTATTGAATAACATTTTTTTTTTTTTTTTTAGAATAATATATTTGTAGATTTGAACTGTCAATAACATGTTTTGATGTTACTATTGTTGGAAGTCATTAATGTTTGAAATTGCGAGAGGTTCCACTAACCCCTAAGGCGCAGTAATAATATGTAATATTATTTTATTTGTACACAACACTCGTCAACAACGCTTTCTATTCTATTACAAATTTCAATATTGCTTCACCCCAAGTATAACGGATTTCCTGAGGATTATTTTTAGCAGACGACGATAATTTGATTAGACTACATTTTGAATTTCCAAATCATTTTTGTACAACAACAAATGAACAGCATAGTAACGAGCACGGAAAGTGTAATTAATAACACAATGTTAGACAACAAACGAAGAAAGATTGAAAATGTAGACACATTAAAATATCTCATAACGAATCTTAGTAGAATAAAATAAAAAGGAAAAAACACAACATTCAAAGTCAATGTTATTTTCCAAGAGAACCAAAATAAGGTTTTTTATTTAGCGTTGGCAACAGTAACGCTAACTCATAGTTAGAAAATATGACATTTTTCAAAGGAAACGGAGTAGACTTTTGACCTTTGAAAACTAAGGAAAACAAGTGCTACTATTAATGAAAGGAAGCAAATTGTGTATCAAATAGTGATCATATAAGGACATGTCTTATAAGTTGTACATTAATAGTTATAATCTTTCAACGCATTTTCCACCTTATCGTCTTTTCCATACGACTCTTAAATAAAATATAATAGTTAGGTTTGACTTATAACAATTTGTTCATTGTCAAATGACTTACTTGTGTGCCAATATAAGATGTACTTTGATTTATTACAACTTTCAATATCTTTCCAAATTTACCAAAATAATCGTGTTTCTTGAGCGTCTGAAAAACAATAAATATACATTATTTATCTATGTAAATAAATGTTTAATTATAACTTATAGTAAGAAAATACACTTGTAAAATTGGCTATTTTAAAGGGAAAACAATTTACCTATATTGTTTCACAAGAAGGACTTACTTAAAAAAATTAGCCATATAATTTAAAGTAGAAACCATAAGAAAAAAAAGTACCTATACTCTGGACACTTTAAGAAGGAACCTCGTCGAGTCGGCGGCGACCGATTTTCACCCCACAACATTGTCATACAGATACGACTTTGGCGGCGATTAACGAGTTTTGGTCCGCTGCGCAGGTACCTTCATAAAGTGTCCGGAGTATAATGGTAATTTAAAAAATGTAATAATAAAATTGTCATGAACTGTTGACACTTCCAAGGCAAACGGGTCAAACGATATGAATGCAATTTTTCAAGAAAAGCAAAACAAAGTAAAAATGTCTTTTACGCTCTTTTGCCTTGAGATTATGGATATTATTCTATAATCAAGCTATTATTACGTTAAATTTTAAATGTTAAAATTAAATATTAAATTTAATAAAAATATTAATATTTTACTTCAGCCTCTGATATCCGATTGGGCAGTCCAACGACAAAAACCAAATTCTTCTGTAATACACGAATGTTGTTTAGTACTTTCCTATCTTCGGTGATCTTATTTTTTTTCTGCTGGTGTTTATGCCGTTTCTCCGCTTTCATTTTGGCTACTTCTTCTCGGCTGAGTGGTTTGAAATCGGCCGGGTCTTCGGGATATGGCTTTCGGCACGCCGGACACAGGCCGTTTTCGTCGGTTCGAATACGATGCCAACAAAACCGACATATTTGGTAACCACAGGTGCACGGAAAAAAGTTCAGGTCGTCCACCTCGAACGCCTCCATACACAGCGGACATTCGGGCTGATCGTCACAACTATGATTCAGTACAGACATGGCTGACCTGCAAGCAAAGCGTACAGAGATGAGCCGACCGCAACCGAGTAGACCGATGGCTGCGTGTGATAACGTGCAAAACAATGTAAATAATTTTTAATCGTACAAATCTTCGGAGTTTTGGGGGACGGCAATGTTGAAAGGCGAAGCAGCTATCCTCGTCCTCCGAGTAGTAGAAGTTAACCTTATGTATTAGTGTGTGTGTGTGTGTGTACTTACCTTAAGAATAAATTGTTTTCTATGCGAGTGTCTAATGAAATGATAATTTTTTTTTTTTTATTAGTCTTGCTTTCGAAAACGCACAGTATGCTACGGTGTTGTTTGTGATGCAAACGGAAGGGTTTCGACGGAGCTATCTGAGAATTTACGATTGCGGCCCAGGTAAAATAAAATTTTTAGCTAAACTTTCGACACAGGTTTATTAATGCTATTACGCACACAAATCAACATTCGACAATCACTCGGAAAATTTTTTGTGTATTGTTGCGCAGGCAGCTGTTTACAGTGCAGTGGGTGGGAGAGAGGTGGACTGCAGCTAATAGTGTTATTGATAATCCGATCTCGAACCTCTTTGACATTTGTGCGGCAAAGCGCGGGAAATTTGAATTGCGCCACGACCGTCAACGATATATTTTTCATTGTTACTATATGGCTGGCGTACCTGACAACATCGCCGTTTGCAATAAGTCCAGCGTTTACTGTCGTTTGACCGAAAATCGTTTAAAATATATTAATATACACAACACGGTGATATTATTGTAAAATCGATAATTGCCGACACGAACGAGAACCAATATTGTGGCACAACGTCACCGCAAAAAATGTTTGGATCCCCTGGCGGTAAAATTGGGAAACGAAATTTTTTTTTCACGTTTATTGTAGGTAAGTGGCAGTTGTCGCGGCCTTTGGGTGAACTTGAAATAAACGGATATATTTTTCTATTTATATAGTTTTACATAATAATGTCATGCACACGGGACGACGTGTAAAAATAAGCCACAAAAAAAACCATAGAGATATCGTTAGCCATTTTTTTTTTGGGGGGGGGGGCACTGCGTTTTTAACACAATATTATCCGTTATTGGTTACATTATAAGAGTGGATTTTATAACAAAATATGCACTTTCCACGTGCATTCAACTATCTTGCTAACAGACGACGTTGAATATTTCAAATATGTAGCTCTTTACAGAGTATAATAATAATATTTTAAAGTATCGACGGGTCAAGTTCATTGACATGGAGTGAATGTCCGCCGATGGCAATTACTGTGTGTAAGTATAACCTGTCAGTTGATAGATGGCGCTGCACTGTACTTAATTGCAAATAAAAAAACGCTACGTGTTGGCTACACTAATGCAATATGGACTTCTTGGAATGCCTCTACTTATATTTCAATATGCAATCATAATAATAAAAATAATAGGCGGTATCGAAAAAATGCATTTGGAGCAAATTTGTGTGCCTCCCATTTTCAAACGGTAATATCCGCGCGGGCTTTTCAAATCGCCTGTTTAAAATGTAAAAAAAAAAAATTAAAAAATGATGCCAAAAAAAAAATGTAAATATTATAAAATTACACAAATCTATTGTTGTTTGTAATTTATCGAATTTTTACGACTTGAAAGGAGTTGTATTTCACTACAAATCGGATTTAGTTATTGTATTGTGATAACCGTGGTATGTATTATACACAAATATTATGTTCTCTATGGCGTTTTCGAGGTTTTTGAGGTTTTATTTATTTTTACAATATTGAAAATTGCAACGATTGAGTATATTATAAATCATTGTTGTCATGGTAATATTCTAATGTTTTTAGCGAAAATTCGTTAAGAATTATTTATTTTTTTGTTTATAGTTAGATTTAGAAGTATTTATAGAGTTTTCGCATTGAAACGTTGGTCGTGATTAAGGTTGTCTGTTCAAGTCAACCAGCTGTTTTGTTTCCAGGATTAATTCCAGGATGTTCCAGGATCGTACTGGAGTGCTGAATAGGTAGGTATAAATTATACGAATTTTGAGTATGGTTTTAAAACGCTAGATTCTCATTCCTGCAGAAAATATAAATGTTTAATGTTAAATAATTTTTTTGAAACAAAAATACCTAACGAAGAAATTCTACCGTGTTTAATGGACTTTTGAAAATTTAATTTCTTAAAGCAACAATGCCCAAGAGTTTGAATAAGAACAACTCTTAGCGTTACACAATGCGACCAAGTTAATGATCTGTATTTAAGTTCAAAACAATTTTATCGATCAAGTTACAAATGTTAAAATTCAGTGCTAAAACATCATTGAAAACATGTTTGACACAACGCATTTTAAAAATAATTAAATTTGTTTGCAGTTCCCAAATATATAGGTATTTTTGGAATAAGCCTTGATTCTTTTGGCTGTTAGAGTAAGTTCAAAGTTGGCAATCGATTTTAAAGTTTATTGCGGATAATGATAGAATTCGGAAATCTGATTAAACATACATTTTGTACGTGCACGATATAAATTATATGGATTTTTGTGTTTAAATAATTAAAATCAACCACTTTCAATCGCCAACGACCATACCACGTTGAATACACCAGTTCTCGTCCGATCACTGAAGTTAAGCAACGTCGGGCGTAGTTAGTACTTGGATGGGTGACCGCTTGGGAACACTACGTGCCGTTGGCATTTTTTTTTCAAATATTTTTGTTTTCAACACACTTTAATTAATGTCGGAAGAAGTATTTTTTTTTTTTGCTCTGTAGGAAAAAAAATGTGCACTCCCATAGATATGAGGATATGCTACATTTTTGTTAAGGGAAAAATATTATATGAAAAGGGCCCAAACAAATACACACACAAAATGTATACTACCTATTTTATTATTTTTAACAGGCACACATCAAATTTCATAATTTTAATAAATTCTTCCAATTTCTAAAATGTTTATAGACTCGATAAAAATGTTCAAAGTACAATATAATAATATGTTCTCGACTTCTCTACTGTTTTTGTTTAACACTTTTTTTTTTTTAGTAAACAAATTTATATCATGTATTTTCAAAACTATTGTCATGTGTTTAAGTTGTAGCAGCTCAAAATTAAACACCAGATAACGACCAGTCATTTTGATAAAATATGTTAATTTCTAAAATTATATCACATGTCAAGTTTAGTTTGTAAAATTTCAAAATTATTTGCAACGGTAGCTAAGATACAAAATATGTACATGATAAACACATTGTCTTGGTATGTGTTTATCATACAAAATATTTTGAAAAAGACCTTGACAACCAGAGTTATTGGAAAACAATTCAAATTTAAAGCCAGGTAGAGTTGCTTATGTACTCCATTCCACTAAAAATGCTTATAAGTCAATAAGTGTTTGAATTATGTATTATTAATCGAGTTACCACTTGTTGAAATCATTATGTTTTCTACGTTTACAATTTATTTGTGAGTCTAAGCGCACAATTAAAACTGCTATCTATTCATACTTTGTATGGTAATAGTTAAGAGGTCCATTAAAAATACAAATAAAACAACTTTTTATGCTTGTCAAAATACACATCGTTAACCGAAATGTTGTCAATATAAATGTCGTATTATGACTGCAGTGACAGCTTTTAAATCTTAACGTGCATAATTTATGAACACTTAATAATAAACGGAAATATATTATTATGTATGGCTGTTGGATAAATTGGTTTAAACATTCCAAGTGTTTAAATGTCAAGACTTCTGTAAACGTCGCAGTGCTATCGAACGGTTTAATTGTTATTCATTCAAATCTTTTATGCGTCAAGACATTTTTTAACAACCTTACAATTATTACTGTACTTAGCCACGTGGCAGTCAGTTTTATTTTGGGTTCAATTCGATAATATTGTAGTTTTTGCTGTAGTAATCGCAACGTCGTTAAACGCACTTTCTCGACAAGATCAAATATATTTTCATCGAATCTTTATCGACTCTTAAACATGTCATTTTATTATAGAAATAAAATAATTCAAAGAAACGTAGCATCGTCTAATGACGATCAGCAATCGAAATACCAATCATTACAAATGCTTTACGGCAATTATTTTAGCAAATTTTCATCATTCACAAGTATTCATGGCATAGTATATTTGTGCGAGCCTAGAAGGCCACTAATTGAAAGGTAAGTCTAAGAAATTGAACAGTCAATTATCAAATATCTATTTGTCTTTGTCTACATAGTGGTTGTAATTACCGACCTCTATTCAGAGATCCGGATATAGGCTGTAGGGTAGATTAGCTCTAGACAGAGAGAGTTAGAACGAGTATTGTTCGCCAGTGTGGTCTTTAAGGCCGTAAACTAGAAGAAGAAGAAAAAGAAGAAGTCCTACCTCTATACTATACTAGTTATAGTTAAGTATTTACAACGTGTTTATACACAAATAGGAGACAATAATTAATTTGGGCAAACCGCCTTTTTTGGTTTGAACGAGTTGAAACGGTCACAGAAAGACTACCAGAACTAGTATTGTGGAATCTAAATCATTGATTCATTTTAATAATTGCTATTCAACGCAGTCACCGATTTTGGAAATTTATGAACATTTATCGATCAAAATTCAAAGATAACGAGAAGACGAGATGAAACAAATTGAGTTTGTAAATAAATAATGAAACGGATTCGGTATAGAAAAAAGCATAGTTGTCGTTTTTTGGACGTGAAAGGTGTCATAGATATTAACGACCCAATGTGTTTTCTTCAAAGAAAAAGTTATTTTTATATCGGGAAGGGAGATCTATAAGGTATTTGAGAGTTCAAGGATAAAGCTGTATCCTCATTTTATCAACAAATTAAGTATTTTGGTATGTTGCATTCTAATTGAGTTTTAGGATCTAGTTGTGTCTATAAGGTAGTACACTCTACATGAATGTATTTTTCCATTATTTAATTGTACCTACTGTTTCCGTATAGGATTTTTTGGGTCATCATTATATCTTTGGTGGTGTTCACGTGTGGATTACAAATACACCACCTATTGGCTTATTGGATGAAGGGTCGGATGGCAATTAAATTACACTACGACGGGTATAACGTGTCAGATTTTCCATTTCCAGCAATCACGTTCTGCAGTGATCTACAGCTACAACATCTTGACAAGAGAAAAATTGGCGATGATCTGTTCAATAAGTATGGCGATTTTGTTATTTCGAAATCAATGAACCAATTTAATTGTTTTCACAATTCAGACATTTTGAAGATACGGTACAATTATTGTGCAGCCCATACGAAACCAATTATAGCGGATCCATACGGTTTATCAATTCTAAAGTTTGGCAACACGTTTTGTCAGTAAGATACTAATTTTGTCGATGTTATTGTAGCCAGCTGATACAAACTCGTGTATTTATTTAGAATCATGGAGTTATGTGTGACCAACACATTAACAGAGTCTTGTGGCTTCGTGATAAAATTGAATTGCCTTGTAAGTATTTTCAACCTATGATCACGTCGTATGGTCTTTGCTATTCGCTCAACATGATTCCATTTCATCTGTTGTTTAACAATGATTATTTCCATATGTACGTACCTAGTGTTAATCCGTATTGATTCATTGTCAAACAACGAAAATCGTCATGTTAATCATTTAATGTTTAACGCTGAACGTTTCAGGTTATCGTTTTTAGATCATCCGCTGGCACAAATTATTAGAAAAAAGAATCTGAATACTTGGAACCCCGAAGTTGGATTTAAGCCCGATTTGACTCCTTTCGACACGCCTTGGAGAGTGACGGGAGATTCCGTTAACAACAGAGTCAGTTTGCATTTCAAGTTTAAAAGAAACCCAGGAGTTAACTGCCCCATAACGGGAAAGGGATTTGTGGTAAACTAAAATAAAGATTTATCTCTAATTTTAGACAAGTACCTAGTGCCTTAATCCCTTTAGTAATCGATTACGGATTTTAATCCATTTTGCTCATCTCTGCTTACAGACCTTTTTTTTTTTTTATCTGAGGTCAATATGCTTTGACACATATTTCAGTTAATAATGCACAATCCAGCAGACGCGCCGATCAGTTTACAACCTACAGCTTACATCTCTGGTAACCGCAGAGTGGCCGTATCTTCGATCATCAGTATATGGCCAACAGCGCCGACAATTCATGCATGGTCACCAAAGTCTCGGAACTGTTATTTCCAACACGAGAAGCCTTTGAGGTATTTCAAAGTATACACCGAAAACAACTGTGACATCGAATGCAGAATTAATAACACTATAAAGAGATGTGGCTGCAGCGCTTACTATCATCCAAGTAATTCGCGTTATTGTTTTAATTTTGGAACATCAGCTGTTTTGTAGTAAGTAATGCATCCTAGTGGAAAAAATTGGTCGTTCGGTCACAAGTGATATTTTAAAAGCGATATATTTTCCAATGACAAGTCATAAAAAGTGACGGGTCACTTTTTGTCAATTTTATTGTAATTATACCGATATATTAAAAAAACGGGTATTACACAAACTAGCAGATGGGCCTGAGTGCTTTCATTATCAAGCTATAGTTCCTAATAAGAAAGCTAATAAAAAAAAAAAAAAAATTTGTTGATAAATCAAAATAAATACCCAGTTTGATGTGATGTCTAAAGTTGATATGTCCTTTCCTCCTTCAATCGTCATATAGATATATACCAAAATTACAATTTTGATTCAGTTAGTATCATTGTTGTCATAATAAATATAATGATGCTCACGATGTTCATGGAAATAACTAAACAATTAAAATATTGTAGTATCAGTTAAAAACGTTAATTGTGTTTTACCGAAAGTTGGAGAAAATGACAAATCAACTTGTGCCATCCTACCACGGAAATGCTTATATATTTCCTAAACATAAAAATGTATAAATTTTATTTTTGATTAAATATTGCCTATATTCGCCTATTAGTAATTGGCCACTTTTTGGGCTCTTTAAAATAGAATGGAATCCCACGAATGCACTTTAACCAACTACGGATTTCAATAATCTTGTATTCTGTTCGAATTCATCCATTCAATGAGTATTTGAATACAAACCAAATAACTGGCACCCTTTTTGTTTTTCATTTATTAATACTAATTTTCGCTCTATTTAAAAAAAAAAATACAAATCTCTTACATTGTCATTATTTTATTGGTACCTTTTCCGTACACAATTTGCTGCGTAAAAATATGCTGCAAATATTAATATTATACTAAAACATGCAAAAGAACTTTTTTTAATTTGGAATTTCTTAGCTATAATTCGGACCATTTAATAAAAAATGCAAATGCATAAACTCCCGGCTCTATTGATAACTTAAACAAAATTATTACATGATTATCGATTTTTTTATTAATCGTTTATGTAATTATTTCACACCGTGTTGTTGTCATAGAAAATAAAAAATTAACTATCTATTGAAAATGTTGATTTCATGCGACACAGGAGATTATGACATACCGATTTGCGGCAGTGCGAGTTATGCTTGTATGATAAACACACCAGGTAATAATTAAAGTTTAAATATTGTTTTCATTGTAATTATTAGGAGTGTGCGAATAATGATGAATTGAACTGAACAGAATAAAGTGTTTAATTCGGAAAATTAATTGAACAATCTATTTTCGAATCCAATCGAAAATTCGAATTAGTTAAGTAATTATAATTGAAAATATTATTTCGTATAAATCTAATGCATTTTACATTTAGAAAATATATAAAACCAGTAAAAATAGGAAGACAATTTTTTATCCGAACAAATTGAAAACAAATTATTCGAATCAGAAGAATTGGCACAACTCTGCTTGTAGGATTGATTTTTTTTTCAAATATAAATTCGTAAATTTAATTGAATAAATAAGAGTATTTTTGTAATTAAAATGTTCAATCAAATTCGTTGATAAATTATTCGAAATTTAAATAATTGAACACCCTTAGTAGTTATAAAAAAAAATAAAATTACACAGTAATACACATGACAGTATTTATTAGTCCACTTATTAGTTTTCCTCCCACCAATCACTTGGCTGCCAAAATTGTTTGCTGCCTACCCGTGTACGTTAACTGTCTAATTTGTAAGTCTGCTACTTAGTTCGAGTGTCGTTGGAAGGTAAATAATTGCGTTTTTAGGGTACTCGATATTCAACGAAAAGTTCCCGGACAGCATTGAAGACGAATGCGATTGCATGCCGGCCTGTACCGAAGTCAGATACGAATTCAAAGTTGTAGGCATGTTTAAAAATTGGACAAACTCTGATGAAAACGAGTAAGCAGCGTTTGAAATAACTATTATACCGATACGTTGTACTACTAAACGGGCAGTGGAAGTGATCGACATTTTTATATGTTCATTTTTAAGCGAAATGGAATCCTCTAGGCTGTCTTTGCATTTCGAAAAAGAGGCCGTCATAAGTATAGAAAAAACGGCTTTGATATCGTTTAATGAATTATTAAGTGAGCGATGAACACAACGACATTTATGTTTTTTATTTTATATTAGCAATATTTTTTTTAAAAAAACAGTTTAATATTATTTTACAGGTAATACCGGTGGAATATTGGGCTTGTTTCTGGGATGCAGCATTATTAGTATATTTGAAATTATTTACTTTTTCGTTATTAGACTGTTGGTTGATCGATGGAACTCGAAAAAACATCAACGCAACAACAATGATTTTAGCATTAGCCATAAAATTACACATCCCACACAATAGGCATTCTATAGTAGCGTGATAGAAATATAATGTATTGTAGGGGTCTGGCAATAGGCATTTATTTAGTTGTTCTTCAAAATAATAACAGCTTTTATTAAGAAAAAAAAAAATGCAAAATATTTTATGTTATAGAATTTTACGTATAGAATGTTTTCTTGTATAATATTATATAATTATAACAATTTGGAGTTTTTTTTAAATTTATCATAATGATATTTTGGAAATTTGATTTTTTTGTCGATATTTTGTTCATAAATAATATTAATTATAAGATTTTATTTTGTGTGCTTTTAGGAATAACTCTCTAGATAGGAATAATCATAATAGAAAACAAATAGATTTAGTAGTTAGTATACTTTGTTAATATTAATTGATCAGTAGCTTACTTAGAGATGTGAGTATAATATATGATAAAAGGACGAACATAAATTTGAATGTTTATTCCATAAAATATTGTATTGTTGTAATTTTTTTATTTTTACTAGTGGTCGTACAATATAATAGTGGTGTATCATACTTCAAAATCTTGAAGTTTTTTGTGTTTTCCAAGAAACAAACAAACGAATTTCTCTTTTTATTTTTTAACATATTATGTAGCTTGCAGGGGTATAAAAAAGGTCATGGATAGAGGAAGGTGTGGAGGAAGATCATTAGGGTGGTCGACCGAATTTGTGAGGTAATAGCATACGACCACTCATGATTTAAGTTTTAAGATCTTCAAATCCGAATACATAATATGTGAAACCAGTGACGCAGCATATTTTTATAGACTTGTCTTTTGACAATAATTAACGATTGAGGTCTCAAAACCGCCAGATATCTTTTTTTTTCTTTCTGCTGCATTATCATACTCATGTGTTTGTTTAACAGACGGGCGATCTCGATTTTTTTTTCTACAGACATAAGAATTCGCAAATATCTCTATTGTTAACTTAGCATCGAGTGGATGCATGATATTATACTAAAATAAATAAAACGAACAAACTCTCTTGCATGCGTATCGAAACTGAACAGTATAATTTAAATAATATAATTATATAAATATGTGTAAAAACACAAGAGTGAAAATAAATTATATAAATAAACGTGCCTAAAAATAATTGCAGGGAATACATAAGTTATATAAATAAAATTAATATAAATAATACAAAAATATTTATATAGTAATTTAAAATCGTATAAAGTAAAAAAAAAAAAAGATAAATAAGTAATAATACAATAGGAATTCAGTAACGCCATTAATTGTAAGTGTTTAAATTAAAGTAGTTTTAGTTAAAAATTGACGTTGAAGTTCAAAGTTTAACCAACGGGAATGGGTATGAAAGAGGTATCGTTTTTCACGATTAATCATACTTATAGATAGGATAAACATACAGTAGACCGAAATTGAAGACTTGGTGGGGTGGGGGGTGGACAACAACCATACATGCCCATTTTTGAAATTGGTCAGGACGATCGAAATAATGATCTTTATCCCCCGTTTACTGCCGTCCAATTGTACTGTTTTGTTTCACCGAAAATAAAAAAAAACAATGTAAATAATTTTTCCATGAACATTTTTTCCATGAAAAACTAATTTTGGATAAAAATGGACGTCGCGTCCGGTTGTTGTCGCCAAGTCTTATCGTCAATTGTAACAATCTAATCCTGTTGCCTCATTCGTTGGGGGGATGGTGACTGTTGGGGGGAAGTTGGTGCCGATGGCTGTTGTTCTGTGCTGCTTGGGGTTGCCGAGGCGTTATTCGTTTGGTTCAAACTCAGTCCCATCACATTGGCTAACCACGTGACTCCTTGTACGGCCGTCAGGCCGAATGCCTGGATCAGTGCTTCTTCGCTGGGGTCTGTGTCCTCTTCGCCTTCTTCGGACTCTTCCGACCCGGATTGGCTGTTTGTGCTATTCGACGTTTCGGGTTCTTCAACGCTGGTAAAAAAAAAAAAAAAATGCAAACAAACGATTAAAAACAATTGACGTTAGCTTAGGAGCGGAGCTGAGAAGGTATTTGTTATTTAAGAATTTTCGTTTGTGTTTGTACTTCGTGTGTGGCAACTATAGAGATAAGAAATCGTACCTGAGATATAACTTTTGGGGCCAAAAAGTAAAAAAAAAACTCACCCTTTCCCCTTCAAAATCGAGGAGACCCCCCCCCTAAAAAAAGAATGTACATATTTTCAACTTAGATTTACCGCGCTTCACAATTTCCTTAAAAATACTCCAATTAGTTCCAAATTAGTATTGAATCGATGAATAATCGAATTTAACATACGATTAATTCTATTACTTTATGTTGTGTATCTTGATTATTATTATTTTTTTTTATAATGTCTTACATTTCACTAACATAGTGTTAGAATATTATACAAGGCGTATTCTCTATTTATATAGTTTTTTCTTGAATGTTATTGATATGATTTTATTTTAAGAATTAAGTCAAGCTCTTGTTGTAATAAAATTACCGAAATCAAGTAGACGAGAAGATTCACTATTTTATAGTAGCTAAAATGATTTTAGTTTAAATAGTTGACAATTGCTTTCTAACAGTCTAATCTAAGCTATTTAGCGTTTAGGTAATTAAATCAAATACTGTAGGTTAATTTAAAAGCAATTAATTTTACTATCGGTAATATTTAGAAGGTATTCAATTTTTAAATAATTATCGCCAACCACATAATGCGAAACATTAAAAATAAAATATCAACGGTATTTGTACTTCTTAGTAAGTAATTATATTTTTATTAACAATTCAGTGGGTTTACCCATATTTTGCCGTAATGATCTTTTCCTTGTAATATTACCGTCGGTATTAATTTTCTCTTGCTAATTAATTAGTTGTATTATTTTAATTAGGGTGAGTTTAGAAATAAGACGTCTCTCCGGTTAGAATGCCACTAAATGGACTTAATGATTTAAAGAAAACACTTTAAACTAGTGTGTATGCAGGGTGATCCACTTAACGCAACACACTCAATATCTATTGAAAAAAATTGCAATTTTACAGTTTTCTATTTTGGAAATGTTTGTTATTTTAAAATACTGTAAAATTATGAATACTGATTTTTTAAAAATATTTTTTATATGTCTATCAATTTTCAAACTTAGTTAGTAACGTTTATATATTTAATTAACTTTTTAATGTAACGATAATTTGCTAACAATGTTGACTGGTCTAAAACCAAGTTTAAACAATTATTTTTATATTTGATAAAGTTTTAAATTTAGGACGGCAGGACTAGTGGGATCAGTTGGATTAGAGTTTGAATAATTGTTAAACAACCGTGTGACGTTAACTCACGTGGAATTAAAAATTAACCGTTGTTGATCCATTTTGAAGCATCCCATGGGAATGGAGTTTTGCACTTCGTTCAACAAGGTGGCTTCGAACTTTAGACAACCGTCAAAGTCTTTAGGCGAGGACGAGTTGCCCACGAACCTGGCGCACAATTCGCCGAACCCAGCCAAGACGTCCATACACACTGGCTCCGGATTGTCACCTGAAACAAGTAACACACGATCACACAAGTTGTCACGGGGTTTAGTCTGGTAAATACTTTGATCATTAGAATGAAACGTTACATTCATAATTATCGTTACCTAGATAACACATTGTCATCAATAAAATATATTAAAATAATGTTTTAATTCGAATAATAATTCATAAACATATTATATAAATAGTTTTTTTTTTTTTTTGGGGGGGGGGGGGTTAAGTAATTATTGTTTAAAACCTTTCATTTTAAATAAATATAATATTTGCTACATTTTGAAAATATATAAAGCCAGTTTATATATATATATAAGGAAATAAATGTATTCGAATTAATTGTAAAAAATTATTCAAATAAATTATAAAAATAATCGTTTGAATAGTTAAATAATTGTTTATTCGAATAAATTGAAAAATAATTGTTCGAATAATTTTTCATTCGAACAATTTTCAAAATAATTTGAATAATTATTCGAATAAATTGTGAATTATTCGAAAAACGTTTTATTCGAATAAGAATCCCAAATTCAATTATTCGAACATAAAGTTATTGGAATCATTTTTAAACATACTATTTAAATGTCTTATTTTATTATTATTATTATGGCTTCAGTATCTAGACTATTAGCCAGTCAAATAGTTTTGGAAGTGCTTTTTTTCAAGTAATTATATTTCTAAAATAAATTACGAAGTAATTATTCGAAAAACGTTTTATTCGAAAACAAATTTGTACAACTTGGATGAAGTTTAGTGGGCGAAATTTAAGTATTAATTAAACTTTAATTTTTCCGAGTAAGAGAAGATTATCATATTTTAAATGACAGATGCAAAAACTTTAAATACTAATTTTAGCACCTAATCGAAAACGTTCAAAAGCGTTACGGATTAATGAAATTAAAGTGTTTTCAGCATCTCATCAGACCTCCCAAGCAGATATATATTTTTTTTTAATAATAAAAAGAAATCAATGATAACAAAGCCCACATAAATAGCAAGACGTCAAATTGTTAAAAAAAAAAAGCGAAAACAGCCGTCGAAAGAAAACAAAAACGAAAGTAGTTGGGTGACCGAAAACTGGATCAATTTCTATTTCAATACCACCCATAGGTAGGTACGCATTGTCATTGTCATTTATATGGTTAAGTACTGTGAAGTTTTAATTTGAATGGTCAATTATAACTTATGTTTTAGTGAAATTTGCTCACAACGCGTGAAACAGACTGTTTAGACGGTTAAAAAATAAAATAGTAAAAGAATATATTAAAAAAAATATATTCTATAGAATTAACTATAATTTTTTTTTTTAGAATAATAAATGTTCAAAATATTTTTTTTATTGTGTTTTCTTGTTTAATGCTAAAAAAAATGTATTATTGTCCGTTTTATTATCCTTCCGAAGTATGAGTTTTACAAATTATTTAAGATAATTAAATAATTTTGAACCGTGGTTGGATTGTTGACATATTTGCATCTCAATGCTGTAACAGAACATATGTTATATTGTAACTACTACTTTAGTAGTAGCGGATAGCGGATTTTATTTGCTACTAATTTTAACGCTAACGTCGTTTCTGTTGTCTGTTATTATTATTATTCTAACAGTTTATGTGTGCAATGAATAAATCATAAAAAAAGTACATTTTTGTCAATCCATCGAAACGGAAAATATATGGATTAAAAGGTGAAAAAAAAACAACGTTGAAATCATAATATTATGCACCGTACTTAAAAGTATTATAATATTTGCATAATGGCTTTTGTCATTTTCGGTGTTTTGTCATCTGTTGACTTGCCTGAAAATTACATTATAAAATCTACAACGCAAAAGCTTTTTTTTCTCAATCTATTATATTTAACAATCGCTCAACCCAACAAAATTTATATTTTTTCTTATTTATTTGTATTAAAAAAAAAAAAAATGTTTTTTCGATAAACATGATTAGACACGTTTTCATAATGGACAGGTCATAATGTTTATACCATAAACTTCTTGACAGTCAAGAGTTGTGCACATTCTTATTCGAATAAATGTTTTTTGTACATTTTTATTTAAACAAAACGTTTTTTTGAGTACTTTCTGAAATGATTATAATCAGAAATTATTGAATCATTTTTCTACAATTCAAAAAACAATTCGTTTTCCTACATTTATTGGGTTTATATATTTTTGAAATGTAGTATAAATTGCATTTTGACAAGTGATTGGTGGAAGGAAAAGTAATAAGTGGACTAATAAATACTGTCATGCTGTGTATTTTTTTTTATAACTACTAAGGGTGTTCAATTATTTAAATTTCGAATAATTTATCAACGAATATGATTGAACAATTTATTTACAAAAATACTCTTATTTATTCAATTAAATTTATAAGTTTTTATTTTTTTTTCTCCTTTATTTTACATATACGATCTATACAATACGAATTTTTATTAAAAAAAAAAAAAAAATCAAACCTATAATTAGAGTTATGCCAATTTTTCTGATTTGATTCTGATTCGAGTAATTTGTTTGCAATTTGTTCGAATGAAAAATTATTCGAAAATTATTTTTGAATTTGTTCGAATAAACAATTACTTAATTATTCGAGTAATTATTTTTGAATTTGTTTGAATAATTTTCGTACAACTTATTCGAGTACATTTATTTCCCTATATCGTAATAAACTGGTTTTATATATTTAAAAAATGCAAATAAATATTATACTTAAATGAAATAATGTTTACAAAATAATATTACTTAAAATAAGCAAAATAAAAACATTATTTAAATAATATGATTGAAATTAATCGAATGAAAAGTTATTTAGATACCGTTTTATTGAAACGATGATGCACAACTCTGCTGACAGACATGGCAAATTGCTACCTCAACAGCTATTTACCGAGAAGTAATTAATTTCTTCCTGTTGTTTCAAATCAACTATCGTTATGAATCAGTTTTGTTCGTTTCAAATCGCTACAGCTTGTGCCGTTAGTTTATTTCATTCACAGAAACCGCGGCCGTCGTGAAACGTTAATTTTTTCTTAATGAACGTGTACGCTCACATACAGTGAATGGCGATTGTGTGTGACACACTTTGTTTGCAACAATGTCGGATTCATACCACGTACTGTATGTATTTTATTAACGAAGTAAAAATATTAAATGCATTGGCATTGAATTGCCGCGATTAAAAGACTAAACTCTCTAGTACTCATTAGTAATAATAATAGAAATAAAATAAAAACATTGGTTAAAAACAAAATGGGTTATTTTTCCAATTTAACTTGCTCGCTCTCAAACCTAGCTATTTTTTTGTTAACAAATTAGTTATCATTTGAAAATATTGAGTTATTTTCAATATATATAAAAATATGTGTATATTACTTTTTAAAATAACAAAATTATTTATAATAACACACCTAACTTTTTCATTTAAATCAATTTTAATTTCATATTTCCAAATAACCCGTTATTTTTAAATTTTTATTTGCGTTTTCATTTTTAAATGATTTTATTAGAATTGAGTTTAAAGATTTGGAGATGTATTCAAAAAGTTTTGTATATTTGTCATTTTGAAATTGATCTGAAATTAATACTGCTGAGATGTTCGTTTAAGTAGAAATACAATTTTAAATTAAATTATTTATTAAAATAATTTAAACAAAGTCTGATTGTAACTATTACCTATATTTTGCTTGGTCAATTTTAATAAATGTTTGATGATTTTTATTAAAACCCGTCCAATGGATAATAATATCGTAGAACGTTTTCCATTAATGTACTGTGTCCTAAACTTGAACACATAAAGAGGGGAGTTTACCGTTAAGCGGTTAATTAGGTACACTAGTAAAACAAGCTAATAAATACAAGCTAAATAACCGTGTACAAATACCTACTTGATTTAATTCGTATCAATAAAAACACAAAACTGCAACGGTTGAAAATGTGCTATAATGTATTTCGATTCGAAAGAAATTTGTATACTCCCAAAACGTTTTTGTCGTTATTCGGTGGACAATTTTTTTATAGTTTCGTTTGATGTTTTATGGCCAAAATCATTGCTTAGATTAATTGAAAAATCTCCCATCGCCTAATACTTGATTTCCTTTCTTAAATACATTATAGGTTATTCGTATTATATCGCTGTGCGAGAACTGTTGTGATATATTTTTAGTGCTGACCCAGGATGACATTATAAAAGTTGTTGGCCTTACCCTTGATTACACCGTTCTGGACGTTGCCTTTGCCGTAGGTCACGTTCACGGCGATCGACTCGATGTCCGGCACGTACTTGAACTTGACACAACCTACACAAGAAGTCAATTAATTATTGATAATAATAATAATAATAAAAAAAAAAAAAAATAGAGGGGACGGTGGATATATAGGTCGGTGTGGTCACCGTAGGAATTGTCAGTGAACTAAAAGTGGAGATTCTGATGAAATCTCTTGGAAAACATAAATGTACATATATTCTTGTAGATGGTAAAACATTTATTAAAAATCGATAAAAAATCATAGTTAAGACGATAACGCGTTTAAAACTGTGTATTTTTAACATTGCGATGGGTACGATTAGGGTTGACTAATTTCTTCCCTTTTGTTTTTTGTTTTCTTGAGTAAAAAAATATTTTGTTTTTGAAAAAATTGCGCATGAGCTATATTTAATGTACCTTAAGTATAAACGTCAGACCTCAAGTCGTGAAACTTTCCTCGAGAAAGAAAAATAAAGGAAAAAAATGGTTTTTGAAATTTGTGTTGGCTTTTGTCAACGTGCGTACATTGAGGATAAGAAACTAAATTTTTTTTAAAATAATTTATATTTTGTAGTTTTCCTTTTGGAAAAAATGTTGTTTGTACTATTTTACATATATTTTGTTATAAAGTTACTAAATATTTACCTTTTCCCAATAGTTTCCAGAGCCGTATCAAGCATTAAACATAAACGGTAACGTAACAGGTACATTTTTAGCCTTTTAAATTCAGAATATTTTGCTGAAAATTATGACTGGCCGATAACCAGTTTTGGATAAGTACTTTTGAAGTTTTTAATTTAGGACGAGAGAAAGGGTGGGGTGTATTATTATTTTTACTATACCTTTCTTTCGTCCTAAATTCAAACATCTTAATAACATTAAAATAAGTTATCCAAAACCGGTTGTCGACCAGTCGTAATTTGCAAGATATCATTCTTAGATTAAAAAGTTGATTTAATTGAATGAGTAACTAAATAGTGAGAAAATAACTGTCTTAGTCTTAAGGAACTCCCTGTGTATCGCTAGCGTTGCGTCTAAACAATAGGTAGTAGGTACAAGCTTAAAACAAAGTACAATTAAAAAAAAATGTTAAAGTAAAAAACTAAAATTTTCTATGTAGTTTATTTGCACATTTTTGCAACTTTTGTTTTATGGAGGGGCATTCTGAAAATAAAGTTAAGAGTATCCACGCTTCATGCAGATACATCAAGTTGCAGGATATATAATGATATATTAGGATATATTAGGATGTATTAGGATATATTAGGATGTATTAGGATGTATTAGGATGTATTAGGATATATATATATATATATATATATAAGGATAGTAAAATTAATTTGTTAGGTAGGCACTTGCTTACTGGCGAACCACGGAAATTGATTAATGATAAATGTTAAGTATTGATAAATGTTGCCAGTAAATCGACTGAGGCCAGATATTATAAAAACTACTAAAAAAAAAAAGTTTGGCATGAACATATTATAATTAAGACTACACTATCATCATATGTCGCAAGGAGATTATAGGAAGTAAGGAAATAATCGTATATAATTATCAGGACACATCCATGTATTGATGCGTCTGCACAAAGTGTGGATACTCTTAACTTTTTTTTGTTTTTTTCAGACAGTCTTACAAATGTAACGGTTCAATATGTGTATAGCTTACCCGGCGAGGTGTTCAAGTCCAAAAATGGCAAATTCATTCGCAAGCAGCACACGCAAGACTTCATCTCCGGGGCTTGGCATTCGCACCGCTTTTCCGGCACCTGCTTCGAGTCGGCCTGAGGCCCACCGGGTCTACGCTGTAAGACACCTTCCAGACCGGTCCAGAGCATATCTTAAATGGGGTAAAAAAAAAAAATAAAACACCATTAAAAAATCATTATCTCCTGGGTTTCTGTGTTCATTTTTAGTTTTATTTGATTTTTTTCATCAACTAAACAACTACATTCTAAATTATTTTGGCTCAATTTTGTAGTTATATTTTATTTTCGGAGTCACTATCTAGTTTATTACTATGGTTGTTTTACAATATTCAAATTTGTATACATTTTTTTTTTCAGAGCTTTTAAAGACTTTTAAAACGTAAGAAATAACGTAGGTATGTATTTATATTTATTTCCATTTTTAGATTAAGAATAATTTTCCGATATTTCGGACTGGCCGACAACTGTTTTTTTGGATAATTACCAGAAGTTTACAAAATATTCTAAATTAAAAAAATTTACCCATATACGTTACCGAGCAAGTTGAAAAAGATAATAATGTATTAAATCTCTGGACTAAAAAAAAAAGGTAAAGATCTAATAATTTTATAATATTTTAAAATAAAATAGCTAAAAATGTTTGTAAAAAAGAAAAAACTACAAAATTACAATTATTTTAAAACGAAATCCAATTTCTGGGTTTTCAATAAAGTTTATATTTCATTAGTTTTTTTTTCGGCCATTTAAATATTGAAAATATTACAATGTCAGTTTGGAAAACTTTTGAGATTAAATCTATTAATTGAATTATGAAACATATAATATGTGTATAATAACTTTTTTTTATGGCAAATGCGTGGATAATGTTTATATTTTCATTAAAAGTATAATAATATTATTTTTTGCTTAGATGATCACCGCTTTAATTGTGATTTATTAAATAAAAATTAGTACAAAATCAATCACCGCATAGACTAATCCAACCTGAACATACATGATATAAAGGTATATTCTTAGTGTTGTTGTTTTTAAAATTTTTCATTATAATTTGCAGGTATTAACAAATTAATATTTTAAAACTTTGTTTTCTCTGTAGCACAACTTACTAATACAAACAAGTTTATACTATAAAATTGTCAGCCCTTCAAGAGCATAGCGGCGTGAAAGCCATTGTGTAAGTAGACTTGTGACAGTCAAGTTAGCTGTTCACGTCTCGTGAACAATATAGCCATGACTTGCGGCTTTTGTGCGTTTAGCTGATGATAATCACAATTTTCAAAAAAATTCTAATCACTCTATATGGCGGCCTTGCTCTGAATTTTTATCTGACTAAACTCTGTCCGAGAAACGAGAACTTTGAAGACCTATTATAATTCTAAAACACAAACAATTTGAGTTTTGAAAAATGTACACCGAAAAATAACAACAATTCCTTGAAAATAACCGATCAGAGCGTTGACAAACATACCGGTAGGATTTTTTTTGTAAAAAAATTAATTTCATTCAACTTTTATGGTACAGTCAGTTAAATTTTCCAATAATTAAATTTTGTTCGGCATTAGCTTGTTTGATTTAAGTAAATTTGAAATGCGGTTTTTGAATAAATAAAATAAAACACATACATGAACTGGTATAAAATTAAAAACTAATATAAGTGATGTATAAAATCTAAGTTATAATGTAATTGAATATTTTAATATTTAAATATCTATAAAAAACATAAATAACAATCGTTTATAACAAAAAAATCTATAAACATCAAAGTATCTCCATATACTGCATTGCCAAGGATTGTCTGGTGTGGGAAGCACCTTTAAACTGCCTTTCTTTTAAACTCGAGAAAAAGTATCATAATACATTACATGCACGAAAGAAAACAGCTTAAGTATACAACTTTGTAAGCAAACAAAGTAATTAATAATTTCGACTATTTTTTTTTTCTATTTAATTATTTAAATGCTCGAATATAATTCTGGTAGAATAGTTAACAAAAAACTCAAGACACAATTTTAGACAATTCCATATAAATGTCAAAATTTTTTCTCAGAGATAAGACATCGGTTTATGGCTCACCCGTTACCGATGTGGACACCGTGGACGACGCCGGCACTTTGGCCCCGAGAGCCGTGGCGGCCGCGAGCACAGCACACAACCACGTTAGTCGACACATGTCACACTGTTTGTTGGCAACGTGTACTCACTACGGCGACGGCGACAATGACGTCGAAAAGCTAAACAAACAAACAATCAAACAATCAAACGAACGAACGAACGAACGCTAAAGTTGGACGCGCGCGTGTCGGTCGCTGGGCAGTTTCTGTGGCTACGGTTCCGGCGCAAACGGAGACGTCGGCGGCACGCAAACGAACGATACTGCACACGGGCGGCAACGGCAACGGCAACGGGTCAACGGGTCACCCACTTGCAGCCCCCACCCGTCCGGCGGGTATACTTTCTTTTCGTGAGAGAGAGAGAACAAAAATAACGTGTAATTATTAATATGATAAACCGCTGTCGCCGGTTCTACGTAAAGCGGTTGGGTACAACACGTACGCTTACGCACGCGCCGACGGAATACGGCTACAACAACAACAACAACAACAAACAACAACAATGGACATTTTGACCGTCCGGGGCGAGTGCGCCGACTGAGAAATTTCGCTTTCTCGAACGGCGGACGCCCGCGCGCGCGCGCCGGTCACTTTCTACACGGGACGCGAGTTTAGTGAACTTTCTCAACGGAACACAACGTTTCAATAGTGGGCGGCAGGGGTCGCGGGGGGACGCAGAAGGGGGGAGGGGAAGGAGCATTTACAAAATCAAAAAAAAAAAAACCGTTAAAAATGTCAAGTCCAGTTTGGCATTTGACAATGTGCTGTGTGTACACGTTTGCAGAGAGACTTTAACGCCAACAAAAAATAATCAAGTATTTATAAAAATACAATTTGTATATATTTAGCTGTCAAATAGCTCAATATTATCCGGAGGGGTAATATTTCAAAAATCGCACTTACCTAATTAATAAAAAAAAAAAGTTTTTAAAAATGTCAAATAAAAAAAACTAAATATTACAAACTTTACATCTAACCTAACCTAACCAAACCTAACCTAACCAAACTTACCAAACCTAACCTAACCTAACCAAACTTAACCTAACCTACCTTACCCGGAGACAAATATAGGTGTATGGCACTATACGAATCACTAATGTTGCAAAAATGGTATTGGAATGTCTTTTTTTTTTTGACCAAATTGAGTTATCACTCCACGTTAAGTACAACATATCCTGTGCAAAAACCAAACTAGTCCTTTGAACCATAATGGAAATATCAGCCGCTCCAGAGTTTAATGCACGAGTCCACTTTCTGCACTAAATTTCACAATCAACGTTAAAGTATATATATATATATATATATATATATATTATCTTATAATATATGAGATCTATGAACTTTATCTTAAAAATACCATGTCAAACGTCTTGTAACCTGCTTTTATTACAATCTCTGTGTTTTTAATGCTGAAACTAAAAATAGCCGAATGCAGAAAGGCCCCATGGCCACCAATTAAAAATATCTGTCGATGGCACGCTCGTTTTAATTTCAAGGGAAACATTAATAGCATTGTACTTCAAGAAGGTGGATAACATAATAAACTGTGGTCGTTCGTTCGTTTTTGTAATTAGCCTCAGACTTGCCCAGATAGTATTTTGCGCCTCCTGTAAAATTTGGTAATAATTGGACAAGATTATTGCTGATAAGTGATTTTAAAATTGATAAAAATCCTATTTATGTTAATACAAGTCGTGGCTTGAGTTTAATAGGATTTGCTTTGCGAACATTGGTGAGAGTGAAATGGAACAAATACAGTGTGTGCTTATTACTTTTACTTTTACTTATGTTTTAGTAAAATTAGATATTCTGCTAAAACTTTTCAGGTCATTTATTAACACGGCGAAAAGAAATCCACGTATGTATATATATATATATATTTGTTTTCAAATCATACAAAGCAGTCGTCTAGAGCCATTGTTGTACATAAACACGTCTCGGGAAGTGCACTTTTCTAAGGAAAATTGAACTGAACCAGACTAGACTTTGGCGTGGGCAATTTTCGATTAAGTTATTAAACTGCGACAAGGTATTAATTGGCGTCTAAATATCAATATAAAATTTGGAATTAGACCTTATAACCACTTTATTCACCGTTTCAAGACGGCTAGTGTGTCACTTAAAGTCACTTTTTATCGGTTTGAAGTCGATTTAAGTAATTTTTTTTTTTAGTTTGAAGTCCATTTTAGTCATTATTTTCGATTTGAAGTAGATTTTAATTACTTTTTTTTGGTTTTGAATTCGATTGTAGTCATTTTTTTTTAGTTTTAAGTAAATTTTTGACACTTTGTTCGGTTTGAAGTCGATTTTTATCACTTTTTTCGGTTTGAAGTCGAAATTTAATCACTTTTTTTTAGTTTGAAGTAGATTTTTGACACTGTTCGGTTTGAAGTCGAATTTTAATCACTATTTTTAGTTTGAAGTAGATTGTTGATACTTTGTTCGGTTTGAAGTCGAATTTTGTCACTTTTTTCCGTTTGAAGTAGATTTTATTCCCTTTTTGTTTTTATATTGTTCACATTCATTTTAGTGACGCCATATTTGTAATGTCATTTATTTAATATTATAATACCTATTAGGTATAATATTAGGGTATATTGTATTTTTGTAGTTTCAATGCAAGGCTGAAAAGGTGTTGTTGTTTTTATATATTTTTTTTTTGTGTCTGTACCCACAATTGTCTCTAAGCCGTTGAACCGATTCGTTCGCGCACAAACTCTGTGGATTAGAATATGTGCTGCACGAAACGCATTTTACTGGGCCAATAATTAAAAAATGTAGAATTTTTTTCTAGCCCCACTCCCCTCCTCTTTTCATTCCCAGACCCGCCCCTCAATACAGTATACCTCACACATCCGGTCTACACACCTTTGTAACATCGAGTCAATATCATGACTAGAGCTGCGCGGTGTTAATGACCATAAGTGTATTGTGAAGTACCTATATGCAATTATATGCATTATATACACGCTTGGACATTTTTTTGTTCCTCCGGACATGTTTTTGATCATCGGAGACGCGAGTACGAGAACGAGGAGGAGGAGGAGGACTTGGACGACCGGCCGGCGAGCGGTCCAAGACGCGGCGGAAAGGAAAATCGTGCCGGAACGAGAGTGGGTTTTTTTAATAACCGTCATCGTTTAATGTGTATATTTTTTTTCTCGTCCATATAGTGGGGAATCTCTTCGAGCGTTGCCGGGCCCGGTCTCACCGCCGCTGACACACATACCTGACCCGGTTTCGTCGGGCCGGAACAAGCACAACGGCGGCGGCCGCGGTAAATCCGCCGCGCTCGCCGCAGTGCAGTTCCTTCCACGAGAGACGAATTCAAGGCGGTTTTTCGACGTTGTCCGACGCGTCCGGCCAGTAGTAGTATACCTAACACGCCTGAAGTAAAACGGAAAAAATATACACATATCATATTTCGTATTTTGTTTACCTCAAGCAGGGTGCGTTTTTCCGAACCCAGGTGACCCATTCCACCTCCCCCCTCTGTGGAATACGGTGGTACCGAAGGTACGTGGATATATTTTACTTTACTTGTTACTTTTGTTCTATATTTTTTTTTTTTTGTCGTGTTCTTCGGGATAGCCCCGATGTACCCCTATATGTAGACGAACATTAGAAAACTATTATCGCAAGCATCCGGTATAAGTCCACCTGCGTTTTGGCGCAAAGTCGGTTTGCCCCAAGTCCCGTGTCCAACGGTGTATTTTTTTTTTAATTTTAAATAATATAAATAGACCCGGTCAGCAAATGGACGTGGCCGGAAAGAAAATCAACCTGTGGAGTATTTTTTTTTTATTAATTATATGTTCCACGAAACGGACCTGGTTTTGTTTGGCGAGGAAAGCATAGTGAATTTTGTAGCCGTTACCAAACGGTTTTGTTCACACCGGCCGCGTCTCCGGTTCAACTGGTTTTTGCACCGAGAATAGGTATGATATTTTTCTTGTTGCTTTTTTCTTATGTAGCTTTCAAAGCAAACGCCGCCATCGAACGGTTCAATAAAATCACTCCGGTCGCTTTTAAGTGCAGACGACTGTCTTGAGTCCAGACAATAGGTTTTGGCCTGTTTTGCTAATTGGCTTTGGATTTTTTTTATTGCCGGTAACATGCTTGGTTAGGTTAGGTTGTGTCGGGTTAGGTTTGCTGAACTTGCAGGATAACCTAAAAAAAAAAAAAAAAAACGTTAACTCTTCCACAATTGCTGCGTGATGGAGAAAATGTCACAAGCAAAGTTGTGGGTCATTCGAATAAAACTTCTATATCTAAATAATCATCTAGATAACAAATTATTCGAGTAAAAGTTATTCGAATCATTTTCAAAAATAATTACTCGAATCATTTTAGAAATAATATTTTATTCCAATGAAAGATTATTCGAATAATTTAAAATTCGATTACTCAAATAAAAAATAATTATTTTTAAAATTATTCGAATAATTTCTTTACCATTTATTCGAATGAAAAGTTGTCTTCCTATATTTACTGGCTTTATATTTTTTATAAATGTAGAATATATTAGATTTATACCAAATTATAGTTTCAAGTATAATTACTTGAAAGAAACACTTACAAACTATTCAAATAATATTTTTAAAAATTATTCGAATCATTTTTTGTTTGAAAAATTAAATTTAAAATTACTCAAATAACTTTTTATTTGAGTAATCGAGTTTTAAATTATTCGAATCAATTTTTTTACAATTTGTTCGATTGAAAAATAATTATTTTTGTAATTATTCGAATAATTTTTCATTCGAATAATTTTCAAAATAATTATTCGACTAAATCAAAAACAATTATTCGAATAATTTTTTTTACAATTTGTTTGATTGAAAAATAATTATTTTTGTAATTATTCGAATAATTTTTCATTCGAATAATTTTCAAAATAATTATTCGACTAAATCAAAAACAATTATTCGAATAATTTTTCATTCGAATAATTTTCAAAATATTTCTTCGAATAAATTAAAAACAATTAATTATTCGAATAATTTTTCATTTGAAAAATTTTCAAAACAGTTATTCGGATAATTTTCAAAATAATTATTCGAATGAATTGAAAACAATTATTCGAAAATGTTTTTATTGAAATAAATTTGTGAAATAATTATTCCATTAACAATTTGCAAAACTCTGGTCGCAAGACGTGTAGTTTATACGTCCGAGCTAACAATACGGATATCATATTTAGGAACGTTTTCGGTGTTAATTTTTTATTATCCGTCGGAAACGTGATGAGAGAATAGTTTGATCACAAACAGTCCATTTCACGCGTTGTTAGCGAATTTCACTAAAACCTCACCACAATCGACAATACAAATTAAAACTTCACAGTGTCTAACATACGGCGGCAACGGCAATGACCGCCAAGTTATTTCCATTGCTAAGGTAGGTCAGATATTACAAACGATTGCTCGATAGTGACATTTTACAGGAGCAGCTAAAATAAAGTTTGTTTTCCGGTACCGCTATTGACTAGGAAGTTACATTTTTGTTTTATATGGGAAATAGAATACTGTATTTATAAATAAACGTTATACACTTGCCAGACTAAATAAATACAATAACAATATAGTCTATGTAATTCCAAAGTGTTGTATCTAGTAAGCCTGTAGGCTACTCGACATGAAATCATTAAACATTTGTCCAACTACTGTAATCCTCAATAGTTGAACCCTATCATAGTTGGGTACACTTAAAAAAAAAACCTTAGACATTTTATTTAAACGGGAAACAGTCAAGTCAGTGTTTGACCACAATCAGAGTTGTGGAAAATGTTATTCTAATAAAAAAGTATTCAAATAAAACGTTATTCGAATAATTATTTTCCAATTCATTTTTTCCCTATGTGTGCTTCAAATGAAACATTCGGGAAGCTCTATGGGTACAATAAGTGATGTTGGTTTTTTTTTTAATTTTAAAACTATTTAAAATAGAACTCATATTCCATTAAAACAGGGTCTTGCAAAAAAAAAGTGATTTCAGATTTGAAATAAGGAGAAAAAAGCTTGTTAAATTGATATGATTTTTTGGTATCTGGCCACACATGCGTTTATCAAATGGCCACCGAGTGGCCGGCATGTGACACATCATTCTGGGTTAGAATTTCATTGTCAATTCAGCGGTGTCCTTGGAATTATTTTATATTCGTATGACCATTTTTAAATAATAATTTTCTGACTTCAAAATTATTCGAATAACTTTCCATTCGAATAATTATGCTTGGAATTATTCGATTAACTTTCCATTAGAATAATTTACTATCCAGATGATTATTTAGATAACCTGGACAATTAACCAGGTTAGGGTTTATACCTTTTGTATTGTACTGCGTATAATATATATATTTAAATAGATATAGGGTAAACCGTAAACCGTTTTAGATACACCAGCACTGAGGGATTGAAACCGAACCAGTCGTAAACGGTGTGTGGGAATTAATTCGGTCCGGGTCCATTTTTATTGTTTTTTTTTTTTTGCAATTTTATCCAAGCAAACGTTGTTAAACATGACTTATCCGAGACCAAATGGCCTCAGAAGTAATCAAAATTAAGTCGGCCATGCGGTTTTATTACGGGTTGCCCAGCTGAATGCGGTTAAATGGCATGCAATACAATATATATATATATATAAAACGTACAATTTGTAGAGTTAAGTAAGAAAACATTAAAAAAAAAACCCACACTAAAACGTTCAAGATCGTGTCTTTGCATATATACCTAAAGGTTATAGATTGAATAAAGAAAAGAAAATTACCACAAAAAATGTAAATAACATTTTTTTTTAGATTTGATAAATATTAAAATGTTATTTAATTTTGATCGCGTTACTTGTTTAGTTTTGGATTTTATAAAGCATCACATATTTTTTAAGCTGTTAGCTAAACCCCTTACAATCTGATCTTACAAAGCACTATAAAATAATATGAACTAGTTATTTTCAAAAGGTCAATGAAACATTAATAATGTTAGGATTGGAAAAAAGAAACATTGTTTAAACGCCATTAAATGATTAAGAAAAATAATTATCTATCAATTCATATCGCATAAGAGTTAATTAAAAAAAATATATACATATGTATTTATAACACAAGTACAGCAATATATTTAAAAAAAAAATAGTTGTTTAAATATTGTAAAGGATAACAATTTAAAAAAATGTTTTAAAACATTAACAAATAATTTTATGAACTTTTTTTTTTTTTAGTCGAAACCATTTTTCAATAATTTCAAACACCAAAAAAATGTGCTAAATTGTTTTCAGAACTAAATTTTGCTTATAAATAAAATTGACATTGTTTTTTTTTTCCAGTGATTTAATATCGGCCAGTGATTTAATATCTCAATAGTATGCCAACACACAGCAATTATGTATTGTAAAAATATTTCATTAACACTATTAATTGTGATTGATATTTTGAGTGGTCTGCATTTTGGCAAGAAATCTAATATCAATAGTTTAAAAGTTTCAACAATCAAATTCCTATTACTAAAAATATCTTCGTATAATACTGGAATTGTACATGAATTGTTTTCAACAAATAGTGTACTTGTAATATCCAACTGCTTGAGACCTATCAGTTGGAGAAATTGATGATTCTGTCAAATTAATAAGACATGAATATAGGTATTTGAGAAATAACATTTTTTTATACTAACGTTAGTGTTTAATGATCAAAAACAACAGCGTTCATTGCTAAAGTGCTTTTTGGAAATATTTCCAAACTTTTTGAACAAAATTTAGTCATTTTTTTTCTTTTCTTAAAGTCATTTAATGCTGTCGATTTTATTCGACACCTATTGTCTTGGGCACAACAACGATTATCCCGGGCTGGTTAGGTTATATTAAAAAAAAGCGTTTTTTTTTTTACACGGTTTAACACAAACAGACCGGAGGGAATTAAACACGTTCTGGGAGACACACGAGGAGAATTTCTCTTTTTAAAAGACAAGGTCAATGTCGACGATATCCTAGGCGTTCGCCTTGTGTTGTACCACCTCGGTAGACCTTTCACCGATTTCGTTATTCGGTCCGTTATTACTGTTATTATCGTTATTCATTATTATTATTATTTATTATTGTGTTCCGTCAAAGAAAGTAGTAGGTATGTTATTTTTTTTTTTACATTTATTCCGAGTCTACTAGAGAGAGAGAGACCGGAATAATTATATATATATTATATTATATTGTACACGCACACCGACAAAAATATGTAATATTATATGTACTTGTAATAAATTAAACTGTGTCAAATTGTTTTTAAATCCACCCGACGCGGTGTTTATTTTTGTAATTTGAAATCTGTTATCTGTTAACGCGAAATTGATAACAGGTCACCTCCGTGTAATTGTTTATTTTCATTGATAACAACATATCGTTATCAGTGTTGCAACCAAAAACGGTTTTTACTAAATATTAACAAAATCCGTTTAATCTAATCACAATCGTTGATCGACGTATTGGACGTTATTGGTTCTCGTTTTTTTTTTTTTTTATTGTAAATCATTGTATTATTTAGATTCGGAAATTAAATTTGTTTATTTTTATCAAGAGCGTGAAAAATATTATGCAAATTCTGTGTACTCATATAATTTGGTGTGGTAAGTAATCGGTTCGGTTTGAATTTGCTTTCAGTTATCCGGCAATTGGCGATAGACGACAAAGAAAATGCGACTTTCGGTCGTATTCGAGCTTTTGCTGATCTTTCTGATCATTGCATTTGCCGCCTACGGTAGAGTCGGTGAGTGTACTATTAGTTTACATTTACAAAAACTTATTTCTTGAACTTGTTAATCCTCTCTTTTGTTCTTTCAGTTCCAGAAAACAAAGACGTGTGGCGGACCAGTTTGAACAGCGTCAAAGAGCATTTAAAACATATGGGCCAAGCCAGGCAAGCGGCATCTGCTCCGGCTCCTCCCAATCGGTACTGCGCTTGTTCCAACCTGATGTGCAACTGTTGCCGGGACTTTTCACTGCCGGTTGTTCCCATCCAAGGGCCAGGTAATCATCTCAGGCTTCAATAATATTATTAACAGAAAAGAAACCATAACGTTACTACACGGGCTCCTGGTGGTCAACATAAAATCATTTCGGACATCTTGAAACTGGACAGTGGTTAAGAGGGCGTCGCGCCGGTGATTTTCAGTGGTAAAAACATGTTTAAGCAGACTGAAACTAACTTGCTTAATTTTGGTTTTAGAGTAAAAGCACCGATTATAAAATTAAAAGAAAACAATATTCCGGAGGGCAAGACGGTGCGTTTTTTTAAACAAATTAATTTTTTTGGAAAGTTACAGTCATTTAAAAATGATAAAATAGTCGTTATTTCTAAACTACGTATTGAGCGTTATACTTAGTATAATAAAAAAAACGCACCGTCTTGCCCTCCGAAATATTGTTCTCTTTTAATTTTATAATGGGCGCTTTTACTTTAAATCCATAATAAAGCGAGTTATTTTCAGTCTGCTTAAACAATTTGAGATGAAAAAACATTTTTAAATCGCTTTCAAGGATGCTATGATAGTCCAAATAATAAATTAACTATCAAAATAGAGTCCTAGTTATTAAACTAATAATTACACATCACGGTTTAACATTTTAGTTAAGATTTTGTAAAAAATTGCCTATACTTTTAAAAATGGGCGGTGCGACGCCCTCATAAACTGTTCAGTGTAGCCACGAATCACGGACAAATTTAAATTAAAAACGGGAAAAATCTGCGTTCTGGCAACACTGCGGCTATTTCTTAACAAGTTATTCGAATGAAAAACTACCTCCCCATATTTACTGGTTTTATATACTTTCTAAATGTAGAATATAATAAATACGATTTATACAAAATAATAATATGTTCAAATATAGTTACTTGAAAAAAAGCACTTACAAACTGTTTAAATAATATTTTTAAAAATTATTCGAATCATTTTTTGTTTGAGTAATTAAATTTAAAATTATTCGAGTAATTACATTTGAAATTATTCGAATAATCTTTCATTGGAATAATTATTTCTAAAATTATTCGAATAACTTTTACTTGAATAATTTGTTATCTAGAATCTAGATGATTATTTAGATAATGTTTCATTCGAATGATGCACAACTCTATTTACATCGACCTAACTTAAGTCCGAAAAACAAAAAAAATATGTCACACATTTTTGGCTGAGAAGGTATTGGTTTATTATGTTGATGATTTAAAAAAAAATATATATTTTTAAGTACTCAAAAATTGAAAAACTAATTCAAAATTTTATGAATTTCATAACCCATTTTTTTACTAACTCAAGGTCAAAATTTCGAAACTTTTTTATTCTGATACATCATACTATACTTGTTTTATCATACTATACATTTTTTTTTTAACAATTTTTTTTTTTTATGTATAGGTTGGGAATTGTTTGGCATTTTATTAAAAAGTGCTACGCTTAAGAGCCTATAACTTTTTATGACACGAATCAAAATTTCTGAAATTTGTACAGCACTTACTTATAATCCATGTTGAACATTTAGTGTTTTGTAATGGAGACTTTTTTTATTACTAGGAGCTGTAATATTTTCACCTGCATTGACAGCTCATTGTAGTATAATGGGGCTATTTAAAAATGATTACCTTACTCACTTTCTCACTTGCGTTTTATTGGACGTCAGTTGCATTAGTCATATAATTATTACAAAAAACGGTATGCGTCATTGGGCTATTATTATTGTTATATGTTACAGGTTGCGCTTCTCTGAAGTATTTGAAAGGCGACCAAATGGCGGTGACGATGAGCTTCGGCGACAAGGTGTTGCGCAACACCACCATATCCGGGAGAAAGCCAAAGCCGGTGTGCATGAATTTGCCGGGCGGCATATCCAAGTTCTGCGGCCGGGTGTACGGGATCTCGCGGGACGGCGACCAGTTCAAAGCGTGCCTGGGCCTGGAGCTCAGGGCGCTGGACGACGTCGAGGCGGCGTTGCGCGTGTCGTGCTTCCGGTTCGGGCCGCAAGGCATGAAGGTCGAGCCCGCGCAGCCGCTGCCGGCCACCGCGTCGTTACAGGGCGAGGACGAGGACGACGAGGACGAGGACGACGACGACGACGACGATGACGACGATTACGGTCTGGGAGACGGCGAGGAAGAGGAAGAGGACGACGACGACGCGGCCGAAGAGGAATCCGAGAACGACGTCGAGTCGTCCGGCAGCGATTACACGGGATTCAGCGCGTTGAGCACCGACTTCTTGGACAGCCTGTTCGGCGGAGGCGGCGCCGCGGCCACCGAGGAAGAAGACGCGGCGGCGCGCGGCGGCCGAGACCGTCAAGCCGTCCACGGCCAAGCCGGCGACGGCGCCGTACAAGACCAAGGCGACCACGCCCAGTCCCACTAGCCAGCTGACGGAGAAGCAGGCGAGCGCCGAGTCCGTCACGTCCACGTCGTACACCGTCAGCGTTGTCCAAGACAACACGGCCGCGTCCGCCGAAGCGTCCACCGTGACGGCGCTCGACGACACCCCGACGGACCGCGTCGAGACCGTGCCCACTCCTTCGCAGTCGGCGGCGTCCACGTCGGCCACCGACACCAAGGACAAGGACTACGACGACGACGACGACGACGACGACGATGACGACAACGACGACGACGAGGACGGCGACATCGTGTCGGACATAATCGAGTCGGCCGCCGACGTGGTGGGCATGTCGGACGCCAAAAAGAACAGCACGGGCACGACCAAGGCGGCGGCCGCGGTTACCGAGGCAGCCACGTCGCCGACGACGTCGGACGCCGCGGTGGCGGCCACCACCAACAACGCGCCGTCGGGCAAAGACACCGAGGACGACGACGACGAATCGGAGGAAGACGACGACGACGACGACGACGAGGACGACAAGTTCAAGAGGAGTTTCGGACAACAACAGCAGCTCATGCCCGTGGCCATCGTGCCCAACGACAGGCGGGGCCGGACGCACAGACGGATGAGGCTGTCCGTGGCGGACGCCGACGAGACGGCCATACATTTCATGAAGAAAGTATGATCCGGGTTGGCTCGCAAAAAACGTTTAGGTTGTACATAGAAAAAAAAAAATTATTTATTTGTTTAATTTATTAATTTATTTTGGAAATAAATAAGACGACTATTTATTCTTACGATATATATCGTGTACCGCGAGTACGCTTTGTATAAAAAAAAAAAAATGTTCACTCCGATTATTTATTTACATTTCCGTTGTAGCTCATATTGATCGCGCCCACTACACACGTGTACATATACATGATAATTATAAATAAATATTTTATGATAAAAATATGTCCCTTTATCGCTTTCGCCATATTTTGGCGATCGTGTCGTTTATTTCCAACACGTTCAGGTCGAAATCGGGCACCGTCGAATCGTACATCACCCGAGTGGAGGGTGAGGTAGAGGTGGAGGTAGAGGCGTTTGACGAGGCGGTCTGATTGAATTTCTGCAGGCCCACTCCGTCCCGGCCGAATTGTACGCAATCGAATTCCAGCACGAGCAGCTCGGCGTGCTCGATGCGCGTGACGAAATTGATACACATGTGCATGTTCAGGCCGGCGGTGTAGACGTCGAACAGTTGGACGCACAGGTCCGTGACGGGTATGTACGGCACGGGCACCTGCAGACAGGCTGGAGGAGGATTTTTCGCTGTGCAAAAAAAAAAAAAGGAACATAATGAACAGCGAGATTTTGTTCGGGGAACGCGCGAAAAAATACTATACAGGGTGATCGCTTTATCGGGATTGACTTTGAAGAGCAGCCAATACTTACTGGTTGGTACTTTGGGTATTATAAATAACATAAAAAGTTGTAAAAATTCATAGGAAAGTAAAAAAAAAAAATGGAAAATTATCTTATTTGTACACATAATTATTTCAACTGTCTTTGTGGGACATCCTGCATATGTATGCACTACTGTGCCCCAACCGACACTTTCACTGTGTTTTACAGTTGACAATAAAACAATTGTGTGTTGAAAATTAACCATTAGAGGCGTTCGTGTATCGAATAGGACAAAACGATTCAGACATTGACAGGCGCTCTGCGTTATTAATCTAATACACATATACTTGTTAAGAATATGGTTTAATGTTTTAGTGATGTCACGTTTGCGTTGACGTTGCCAACCGGTTGGAATTTCATTCGTTCATTCATTTAGTTGTTAATTGATTTTATTATCACTTATGGTTGTGAAAATTCATATAGACAGTGGCTTTTTTTAGTATTATTACTACAAAGTTGTTGCAGAGTTGCGCAAAATCCAATCCAAAAAAGGTTAACAGTATCCACACTTTATGCAGATAGGTACATCAATACCTAGGATATGTCCTGCAATCTAGCATCTCTAATATCTTATCTCTATTAATCCACCTCCATAATCCTGTTATTTATAATCAAACACCAGCACTTCCTTGCTCGCCTAAACTTTTAACGCTAATGACTCGAAAATGATTTATTCAAAACTGGCTATTGATCAGTCATTACTTCATTCTGCTTTTGATAGGCGACTAAAATATCGTGCATATTCCTGTGTAAACTCCCTTTCAAGATTTTACAATTTTTTATCATTGAAAAATTAGGATATAATTAGACATTTTTTTTTAGCTTAAATAAGTATATTTTTATTGAAAAAAATCACTGTTACAACCGATGTAGGCTTAACCGCGAAACGGATTTTGTACAAATGACAAACAGACTTTCTAAGTGCAAAAAAAAAAAAAATAAATAAATAGACAGGTAAAATAAGATTATTTCACTGTCGCTCAAGTGGTGTACTGTTGCAATTTGTCAAATAACATATAGCAGCCTAGTTATTGTGTACAGGATATACCTCGTTTGTATATTTGAACAACATGCGGATTTGTTTGTCGAACAATGACTGGCGGAATGATGATGTGCTGTGTCAATCAATGTCGGACGATCAAAGGCTCGAGATTGAATAAAAAAACTTATCTGGTCTGGCTAACAATGCAGACATAATAGTAATACCGCACACGATAATATTGCGTTTCAAAAAGAACGGTGGGGTTTCAAGCGGCTAGTGGCAGCCATTGGACGTTTGACAACTCCTTCTTTCATTCAAACCCTACCAGAGCAACCCCATCATTCTTTTTGATACACCCTGTGTGTTAAACAAATACAAGATGATCAACTAGACCTAGGACGCTGATTTTCTGGGTTTTTTTCTATTTGGAAACATCCAATGTGTGGGTTCTCCGGTTTTCAAACTGGCTCTCGACCAGACAAGGTAAATATATTTAGTAATTTTATAAAAAATTTGAAGTGTAACATCAAAAGAAAATTGCAATTATTTTCTTTATGGACCTGTATTCCATACACTTACCCGATATCTGATACTCGTACAGAGATTCGTCATCCATGAACATGTTGCCTTTGATGGCGAATTCCATTGGGTCGTACGTGAGGTTGAAGCATCCTGAAACGAGAAATTTATATTTTGTCTCAAGTAGCGTCGGAGAGATTGCACAAGAGGAAAGTACAAGTATAAATTTGCTATAATTTTTTTATACATACAATTATTACCCACACAACATACCGAAACTATAGTTGTTTTACTCATAACGATTGCACCGTAGTAGTGTTTTAATTCGTTTATTATTAAATTGACGGGACAAGCCCAAAGTCGACAATACCCATAGAGTACAGCCATGACAATTGTCATACTATAGTCATAATATGTATGTTATCTCTTATTACTTATCACATCTCTTATCTTTTATCATATTTCTTATCTCTTATCACTTATTACATCTCTTATCCAGCCTGATAACACAATATCTCAGCAGGCGTTTGGAAATGAAACAAATTAGTGACTTTACGTTTTGGCAACATTAATTTTGCGGCCCCTAGTGAGTACATATATATATATATATATATCATAATAAATACTGCTGTGTTCGCCGGGTGTGTTTTATATATTAAACCGGGCCGTGTACCTACACACACACACACACGCCTATACCAGCAAGGTAGGGTAGTGTGCATGTTGTGTCTTAACGAACCCGAGTTGGTAATTCACCAGGGTTTACGATGCTGAGTTAATAAAACCGAGATTACAAAAGGGCGATATTTCTTCATACCTCCTGTCACGTTCAATTAGTATCCTTGTTCGCCCCCCCCCCGACTCCGGTGTGGTAGTTTTGTTGGCCCTTATTTTTATTATTATTATTATATATATTTTTTTGAAACTACAAGCTTTACCACGGTGGCTGCCATAATTCACCACACCACCACCCTCCCTTCACCCCACAACCCCAAATCGCTCTCATTAACCGGACCGGATTATTCATAATAAACCCAACCGAGACGCGTTGATGTTTGATTAAGTTTTTACACCGGGTTTGTGTTTTTAAAACAATAGAATAATATTATAATTAAGTCCTGAACACAACGCCAGCATTATCTTCTAGTCCGTGCCTTTAAGTTCCAAGAAATCAAGTAGTATTTACCCAGCACTGGTAAATATAATGCATAGGTTAATATAATATGTTGCTTGTTTAGCTATGTCATTTATTTCAGAGAAAAAACTACTGTAACACAAAGTAAGAATAACCTAGGTCAATGATCAGTTGCCCAAACATTTTTGACATGGACATGTCTTATAGTGGATTAGAGATACTAGATTGCAGGACATGTATTTGTGTAGAAAGTGCATCAAGTGTGGATACTCTTGACTTTTATATTCTTCAACCACACTGTATAACAGAAGGAATTTATTTTTTGGTCACACTGATCTGAGATAATAATTAAAGTCTGCTTACATTTTTAAAATTTTTTTCAGAGTGGTTTTATACTATCTGGTTTTTTCCAATATGTGGTCAAACCTTTTAACGAAATAAAAATCAAAGGCTAACTAACATACTAAAAATCCCACCTCCCCACCTATGCTAATGTTTTGAGAGTGGCCTAAAATTCTTGAAAAATATCATACTTACAAGTGCAAAGATGGACTATTTTCGGAAGTTTAATAACATTTTGCACTGTTGTTTACATTCTAGTGGCGGAAACATACATATACACTCTATTTAATGAATTGTTGTATATGTATTATGTTTAAGAGTTTTAGTATGTTATATAATTAGGGAACTCACTTTAATGACACAAACGTGCTTAAAAAATGGCTGTGGTCAAAGTGTAGTTTTTCTTTTATTTCGTTTTTTTTTTTTTACTAAAAGTTTGACTACAGGTTTTTGAGAAAATTGTACATGTTATAGCCCCATTTTTCTCCACACAAGTAAAAACTTTGTTTCCCTTCTTTTGGGAGTAATGACTTGTTTAAGATTTGGATGTGTTTTTTTAAAAGTTATATTATTTTTATTATTATCAGCCATAATAATTCCTAATAAGAACTGTGACCGCTTTGACCCAACTATGTTCCGTCTTTACTGTGTTTGGTATATATTTTTTTTAAATTAAAACTTTTCCAATAAGACAGAAAGGTAGTTGGCATTGGCTTAAGCCGAAATATTGTCTACGTTTCAAACGTTTCATTTGAAAGTTGTATTAAAGAAACAAGTAAAACAACAGTTTTAACTTCAAAGGTCATTGTACTGCTTAAGGAATTGTACTACAAGCGAATAATTCATTTAATATAAATGTTTTGAATATTAGGAAAACAAATAAGTTTTCCAAAAAACCGAACCTCAATATTATTTCATTTCGTATTCAATTTTTGCAAGTATTCAGATCTGTCTCATTACTATTGCGGTCTTCGAGTCCCTTGTTAATACTTTTATTCCCAAAATTTGCACATTTAGTACTCGTGTTTCGATAATTAAATTTTATTACAAACACAACTCGGGGTTCAACTGCATTTTTAGACCAACCGAGAAAGTCTTACATGTCTTTTCTACACTCATTCAACTATTCAAAGATTACACGTTTACAATTAGATGAAGTCAATTAATTGGAGTTCACTTGGAGACGTTAGAATATGAGTTGTAGGCAGAGATGGGCAGAATCGAAAATTGTTAACTTAACGAAAATATATCCTTTTATATCCTTATATACCCTTTTATATCCTTCTATATCCTTTTATATCCTTATACATCCTTATATATCCTTCTATATTCTTCTATATATATATCACACATGAAAATGTCTCTCTTTAAATCAAGATTGACCAGGCAAGTGGAAGACAAGAAAATCTAACACTTAGAGTTTACATCTTGGTTTTAAATTAATCAAAAATACCTCCCAGCTACGCGTCGAAGTAATACAAATTATTTGAATACATTTTTTATTATTAAAATATTATTAATATTCATTATTTTATTATTTAACTATTAAATAACCAATCCGGTAATTTATAATGTTGTAATCCAACAGTTACTGGAATAAATAAAATGTTTGTATTAATCTCGGTTTATGTGTAATCCCTTTGTAACCGAATACCTGCGGATTGTAACCCATTTTCATCATTTCTGGTTGTAGATACTGGTATTATTGTTTTTTTTTTTAATTTTGTACAAACCATATGTTGTCGTGTCTTATGTTATCGTGTGAAAAAATTACATGTCCGACAAACCTTTTCTGTTGAAGTTAAACCACCGGACGTTAAACCATGCACAACAGCCACACATTGAGCCCTCACACGAACAGGGTATACGACCGTACCTGGAAGTGTTTGGTTCTTCTTGTTGGTCGCCCAAACGTTGAACGATCGGTATTTTTTTCCTGGTTATCACATCATAGTAGATGTCTCGCGACTTATGTTCTAGCCCAGCAACTGCGGAAACATTATTAAAAAATATTATAATACACTAATGGTGGGGACGGAACAGTGATAAGAGTTTGATAAGGTAAAATTAATAATCTCTTAAGATGATAAAATAATGCATAGGACATGCTACATACTGGCCTACTGTAAGAGGTCATAGTATTTTTTTGGGAAAAGAAAAAGATATATAAATTATATATCGATCAGAGAGAGATAGACACACATGATAAGAGATCTTTATTAAAGGTATCTTTACAAAAATTATTATATTATTACCCAATATTTATGAGACATTGTAATTTTCAAGCAAAACTCAACAGCTTTTATAAATTAGAAAAAACATAAACTTTTTAGCGCTCAAAGCAAAATCTATTTTATATGACAAATATTTAATTTATTTAGTAACTTGTCTTTAGAGGACTATGAACAAAATACACTCAATAATTTCCGGCCTCCTGTTATCACTTATCACTCCTCCTCTTATCAGTGATAACCGGGCCTCTCTTATCATAGGAGGTCTTACTGCCAAAATGTACTACTCTTATACATTTTTAACATGAATAAAAGCCGAAAACAAGTATAATTATTATCTCGCAATCAATTTTATACTCAAATTGCCATTTATGTTTTTATATCAGACACTGTTTTAAAACTCTATAATTAATACAATGATACATACGGTTTTATTTAAACTTAATTATAATATAACTATATTTGTTAACTTTTCAATGGTTTTTTTTTATTAAACTATTACTATTTAATAAAATGTATATTTTATTTTAATTTAAAAATTAAAATTAATTATTACTTTTAATGTTTGACCAATCCCGTAATATGGTAAACAAGCCTAATAATAAAACAACGACCCCTTAAATAACAAAAGCCGTCAATCTTCTTTAAGTTTCATTTATTAATAATATTTTTTTTTTCATTTAAACGTAGCGCGAGGTAAAGCCATAAATAATGAAATTGTTTTTCCTCGAGAATTATCCGGTTCTCGTTCAGATTCTATTTATTTTTGTGTAGGCGGTAAACAATTACCGTTAACTGTTATCACGGTAATAATTATAATTACAAAATACAACACGGGTCGTTATTTATTTTCCCACATAAATTACAGCCATTCATCCGGCGTTAATCACATTTATAAATTATGTTCATGGAAAAAGTACAGGTAGGTTTAATTAAAGTTGAAAAAAAAACTTTAACGTCAATTATTAGAGTAATAATATTCCATGCTTTTTCGAGGAGGTAAAATGTATAGTTTTCATAGAAATTATCAAATTGTGCCGATAAAAACACTCATCATAAAAATACTAATTATTATTGTGTTGACGGTTTCTTTTCAGGTGTACATGGAAACAACAAAGACTCGAAAAATAATGATTTTGAGCTCCAAAACAAAAATTATAAATCATAGGATTTACCTATGATACCTATGGTGATACCTGTATTATGACAAAAATACTCCAACACATTGTTGTACGATAATTATGATAATTATATTCAAAAGAATTGTGTCAAACGATTTTGCAAGTTAGTGCATTACTCACATAGTAGTCATCGTCGGAGAAAGTGAAATGAAATAATAATTATTATTGAAAGTTGTTAGCTGATGTTTCAGAGTGAGCTTACACGTGTAGTGTACACAAATTGCTAAATGCCTATTAACACCGTGTCCAATGTGTATTGTGAAAATTATCAGTGCTATATTGTTATAGAACAAAAATAAAAAATATATATATAATTTAAGTGAGTTATTTTTTTTAATTCCTTTATAGTATACATTTTGTATTCGCGTAGGACGTACAAGAGAAAGTCAACACTACCAGTGTAAATTTGACCTTTTCTTTTTAAGAAAGACTTTTTCTTAAAAAAATGTATTTATGAGAATAAGAGACGAAAAGCGTGCCATAATAATATGACATTTCGACTTACAACAGACGGTTAAATAGTAAATTAAATAACTGATACAAAATTGGAGTGATGGATTATTTTAGCATTTGAAAACTCACTCACATTACCACCAGCATATTATATTATAATTTAATCAGCCGGTTTCACCAACTATTAATAAATACACTCTTAACATAATGTTAGTTAACAATTCATTTAAATTTAACAACTGGTTAAATTTGGTAAGTTTCACCATAACGTTATTATTATTATTATTATTGAATTCTATTTGTTATGTTAACGAAATGTTACCTGGGTTACTAAAGCGGTTACCTCGATTCCAACGAAATGTGATAACTGATACTTATCTGATACCTGATAATATTATAACTAGATCTATGGCATTTTAACATATTAATTAATTTTTTGACAAGCTGACGTCGGCTGATTAACTTAACAATAGTTTTAACAAATGTTCAATACTCACTTGTCGAACAGCTGGAACCGACGAAAACGCAAGACAGTAAGGTAAGGAAAACTACCGAATTGCATAAAACGCCCATTTTTTTTTGCTTTGCTTTGTGTTGAGCTGCTGCACTCGACGGATTTGCACCCTATGAATAATAATGATAAAAAATACAAGAAAAAAATTACAATGCCACTGATCCACCGACGACACTCCAGTGAGACAATGCAGTGAAAAATTACCATGTAAATTTATATTATAATATTACCTCTGTTTGCCGGAAGACCACTTGTGTGACCCGTTTGTGGGGTTTTATCGCTTAATTTACATTTTATGTCCTCAAAAACGTAATATACATTAAACGCCCATTGATTTGTAGGTGCGTGTCGTGCATATTCCTTGGTTTAATTTTCATTTGTTTGCTTTCCGTTTATTTAGTTTTAATTTTTTCACCGTTCAGTAGCTGTTAGAAAACGCACAAGCAAATATAAACCCATTTCTATCATTTATGCAGTGTTCGGTGTGTGTGTGTCTGGTTGTGTACTCTTATAACCGATTAACTAACATAGGTAGGAGGTAAAATAATATGCTATATTAGTGTCTAATAATACCTAGTAATAATTGCTCGTTGTTCCATAATGGCGGCTATCTTAAACAAATATCGATATTGACGAAAAACCGTTACACAGTCAATTAGTTCAAAGTGTTTAATTTAAGCGAAAAAATATGTGCTTTAGTTTACTACACCTACTTTCTTTAATCTTAAGCGATTCAAACGTTCTTAATAAAAGTGCGTGGAAAAAGCTACTGTTTAAAAGGTATTTAGAAAATTACCCAAAATGGAAGGGTCGGGTTAGTGATAAGGAAAACCCGGTATTACCCGGTAATACCTGATAAGATATTGTTGATCATTCAATCATTGATTAATGAATGATAAGAAAATCAGCAGATAAGGGATAATTATTGATAAGAGATAAAATCCTTCAAGTGAACAAATGAGTTATTTCTTATTGAATATTATATCTATGTTCTTTGTATGTATGTGTATGTTATGTATTTGTTAATTTAACAGACCAAGTCTGGAAAAATTGCTCAACGCCCAAACATGGATTTGTCTTTGTTAATTTTTAACTGGAAATGTACTGTTATAACATTTTTTTAATTTTACTTGGAATCGCATGAAAAGTTCCTTTTGAAACCTTTCTGGTTAGAGAAGTGACATTAAACATAACGTATGTTGTATTGCCATCGAGTTTCATTATCGTTCGCATGGACGTTCTAAGTGAATTATAATAACGAGAACGGCGGTTCGACCGAGTTGTTTTTATTTTTGTTGAAGGATGCAGAATTCATTTATTAGAGATGTCTTCAGTGTGCATTTGCAAAGCCCGCCGTGTTGTGTTTGCTACTCGAACCGTTATAGCCTGTGACACGTTTATTTTACAGTAACCTTTTCATATTACATTCACATGTAATCCAACAGGGTCGTTAGTAGGAAACTACTAACAGCCTTTCTTTGTAGGATTTAATAACTGAAATATAACGGTTTTCAAGGACCAGCAATTAAAAATTACAGCATAGTATATTAATAGTAACCAAATCGTTTTCAATTTATTACAACAAAACGAGTCTATAGATCTATTAACAACATCATACAAATAACAAACTACATACCATACGAATAAATAATAAAAATACATTTTGAAATAAAAACGTCTTTCGGTTCTTTATAAATAAAAAAAACAAACGTAGGTACCTACACACTTTGGTTGAACACTGCTGGTGTCGTTTTTTTTTATCACGTTTCAAGAAACAGTATAGATGTGGAACATTTTTTAGCAATCCTTGTTGGGGGATTTTTTTCAACTTCATTTTTGTAGCATACTATTATTGTCGGTGATTATGGTCGTGTCTTCGTTCGTCGAAGTCGTTGTGGTCATGGTTTCATTGCTTCCGGTGTTGGACACTTCCGGGGGTGGACGGGACGGTACCGGGGGTGGTGGCAGCCCCCCGCCTTCTTCCGGTTTCAGCAGAGCTACCCCCGCTGTGCCCATTCGTATACAGTTGAACTCCACGGCGAACACAGGTTGCTTTTCCGTTTGGGCTTCCATGGCCAAGCACATGTGTATGTTCCGGCCGACAAAGTACACGTCCTTGAACCTCAGACACACTCGACTACGAGTCCATGCCGGCGGGAATATCGGTACACAAATTGGCCGTGGGTTTTTACCTATAAAAAAGTACAAATCAATAACGTCGTTAATTGGAAAAGATGAAAAAAATAGACGTTGTCAACCTTTTCCTTGGAGGAAATCCGTTATCATTCGTCTCTGATCACCAATCAGCTGATAAGAGATAATGATAACAGATTTTGATTGTATTATCAATAAACACCCCATCTCTTCCCCGCCTCATCTACACACTTGTCCATCCTTCCTCGTTCCCTTCACCTTTCTTTAGACTACTAGAAATTGTCATTGTTGTTATAATACAGTTCAGTAACTTATTTACCGAAATATTTAACAATAAGCTCTTAGGCCAGGACAGGTTAAGTTGGGATAAGTTGAGTTAAGTTAGGACGAATTAGGTTAGTTTTGAGAAATGGGTGGTCCTTAGTGGAAGGAATCACTTAGAGACCACAATTGTTGTCACTAATCTCTTATCAGGAGAGATTATCAGCTATATCTTATATCTTATCAGCATTCGTAATCAGCTGTTTCTTATCACTGTCGGAAAAACGGTGTCGGGAAATTATTTTTATTTAATCCTACACTAGTTTACTTTCAAAACAACTGCAATTTTTCAGTTTTTATTTTTGAAAACATTTTTGTTTATGTAATTTTACGGTTTATAAGAAATATATTAAAGTTGTAATTTACCATCATATAGTACTTATAAACTTTTTTTTAGAAAAAAAACGTTTATGTAACGTTAGCGGTTAACAATTTTCTTCTTAATCGTTAGGTTTAAGTAAAGCATATATTTTAAACAATTGTAATAGTCCATCTATTGTGACTTGTAAAGTAATGAATAGTAATGCATGCACGTTAAGGTAAGTGGGCGATTATAACAATTGTAGTTTTTTTGCCATTCTTCAACGATATTTTAATTGAGAATAATTACTGTCGATTTTCTAACATTTATATTAACGAGCTATTTATTATCCATTAGACGTATGAACTAAAAATATTATACCCATAGTAATTGTAAAGTTTATGGCTGGTATGTCTTGCATAATCGCCGTATTAAGTACTTGTTTACAGCTGTTAAGGTGAACGAATTCAAGACTTCTGCGTTACACCCATCTCATGGCAATAACAACAGATGTAATATGTACATAATTCACACATACCTGATACGACCCTATTGAACAGAGTGTAGTCGTTGTAGAGCAACCGCACGTTAAATTCAAAATCGTCAGCATAATATGATATGTTGGCGCACAACCGTTGCCTCAAGTTCAAATTGAAATTCTGTAAAACGTTTCCACTGCAACAACTGCACATGCTCTCTTCGCACTTGCATGGATAGACAATCTGCTTGCCCTGTTTGACTGAAACTATACACACACGTTGAAATTAGAAAAAACAAATTTTTTTTTTTAATCTTACATTATTATTTTTAATATTACAGCGTAGTGCAACAGGGTCAGGTACCAATTACCTAAGCCAATACGTTTCTAATAAAACCCTTTTTTTTATAAAAATACGATATCCGGTAAAAGAAAATTGTTATCTTAAAATCCATTATCGACATACATAAAATAATTGCACGTGTCAAAAGCGGATTGATGTAATGAAAACAATGACAATTACTTTCAGTTAGTGATAAAAAATAATAGCGGTGATAAGAGATAAGTGATAAGATACAAAAGAAAAGTGATAAGAGATAACATATCCATGATTCAATGTTTTTTTTTTTTTTTTTTAACTAGTACCATTATTTTATTGAAAAAATTACTGCAACATGAAAATATTTAAATAACTCGGTATATTTCATAGTATTTAGATAGATAATGTCACATCACCGATAAGTTCACTGAGGAGTGTATTTAATGCAGTGGGTTTACACAAGTGTTGGGCGTAATTGCTTGTACTTTATTGTCAAATTAGATTGGAAAAAAGCACTCTTGTCATAGTCATCATTTGCATCAGACAAATATTTGCCCAACGTTGGCGTGTGTTCTTATCGTTGTTTACCGAATAAAATATATTTTTAAGCCACTTGAAAATAATTTAGGTACTTTAATAGCTTTTGAGATTGTGTGGATCCATTTTAACGGAAACGAGTGGTTTAGAAATTGTAGTACCAACAGATTTTTTTTAGTGGATCCTATTGGAGTGAATAACTTTTTGGCGAAGAACGTTTTCACCTTTCTAGCAAAACCACAATGTACATATACATAATATATTATCACGCATAAGGAACGATTTCAAAAAACATGCATCTAAGAAACGGTTTTCTTCGTGCAGACCAGTTTAACAACTATATAATATGTATAATGCTAAATCGCCAAAACGTATCTTAAGTAAAACTACTGTAGGACGTTTTTAAAAATATGTTAGTTATTATTATTTTTATGCCGGATCAATCACTTTGCTTGTACGTGCATTGTTCTTTTAATCGATAGCACTTGGTTAGTAGTTGGCTGTAATAAAAAAATGTATTGTGCATCGTTCGATTACCTTATTCGTTTTGGTTGTGTTGTGAATTGTTTTGCGTTTGTCGTTTAGAATCGTGACGTGCAATAATAACTCCTTTATAGAAAGCTATAGTAACTTTTTTAGATCCGGATATATTTATTTTCGTTCGTGACGTTCGAATCCCACAAAAAAAGGTTGGCTACAGATTTTTCCAGTCAATTCTGTATGTTATAACCTCATTCTAGATATACCTTGAGTCAGATCTAAAGCCCTAAACCTACACCTAAACAAACGGATAAAGGAAAAAGTTTTCACCCTTTCCTGGAGGGAGAGGGGTTTTTGATTTGTACCGCATACTTCATACAACTAGTAAATAATAATAATTGCTCATTATGTACTCAACCATGACAATATAAAAACAAAAAGGGATTAAAGTGATCATATCTCCATTTTCTTTTAAAAAAAAATTGACTAAATCGACCCCAAACTGAAACAATACACTTTAAGGGACTTTCTAGCTAGCAATACTAAATCACAGTAATAGAACTGAGGTTTTGTATTCGTAACATATTATGTATTAATCCCTAAAACTTCGGCTGAAAAAATTGAACAAAGAAACATTGATCGCTTCTTCTAGGGGAAAGATCAAAGGAAAGGTTCAGCCTAACCTTCTGAGGAGTTTTTTTTTTTTGGTTTTTGTCCACTTTTAGTAGGGTTATAATAATATCAGCATGTAAACAAGTGCGAAACTTACCGGCTTTGCTGAAGTTCCCGGACAGGGTGTCGCTGACTTGACCGTCCAAGCCATCGTAGCCTGGTGGACCTGCCTTGCACAATGCACTGATGGAGGAGAATAGCACTATCAACCGGATCGCGGTGGCCATACCAGTGGCAGACTGACGAGTGAATGTGGTCGTCGTCGCAGCAGATGATTAAATTCTAAAAAGAAAGACAAAAAATAAATACAATTTATTAAGGCATGGATGGAGGAGTCTACAAGTTTCACCCAGTCGATATTTGCCGTTGTTCAGATTTCACCGGTTACAACAAACCGCTGCGAGCTAACCAACACCAGGTTATACAGTATGGCCTGTCCATAGACCTGACAAATGACATAAAAAATAATTATGCAAAAAAAAAAAGGCCAAAAATGCCAAAAATTACTACTTAGGATCTAAATTATTCAACTCTCTAAATTTAAATGTTAAAAAATATTCAAGAACATACTCTTAAATATTGGTCGTTAATAGATAATACACAAGTCAATCATTATTTTATGTGGTCTGTAAAATATTTGTAAACTAATAATAAGATATTATTATTATGTATACAAATTGTATCAATGTATTCATTCATGATTAGACATAATACTGTTCTTTTATTTGGAGTTCTTTCCTCTCTGTTTTTGCTGTTATATTTGTTTATTATTGTATGTTAGATGTAAATAATATTAGTAAAATGTAATTAAATCACCATAATAACTCTCTACCTCCATCTCAAGCTTTGCTTACAGGAGGTAGATAAACCATAATAATATGTAGGATAAGAAATAGTAAGGTTAGGTTATTTAAATAAATAAAAAACAGTTAAAGGTAATGCAAACCGTGGTGTTTGTATGCGCAAATGAGTATAAATTAATTAAAAAAAAATTATCTTAAAAATATTCACTACAACAAAAGTTATTTCATTTGTCAAGTCTTCGCGGGACACCCTGTATAATATGTATTGTGTAAACAGGGTGATCCAAATATCACGTTACAGTGATTTTTATTTAAATAAAAATTAAATCCTCATTATAATATTTAGTAAGCACATTTTATCATAAAGGATACTTGATAATAAAGGACAATACTATTGTTTGAGGTCAAATAGCAACATACATAACTTACAGTCATGTACATGTAGTAGTATTAAGGAATTATGGAGGTGAATTAATAGAAACATATCCATGTATGTTTAATTTTTTAATGTTAAAAAAAATTGTGTGAATACTTCTGTTGCATAAAGTAATTTGTAAAAATTATAAATGAAATATTATGATGTATTTTTATAGTACAAAGTAATATTTACAAAGTTAATGCATTTTTTTCAACATATTTTTCAGATTTTTTTGTGTTTATCAAATTGTATAAATGCAATGTTATTACTTATTTTAAACAATCTCTATTATGTACACAACTATGGGATGACAAGTCAAAACTATTTGTTTAACAGTACTTATGTATATGTCTTAAGTTTAGTTGCACATGGTATTAATAGTTATTATTATGTTAGGTATAACTTAATGCTAGTGAATCGCCAGGGGTCTATTGACTCTTTAAGAAAAGACATAAACCGTGTATACATTTTTAATGATGATTAAGTATGATAGCTGTTGTATATTATATTTATAAATGGTTAGAATCAGAAACACATAAAATGGTATAAATATGGAAATTTGCACGTAACAATAATTAAAATAGAACTAAAGCGAAACAGTACTTAACATAAACTAAGCGGGTCTATTGAAAACAAAAAAGGCATTATGATTAATACATATTTAATGTACAAGGCTGGGAGCACTTAAAAATACATTTAATATTAAGAGTTTTACTGAACGTTTCCTCTAAGAAAGGGTCATATTTTAAGATTAAACAAACTTTGTTATTAAATCCAGACATTTTTCATTGGGTATATGAGATTTGTAATATTGACTACTGCCCAAGAAACGATTTTTAGACATAATTTTCAGTGTAGATTATTATTTACCTACATTTTTAGTTGGGCTAAAATAGGTATAGTTTTTTTTAAAAATAATATAAGCATATACATATGGTATGACTGTTTCTGTTTACCTTAGCAACTTTTTACCGTGTCTTCTGTAATAGTTTTTTACTCGAACGATTAAGTGCGTGTATTTAAATAAAAAATAGCGTATGTTTGTGCACAAATTGAAGTGTACCGATGTAAACCGATTTATCACTGGGAAAAAGTGTTATGGAAAGACTTAAAGCTATTTGAATTTTAAAAGCCGTCCGTGCAAAAAAGAGGAAAGAAGTTGTAACATCCATTTTTTAGTCGTTAGACGTTTACCATTAACCATTTACCATTAACCGTATACCATTATAAATATGCAATGAATCGGAGAGTTATTTGATTTATAGATTTGTACTTGTACTTGATTTGTACGAACAAAATTTTAAATATATTTATCTGTTATCAATTAACAAAAATTAACAAAAATTGATAACAAGACGAATACAGGCTACAACGATGGCACGGACCATCGTAAACCGTGGTAACGGCCGTGTATGTATTTATTTTTCTTTGATAACAGCAGAGATATTATTATCAATACAGTGCTGCAAACATAAAACTATGTAGGACAAAAAAAAATATTTTTCCCAAACTAAATCAACAGCGTTTCCGCGGTAATTTTAAACAAATTGTTGATGAGCATACTATTATTTCTCATTTTTGTTGTATTATTTAGATTTGTAAAGAGGAAACAGTTTATTTATTTATCAAGAGCGCATAAAATATGCAAACTATATGCACTAATAACAAAATATGCCTTAACCTTTCGAATGTGTGAATCAATTTGAAAAATACAATTGTGAGTACCAGTAAATCAGTTTGATAATAATTGTGTCGGCTAAAAAAAAAAGTTTCAATTTAAATCTATTTTATATCCAAACATAATATTTTATATTCAAATTAAAAAAAATATTATTTTAAAAATTATTTAAATAATGTATAATAATGAAAACAAACGGCCTGGTTGATTGGCTTTTGACAAACGCCCTTTAAGGGGATTGCATGCGGTCTTTTTTTTAAAGAGTTTTATATAGGCAATATTTAAGAAGAAAAAAGATTCTAATAAATTTCGACCATGCCAATTAATTTGTGCAAGTATTTTTTCCCGGCCGTTAATATTACATTTTTTACCATCAAATCAACCTAATAAGGATTTTATTGGAAACTCTTTGGCTTACATAATTCAACGGAAAACCCGCTGTAACATAACATTTTGATTACTTTCTACAGACACATTTTATATGCAACGCCTATATGCATGTTACATTGACGTGCACGTTTGGAGGGTGACTTGCGCCCCTATTGGAAGTGTAATTTAATACAAAACCCCTTATCCTTTTATTCGTCATTAAATGGCTCTTATAATATGTTTATATAGATATACTTGCAATCAATGATAGCTGTTTGCTCGGGCTTCCTAAAGTCACACTATAATGTACACCCGTTTTGGCAAGGATGACATAATATTACTACAAAATATTGCTACTAGTTTATACGACCAACAGACACAGTGGGTATATTTTTTCCACAGCTAAGGAAAATCAAAGCTATTTAATTGGGCTGTAAAGCTGTTTAATTATTTATACTTGTGTACAGATGAGATTTACACACTGAAGTTGTCAGTTGATTTTTGGCTTCACATTTAGAATTCAACGAGGACTTGAACTTTAAAACGTTATTATGATCAATCCAAAAGCAAATGTATATTAAACACAAGTTAAAGGTTTTGACTTCACTTTGATCATTTCTTACTGGAAAAAATCGTATTAAAACTAAGAAGTGACGTTTTGTGTAGCTGTTGTCTTTCAATTGCTGCGTTTGCCTACTCAATTTACAGAATGTTTCTTATCTCGATGCACTTAAATCGAATGTTTTGAGATTTTTGGGATAAGCACAAATTATTTTTCTTTTATGAGTTTTACTGCGTTTCATTACATTGATGCCACCCAAATGCAGTGCGTTTTTTCTTATTAAAAATAAAATACAAAATAGTGTTGATAATTGTAAAGAGCAATGAACAAGTAACACAAGATTATTATGACATATTATTAAAATAGCTGGTTTATATCATAATAAATAATATTATTCATTAAAATTACTTCTATTAAAGCAAAAGTGTACACAAAGAGATTACAACATTTTAATATAGTGTAGGCAAAAAAATGTAAACTATAAATTAAATCCAGCGAGATATTGAGTGGCCCACGATAAAAAAAAACACCCTGTATATATTTTATATTTAAAAATAATATAATTTTTTTAAAGTATTATATTTATACACAATCAAACGATTTAAATTTGCACAATATAAATAATATTAGATGCACACGTGACTGTAAAATGTACAGCTGTGTAGAAAAACAATTTTTAAAAACAGTGTGAATGTAAACATTGGCAAAGGCTGTGAATTATGAGGTCTACAATTTTAATTGTATTACATAGATAGTTGCTACTTAATTAACCAGCACTGGTATTATAAACGAATGATTGAAATAGTTAATTATTTTTTATGTTTGGCTTCTTAGATAAAAAAAATCATTGAGATCATTCCTATAACTCTGACCGTTGGTTTTTTTTGTACTTTATATCATATTCCAAACTTAGCGACCACTCTAAAGAGAACAGAACGGTTTAAAAAATAGCTAGTCTTACATTTAAAATTGTGTGATGTGTTCTTAAAAAAAAAATCTAAAACGGTTTCCTTCCTATGTCTATGTATCGAAGCTTAATAATAGAGTATGATTTGTTTTCTTTCTCATGGTATGGTATTACAGTGTAATATACTCTAAAACAGACGGTCTAGAGTCTGTATTTTGTTTAAAAATAAACAATAACCAAAATAAGGGTACTATGTTGCATTTTAAGCACACGTTTGAATGTAAAAATTGGAAAAAATAGATTCACACCTACACCAATGGAACACCTGTTGTGGCGACGTTTAATATGAAATATGATTATGTTTATATATTTTTTTTCTATTTTAAGTGTAGAGCAATAAATTGTTAATTGTCTTTGCGAGCGACTTTTGATTGAATATAATAATTATTATTGCTAGGAACGCCTAAAATTTTACCCAGCTGGTTTTATGAATGAATTTTAATTCAGACTAATTATAACCAGTAAGTCTACAAAAAAAAAAAATTAAATATACAAGATGTATTTGTCAATCGATAAATTATTTATTTAAACATTTAAATGAACCTATTATTATTTTTTAAACATAAATAATACAAACAAAATAATTGTCAACTATTTTATTTTATTTTTTCATCTAATAAATTATTACCGAACGTTGTCATTTTTTTTTTGATAAGCACAATTTAAAGATTGGAAAATCAGTTGCAAATATCGAATATATTAAAAAAATATAAAAGCTAAATTATGCAAAACAAATGTTTAAAATTGGATTGCATTAAATGTAATTCAAATTCGAAGCTTAGGTATATAGCTAATTATTATGGAGCCAATTTTTTGTGTAGCAACTTTGCAGACCAGAAACCGTACCTTATTAGACAAGACATTTGAAAAGTTCACACCTTCTTTTTAGAAATGGTCGAATTTGTTTCAAATTTGCAGGGAATATTTTTTAGTACTATACCGGTAAACCTAAAAAGAGGTGGAAACTTTTTTAGGTGAAGTTTTAGAGCTTAAGGTCTGCAAATTAAACTGAATGTAGACCAAGAACGTGTCCATAACGTATACAACTTTATCAAATTTCTAAATGTTTTTTCAACTTAAAATACTTAAGGCTCCCCAACATTTTTTTTTTTAAATAGTCAAATTAATTCCCCTTAAATCTGTAGAATATTCTTCGGATAAAGTACTACCGATGTACTTAGAAAGATCTCTAAAAAAGATAAAAAAAAACCCTTTTCCCCTATAAAGGGAGAGGCTTTTTATTTATTTCTTTTTTTCCAGCAGAGTTTTAGGACTTGAGCCTTAAGGCCTGGGAAATTTTTCTTATTAGGAACGAACAAAAAATATTAACAATTACACTGTACTAAAAATAAATACTTAAGCACATTATAACAGCTAGTTATCACTTTCAATTCTAGTAATTCCTGTAGATCTCTAACCTCTCTTCACCCCAATTAGCTTTGGCCCGACTCCTCTGTACTTGCCTTGTTTTTTTTTTTTAATACATTTATATTAAAGGTATTCTTGTATTGACTGTAGCAATTGTTTTTGAACTCAATTCTTTCAAACTGATTTCGTTCAAGTGACATTAGTGTCAATGGCCTCATAGCACAAGTACAGTAATATTACATTAAAAATGTTAATCAAATATTAATAATATACAGTTCTAGTAAATGTTTTTTTTTAAACATTTTCACGTCACTAAACGCCTTGGCCAAAATTATTTTATTATTTTTAAAGTTTCCATTGTTAACACAGCTGTTGATTTTTTGAACATCTAAACTATATAGACCTCGATTGTTTGTTTAGCAATGCAAATATCATCAAAAAAAACATTATAAAATATATTTACCAATTTTTCTTTGCCACCGTAAGGAATACAAAATAAATATAAATAGGAATGACTTCTATAAGCGCATCCAAAAAGTCCAAAACTTGTAGATATACTTGTACAAGCTAACCGAACTGGTTTGTATCGCAAACGTTAAGGTATAATTTTAGGTAAGTTTCACCGTAAGACTATTCCAAGGAATCCACTAAGCTTTTATAATAGTGTTTAATTTGTTTAGTTTTTTGTGATATCGATAATCTTGGTACATATTGGCACGATTTTCTTATGTTGCTAAGCAATCAAGCTAATCGTGGGAAGCTAATTTTTTTTTTAAATTGTTTATTGCTATTACTTTGTTGGCGGTTTATATTATGTATGCTAGCGGAAAAATTCACATGAAAAGTCTGTAAACGAATAGGTTATTGCTTTATTCTTGTATTAGTCACTCACTATGTGTGCACATGTTCTTTGTTAAACTTATATATAATATCATACACATTGTGTTTTATATTACAAGTCTAGTGGCCTGAATGTTCACAAAAATTTGATTTTTTACATCTTAAGAAACTTTTATCGTGTCCCTTTCCACCGAGGGGCCAATTCCCCAGAGGAGAAATTAGTCGCCGAAAGCGTTTTTTATTCATTTTTATTTCCATCGTAAACCGTTCATATTATCACAACAAAAAAATGACCACTTTATTCCTTTTAAAAAAAATATATATTCTCTTAGCTGAAGTCGAGTAAACCGAAAATACGGCTCAATATTGTATTATGTACTTGGTGAAAATAAATACAGAAGCCCTCTCCTATATATTTTGTTCAAACACAATTAGAGTACAAAAGTTTCTGTGCCGAAATCAAAGATTAAACAATTTCTGCCACATTTAAAAGGTCTAAAAAATCAATCCTACACTTCTGACTCCTTTAGATAATATGTTGTCGAATTTCCCAAAAAAAAAAAAAAAGTATAGTATTCCAAAGAAGATAAACCGTTCAGAACAACCAATCACTGTCATGTTTGGTTATCGAATTTACTTGTTTCCGCAACATTGTATTGATTATAAACACTATTTAAAAGTCAATAAAAGATATTATTAAATTTTAAAACCTAGCTATTTTTTCCGCTCCACGGAAAAACACTTAATGATAGTTCTTATCACTCATCTCTTATCTCTTATCTTTTATCATTTATTTCTTAATTTTTTTTGAATATTTAATTTTTAGCCTAAAAACATATTCATGTTAAAACAAGGATAAAAAAAAAACCGTTAAATTATTACATTAAATGATTTTTAATCACGGCATATTATATTGGGACAAAAATTATGATCACCAAGCTAACCGCGTGGTTGACTTTTTCTATAAATAAATAACCGATTGGCAACCGTTTTCTAATATAAATTGATTTTTATTTTTCAGATAAAAATGAAACTCGTCTGTGTTATAATATCATTTACATATTTTGTAAACGTTTCAACATTAGACCAAAGTAACGTTTAAAGAGCATATTTTATAGTTTCGCGCTCCATAAAACATACTCGGTTACTCTTTATATGTTTTATAGGATAATTTTACTTTGACATTTTTTTTTTTTATCAATTAAGACAAATCGTTTGTTAATAATTTCGTTAAATAATTTTGTAAATTCGACCCTTACAATGGTTATTTAATTACATTTTTATCTATTTTTTTTTTACAGGGAAGTATAAGGAGGAAATGTACATTACAAGTGAGTACCCAAAATATGATGTCTTAAAGCTGTTAAACACACAAAACCGTTTTTACATTTGTTTAATGTTTCAATTACAGACCACCAACTCAAACTCATAGATAAAGGTGAAACACTTTGGAAAATTTGAATAATTTGTATTTTTTTACATATAGTTTTACAACTATACATATATAACCGTTCTTACATTTGTTTATTATATTTTTGAATTACAGACTCTCAACTCAACCGTACAAATGAAAGTAAAACATTTTAAAAAATTAATAAATTTGAAAAACGTGTATTTTTAAAAATGTTTTTTCGATAGCTGTTGTATCTTAGTTTTACAGTTTCAAGTGTAGTACTCCGTTTTGCTGGCTTTTTATGATATTTATTTCATTATAATATGATACATATACACTATTTATACATGTATAAATTTAAAAAATTGTGTTTTTTCAAGGTAAAGTGGACAAATTAGTCGTGCATTTATTGTTTTCAAATTTACCAATTGGTAAGTATATAGTGTGTGTATTAAAAACAACATGGCTATTCATTTTAATAAATTAGTAAACTGTGCACCCAAACTTAAATATACATAAATGCTTAATATTTAACCGCAATTTTTTCACGCCCGCCCCTTCAGAAGACATGGCCAAGAAATGAGCGGCGCCTGTTACAATCTAGTCTATTTGTTCAATTTTTGAGCTTTGCCAAAATGGTTTTTGTTTTGGCTTTTAAGACCATACCGATTAGCAGATACCTCTTCATAGTAATGTCGAGTACTAATAATGTTGATTGTTGTTATTAATTTCAGTTGATATGGTTATACTGTTGGCTACGCCAGGTAATAATCCAATAATCATTGCTGTAGAAATTATACTCTATGGTAGAGTTTGAACACATCCCATTGATATTAACCAAGTATGAAATGTAATTGTTAAAATTTCAGACTTTTATGGCGAGGATTTGAAAAGTAATACATTTTTATATTTATTATTCGTAGTAAAGCAGATTTTTAATAATTATTTATTTTCCGTTTTAACTGTGACAAATATTAATTGAGTCATGCTAGATTTGAAAATGATCTGAACAAATTAACTTAATGACATTTATTGTGTTATGACTTTCAGCGAGGTGCGAGATCGAAAGAAAATTACAGACTGTAATACAATCGACAAACGGTAAGAATGTGAACTTACTGAATTATTATAAAACCAACACACGCATTAGATTAACGTGTACTACCTAGATCCGCTAAAACATAGATCTCCACTGAGATACGATTTTGTTTTATCGTTGAATTTTAATATTTTGTAATTATTTATTTATTGTGTTACAGTCAATGTCCACGAGCCTCCAATCAAGAACATAAGTAACGCATGCATCTGATTAGAACAATAAATTGAGGTGCTCAGAAGTCAAACTGATTAACTCAAAAAATTAAATTTTTTAAGACAGGCAATTAAAGTTATTCGAAACAATGTATGTAAGTACAATTGCTAATGTACTTAGCGCACTCCAGTGGTGAAAAATTCAACTATGTAGTTATTCATCATGGTCACTGAAAACTATACACTTTTGTAATTCAAAAATAGTGGAGTTAATCGGTTTGGCATCTGAGTGCCTCAATTATAAAATCTTTTCCCAAAAACGCAAATTTGTTAATATTGATTGCCGATACTATTTAAACATGTTGATATAATTACAGATTTTGATAAAATTGAATTATCAAATTTCGGAGACGTTAGAAGGGACATGATTTACCCGTCTTTGAAACGTATACTCGTCGATGTAGAAAGTATGTAATTTAAAAAATATACCTTTAACGCATACACTTTAAGTACATAATGAGCCCCCCCCCACCCAATTGGGTGCCTGTGTTATAAGAGCTGGGGCAAGTTTTAGTTTGCATAGTGTGAATGATGATTTAAAATGTCAAAGCATCGTCTCACTAGTTAATAACTACCAGCTTAAACCCATGTTTCTTCGCTGTTTTGTGCGATAATTGTTTTTGTTTTTTTGAAGAAGGATCAACCGTACTGGATCTCGACCCGCTTAGGGTATGCCATTTAATAGCGTTGTTGAAAAGTTCATTGGATCCTGGTCAGCGAATAAAAGAAGTTAATTACGACAGCGACGGTTGTACACTTGTTAGTGTACTTGACAGGAAATCATACTACAAGCAGTATCCCGGTGGAATTTATAATTTAAACGCACTCACTGGTGAGAAAGGGGACAAACTTGGCATTGATCTAGTTTGAGCTGATCTGCACAACTGCGGGCGTTTCATTTTCATAAATGTTATCTGTTCTATTATACAAGTAGTGATAAACAATTTTACTGTATAAAAAAAAACACGATGTTAATACATTAATTGCAAACCTCTTTTTTCACGGCAAATATTCTTTCTTCACTGGCCCTGTCAAGACAAGTGAACGAAATACTTATAATATGAGCGCAAAAATTAAATTTTAATACAGTATTTTGAGCAACAATTAATTTATTAATTGTTATCACTTATCACCGACATGTGATAACAAATTACTTGATAACAAATTATAGTAAAAAATGTTTTGTGCAATAGTTTCATTTTTATAACGTGGTCACACTGAGTCGAAAAGGGTTACGGTTATCAGTAAACAACGAAGTGCACCATTTGGTTTTATGTTATCTGTTTGCAACAACTTTGCAAAAAATGGTACAGTCTTAATTCTGAAAAGTTCTATTTTGACAAAAATTGCCTTAAAAATAAAATAATGATCTAACTGAATTTGGCGGTACGCATTAAAGTTTTAAGGTTAAATTTTGTATTAAGACTTAAAACGAGCGTAAAATTTTATCTAGTAACATCCAAGTATCAACATTTGAAAAAAAAAACCAATAAACGGCTCTACAAATTGCCAGTTTTAAATGTTCTTGAAAACCTTGGATAAATATATGTAGGTATAACTAGTGTTCAAGCTAGAATACAAGTTTCTAGAATGAAAGTCTAAAATTGAATTTTTTTTTAATTACTTCTGTTACATACAAATATAAATTACATTTTTCATGGTTTTTGAAAAAAAAGTGGTGAAGAATCACACTCAAAATAATTGTACACCTCTGTAAATTTAGAACTTACATAATACGTAAAACCAGATTGGTTTGAACGATCCAATCATTAATACTCACATTTAATAGATTTTAATGGCAATTGATTGATTTTTGTTAAAAATATAATAATAAAGAGATGTATTTGGTAGACTCTGTCTATTACCTTTATTGTTTTTATCAACTAAGTGGTAAATTTGTAGTATGATTGTTTGTGGTAGAATAATATTGAAACCACATCAAAAACGAAAAAAAATAAAAACACAATTCATAAATTAATGTAAATTTATACCGTGACATAATTTATTAATCATTTTCAAGTACTTACTTAATAAAATGCAATACTCGTGTGAGAGTTTTCAATGTGCAAATACATAAAATTAAAAAAAAAAAAATTTCACTGTGAAAATTTTGTACATTATTTTGTTATCACTCATTATCAATTTAAGATAAAGCGTTAAACCAAAATGTACAGTGTTACCACCAAATTATTTTGACGGTGAGGCGGTTTCATTAAGATACTATAATTAACAATCACAGACAAAAACCTGAGTGGGGCGTTTCTAAATAATATTATTTATGAAACCGAAGAATTGTACCAGTTATTTGGGAGTGAACCTAAGAACATGTATGGCGGTATGGCAGTAAATATATATTTTTATTTTGTCCAAAATTGTAAAAAACATCTCCTTAACCCTGTACATATGTGTAATTTTTGATATTGTATTAAATTTGGATTTAGTGACCTTAAATACACATTCGATATGACTTTTACAGCTGTGTAATAGTTTATGAAAGCTAAATATTCTTAAGCTGGGTGTAAAAATTATACTGAATATCAAGTACTTGTTAAACTTTATCTTTTGTTAAATTAACATGCGTTAAATCTACTAGTGTTGCTCAAACGTTGTTTTATATTAAGGTTATTACCAGTACACTGGTTATCGAATAAATGGTATTTACCAGTAGGGGTTAATATTATTATCATACAGGGTCTAATCAATGATAAACTGATAACGCACATTTCCATTATCGCCACTTTAACGCAAAACATTGATAACAAAATTTAACAGATAAAATTTAAAACATGGTTTGCGCAACAGATTTATTTATTTTAACTCCAGTTAAACGAATTTATCTCTGTGTAAATATTCGATGCAACCCGGCATATGTATTATATAATATTATACTGAAAAAAGAAAATGGTAATAATTTTCTTATGAATATAGATTTTAATGGATTTTTATGAATGTTTATTTAAGCAGGTCGTAAAAATGTAAAACATCCTATCAGCTTTTATTTTTCTATATATAAACCGTGTTTTGCGACTATAATAAATGTATATTTATACATTTTTTTTATGCACATACTGTGCAAAACTATTGTACACAATTGAAATGTAAAAAAAAGAAAAACGTTTTCAAAGAGAATATTGTACTACGCCGGCGTCGTTAACCTTTAATACGGCCTTTTTCTTTTTTTGTATACCGTATTTTTCTTCTTTTGAAAAAAAAAACAACAATATATATTGTAAAACCTTTAGGGCTTAAAACTAAACGAAATCGTCAACGCTGCATTTGAAAACCTACTAGGTATATGTATATTTTATACCTTTAAAATACATTTGTACATATTGTTGTATTATACTCACGACGGTAGGTAGGTAGGTCTGAAAGCACTTCAAAGGGATTTTTCTTCTGTGTGTGTGTGTGTGTGTAATTCCTGTGTGAAAATATTCTCATTAACGAGTCCTTTACCAAAAAGGTGAAACCAAAACGAATTAAGCGATTTTACCGTTGCAACGTGCTAAATTTAAATAAATAAATTTAGTTCACTATATACAGGGTGGTGCGTGTGATGTGTTTCTTACACTAATTTTAGGTACATATTTTACTGTGTTTTCCATAATACTTAGAAAAAGGTTTACTCTATACGTATATCAAGTATGGGCCGGAATTTTTCAAATGAAAAAATATGTATTTAATTTCAAGTAATTATGCGCTACAGCAATTCACAATCTGTTGTGCTGACAGGGGTGGTGAAATCTAGGTATCCGTCTCCACTATGTCCCAACCCCAATGTGCCTGCAGCTTTTGAGATTCTTTGTCATAGACATTGACAGAAATATGTTTGAAATGTGCACAATTGTGATGGCAAAACAATGGCAAGAACTCTGTTGAGATAATATTATTATTGAGAAAAAACCACTCCTTTAGTTAACCTAGACGGTTATCTCGCGGGGTCAGTTATATTGAATAACAAACTAAAAGACTCAGAGTAATGATTTTATCGCTTGAATTATTCCTCCCCCACCCCCTCCATGTGAATCTCTCCCCTTTCGTTTGTAGAATCTGTTTACATAATAACAGTGTAACTTGGGCTTCGTGTACACAATTTGTGGGCTTTCCTTACATTGAAGGCGCCGGCCAAACGAATCTGTCACAATCACAGTTGCACTTTACACCACAATAGAGGATTTCATTTTGATTTTTTCAAACTGTCTACACCTTTTTTTTTTTTGACATGACCGCATGCCATTCAATACAGATTTAAAACGTGAAAATTGTATAAAATAACAAAAAAAAAACATACTATGAAATAAAATTCGAACATATTAAAGCGACATGACGTGTAATATTACAGTAATAACAAAAAATATAATATAAAATAAATAACAAACCAAAATCGAAACTAGAAATTCTTTAGACAACATTTTTTCTTGTTTATTACTTAGAAAAACACTAAGTATAATTATTATTTTGTTATAGTTGATTCGTTTATGTTTTATTTTAAGATAATGTTAAGGTGTGACTTGTGTCATGTTATAGAATACCTGTGTATAATTGCCAATGTAGGTGTATCTGATAAACAATTTTGAATAAATAGTTAAGCTTGATTTTAGCAATGCTATTGGTTTTACAATGGTGTGGGCTTTTTTTTATACACTGTAACCTTTTTAATACTGGACCAATTCCAACTCTATAAATCACAAATGTCATCTAGTTGGTACTTCGGGGGAGTGAAATTTTAAAACATTTACTTCTTCAGCAGCTGGTAGTTTTATATTTTTCCACAATACTGTACACGGTTCCTTAATTATTAAGACTCATTCTTAACATTACAGGACCACGAAGAAGTGGGGGGGGGGGGAAGCAAACAAAAGGAAATAACAATAACCAAGAAGATATTTGATATTCGAAAGTGTAGTTAATGTATTTTATAATTTTATCTTGACTTGTTGTTAAATGTCTCCCGAATCAAAACAAATCAATTGAAGAATTCCGATATTTAGGAGTACTGCTCAGTACAAAGAATAGGATAGCAAAGGCAGAAAGAGCATATTTTGCACTATCCAAATTCCTCAAATCCAAAGTTCTCTCTAAGACAACAAAACTAAGACTGTACTAGCCAGTTCACGACACAAGGACAAATTAATGGAGAAGAGAGTTCAACAAGGAACTGGGCTTAGCACCAGCAATTAGTTACACAAAGGGACAAAGAATACAGTGGTTGGGCTGTGTTATGAGACAAAGCTGAGAAGAAACCATCAGAGCAGTTGTGGATAGGAAACCGAAAGGGAAAAGACCTCGAGGCAGACCTTGGAAGAGGTGGCTAGAAGTAATAGAAGTGGATCTTAAAGCTCTGGGAGTGCAAGAATGGAAGGCAATGGGCACAGCTTGACAGTGCAGAGTCAATTAGTCATTTTGATTAATTGCGCCGTTATAGATATATTTTACTTTTCTCGGCCATCTTTACTCGTCCGGTTTCTCAATTAATATCTTTTCGGTTTTTGTTGCAAATGCAAATGAGCTGCGCCGCGCCCGTTACTTGGTGTTGTGTGAAAGAATCATTTCGAATCATGTTTTCTTCATCGGTAGGTAATGCTTTTTTGATTTGTAAATCCTATCAGTGACCAAACTTGAAAATGGGCTTTGCAATTGACACAACTGAAAACGATATGTTGTACCCTGGGTAGGTAAAAGTAAAAAAGTAAGTAGTGTTCGGTGAATTGGATTTTATTTTTTCATATACTTTTCATTTGTTTTGTGTATATTAAAGGTGGTCGGCCCGGTTTCGGCGAAGTTGAATTCTTAATGCCGGCCCTTTTGTTCTACATCTAAATATTTATACAGAACTCCAAATAAATAATAAAAGAAAGGAAACGAAATCACTTCGATGCCAATCTGTGGTTAGCAGACTGAGAACATTTGCCAAAAGAAACAGAAAACAAACAGCTACCTATTTACTTTTTAGCTTTGCATCGATGCCGAAAAGGCATTGTATGTACACATCGAGTTAGTCCTCTGGTAAACTGAGAGTTTTTATATTAATAAAATAATTATTTTTTTTGTAATTTAGGTAAACCATTTTATAAATATTGTCATTTAGGTTTGTTCAAA